CATACATGGCTGGCTTGCCCCTTCCCCTGAAGGTAAAGAACCTGGAGGAAGAGGAGGCTGGGGAAGCAGGAAGCATGCCCTATCGTCCTAAGGTGGGAAGTCTGCAGAGCTGAGGCTGCTGTCCATGCCAGGCAGTCACCCCTGGAGGTCCCTCAGTTGGATTTACAGATGTCCCTTTGGCACTCTGCTCCCTTCTCTGGCTTCCATCTTTGCACCCCCCCCCACCCTGTCTCTGATCAGGGCCCCTCTGAAGGGAGGAAATGGGCAGTAGATCTGGTGCCAGGAAGTCTTAGACTGTGCAACTTCCTCCCTGGCCCCAGCATTTCCTGAGCAGGATTTGGGGGCAGGATCAGGGCAGGTCTGATGCTGGAAAGAGATTCTATTCCTGGCTCAAATGCCAAGTTGCACTCATTCCCCTGTGCCTCCCTCCCCCACCTTAGCCAATACTCTGGGGACAACTGGAGCAACCAGCAGGCAGGCCTATGACACAGGACTGGACATGTCACCAGGCCTACCTAACAGGACTTCTCTCCTAGGCTCCTGCTCCCACTACCCTGCCAACATCCAAGAGCAGGTAGCAAGGAGGAATGGACAGAGTCCAAAGGCTCAGCATAGGTGAGGATGGGAACAGTTGATTAGTAGGTTAAGAAGCTTTGGGAACACTGGAAGAAGGACCCTGGGAGGAGGTGGCCAGGAGGTCAGCTGCAGGGAGAACAGGAGTGGTGTTAGCCGAGGAAGGCAGAAGGTACCTGAAGGAGGGAAAACTCTGCCTAAGGAAAAGTGGGCACAATTGGAATAGCCATTTCTGAGCAGTGACTATTCAAGGTCAGATACAATGTCCCCACAGTATTTGGCACACACTCTCTCTTTGTGTGTGTGTGTGTGTGTGTGTGTGTGTGTGTGTGTGTGTGTGTGTGTGCGCGCGCCCCTTCCTCCCCTCCTTCTTGAGAAGTGGAAGCCAGGAATAACAAGTGTTATCTTCTGCATGTGTAAGGAGTCAGGCATTATGCTGGCCGGCCCCTGTCACCTGGCAGAATGCACTCAGGCAGTACCCTGGCCAGTCCAGGGTTTCATGGTTTGGTAGTCTGCATGCAGGGGCAAAGGACCCCTTTAAAAGACAGACCCCACATCTCTTTTGCTCTTTGTTTTCTTTGCTCCTTGCTGTCTTTCAGGCTCCTCTCTCTCTCTCTCTCTCTCTCTCTCTCTCTCTCTCTCTCTCTCTCTGCCTCTCTCTCCTGTTTCCAGTGTCTCTATGCCTCTTCCCTTATTCCCCCTTCTAAATAAACTTCCCACTTAAGCTCTGTCTGCCTGGCATGTTATTTCCTCTGCCTCAGTCACACTCGCCTGTTAGGAAACTTGTTATACTCTCCCATGAGGTCCCTTACTTTGGGACCCCAACGAGGGACACCACCCAGCCCCTTCTCCACCTTTCTCCAACTTTAACCTATAACTTATAACTGCAACAAAGGAGCAACAGCATGCTCATGTAACACAGTTTTCTGAATGGCTGGCCTGCTCTCTACTGCAGGTACCTCTGCACTTAGCCTTGTGCCTTCTATGAGCCTGTCTTCTCCCACCAGCTTCTCCACCCTTTGGGTCATCACCTCAGGTCTTTTCAGTGATTGTTTTCTTGCCCCTCTGTCATCTACTAGGATCTTGAACACCAGAAGCATGTCGCTCCTCATGCCCCAGCAAGCTCCCTGCCAGTCTCCAGACCTGCCCTTAAACCCTGCTTGCCCATTTCCCCAACTTAGGGAAGGCAGGGACCAGCTTTCTTCTGCTCATATCCCTGTCCAAAGTGGCTCATGAGTGACTGGTTCTGACCTGTTAGTTCTAGGGAGGTTTGGCTTCGTGCCCATCAACATTCCAGTTCCCTACCTCCTCTGCCCCCACCCCAGGAATGGGCAGGAGAGGAGATGAGTAACTGAACTGGAACCATTACTGGGAGAAAGAGCCCAGGAAAAGATTTAGAGGACTTTGCAGACCCAGGAGGCAGAGTCCAGATAAGGGGGGGGGGGGCTGGGTGCTTGCCTCAATCTTTCCCCATGATTGCTTAGCTATGGCCAAGGTAGAAGTTCAGGGACCCTGGGAGAGGGTTGGCATCAGACCTTAACTTCTCTAGTGTGTTGTTTAGGGTCAACTCTCCAAGCTGCCTCTCTTCTCTGTGGTCCCATTGAAGGCCAAACGTTGACAACTTCTCCACCCTCAAATGATGAGGCTAAATTTTGCAAGTGACATCAGCAACACAGGACAAGAGGGGGGGGTGATAAGGAAGCATGGGGGGAAGAAACACCTTGAAAATAAACCAAGAGAACAGCCCTTTTCAATGGCCCATATCTGCAGAGTGCTGGTGCACAGCAGGCAGCATCTGATTTCCAGGGTTCCCCATGACTTCATCTCCATCCCTAATCTCAAAGCAAGCATCTATTTAGTCCAGATACTATGCTGGTGAGGGAGACTGATCAGATCAGTGTGTGAAGGAGACGAAAAGATAACTCCACTGGGCTTTATGTTCCCAAAGCCTTGGTTGGTTCTCTCTCTCTCTCTCTCTCTCTCTCTCTCTCTCTCTCTCTCTCTCTCTCTGTCTCACTATCTTGCTCCATCTCTGAGGCAGGGTCATTTGTAGTCCAGGCTAGCCTTGAATTTGCTATATAACTGATGACAACTTCGGATCCCTTATTCTCTTGCCTCTGCTTCTCCAGTGCTGGGATTATAGAGGCATGTGCCATAACTCATTTATTTGGTGCTGGTGGTGGATTCAGAGCTCTGTCCATGTTGGGCAAACACTCTGTCAACTGGGCTACCCCACCAGCCTGGTCCCAGAGTTTGGGGATGGGATCTGCTACCTGGTTTTACAGCACAGATCCTGGCAACTGCAGTAAATGTCAAATGAATTCAAGATTTTTATTAATGATGCTGAGGGACTACACTGAAAGGATGAAGGGAGGCGAGGCAGAGGTATCAATCAAGGATGGGGGAGTTGGCTGAAGTAGTAGATGGGCACATAATAACAGCCCATGTTCCTAAGTATGGCTCTACAATTTGCTACCAGCGAGACCTTGGACAAATTACCTCACCTCTCTGTGCTCCAGTACCCTCACTTGCAAATAAAAGCTGTAAGGAGAAGGAAGTGGTATTTACAAGAGAGCGAACACTGAGATGAGTGCGCTGCCCACAATAACTGCTACCAGACCACCCCTGGCTGTAGTTAAACCAACCACCTAGGTGCCTAATTGGTTGTAGGAGAAGGGAGCCACCTTACAGGTTTCTTGCTTAGACAGTGGCAGAACTCCAGGAGCTGAGACTCAAACCAGGAGGAGGAGCCCCCTGCGGCAGAAAGGGAGTGTTGGCCACGTGGAGTTTTAAGTTCCCACATGCAGGAAGCTGTGGGCTCAGTGTGTGCAAAGTCAGCCAAGAGGCCTAGCTGGAAGAGACATGGTCCAGAGTCAAAGCCTGGCTCTCAGAGCCTACCCCCTCCCCCAAGCTATCCTACCTCCATGCCTAGTCTCCAGGAGAGCCACCATTTACCTGAGAGACAGACAGGGCCCTAGGGGACCTGTATTCTGGCAGAAGTTCAGTGAAGGGATAGCCTGTATCAAGTGGATTTGATGTGCCTCTCACATCACCTGTCTGGTCCTTTCTGACCAGGGATGACCTGGAATGCTTGTTCAAGGTACAGATTTTTTATTTCATACTGGCGAGATGGAATCAATTTGAGGAGCTAAAACGGTCAAACTCATATTCCCCCAGGGAAAGAAAAATTGAGACACACATGCATTAAAATTCAGGTTTCCAATGACGATTAAAATTCTCTCATCACGAAATCAGTTCTGGGTGGAAATGGTTTAATGGCAGTGGGAAAGAAGAGGACTAAGGGGAGAATCCTAGAACGCTGGGGGCGGGACCTGCGCCTTCTTCTAAACCTTCATTAATGAAGTGTCCTGAGCAATTACAGGGCGCCTCAGAAATCGCCATCCCTGGTCACAACACAGTCTCTGTCCACTTGGAAGCAGGCGTGAGTGAAACCAATTGCCTGGTATCTGTGTGGCTGTGGAAATGAGGCACAGGGAGGCTTGGGGCCTCTGCCTTTACCTAACCAGACTCAGGGGAGCAAGGATTGGGGGAGGGTACTTGAGAGGCGTGGCTCTCTAAAGTTCAGCCTGTCTTCGAAACTGCCACAAATCCAAGCCCTGGCACGATCTATATGCATCCATTCGTTCCTCTCTCCATCTGGAATGCGGTTCTCCCCCCTTCCCCGCCCCCAGCCTCAACTTCCCAGCCCTCGCGATTGGGAGGGCAAAGGCGGGAAGCCAGGCAGCGGGATTCCCCACGGGAAGACTGCCCAGTTCCTACTCCGGGTTGCTGGAGACCCTGAACCAAAACGGGAGGCCGGACGCCCCTGGTCAGGAAGCAGCCCCAGCCCGGATTTCCCTCTCGGGTGGGGCCGCCATGAGCCATGACTCACTCCCTACCCCTTCCCTAGTTTCCTTGTTTGCATTTCTCCTCCTGGCCACGTGGCGGCGGGTGCAGACTTCGCGGCCCCTAACGCGGCACCCGGACTGAGACTGGGACATATACCCTAAGGCATTACCCTCTGGGGCTTCGGGTCCGGAGCCTGAACCCACTGACATAGTCCCGGGCAGGGACTCCATCAGCTGTGGGTCCTGCCCCTTCCCCTGTGTCCATCCCTACCGTTTAGCCGGTGCCTGTTCCCCGCCCCCTTGAACGGTCCCGGGGAGGGGAAGGGGCGGGCAGTGCAGGGGGTGTGACAGCTCCTGCCCGGGCCAGTGCCAGCTGCAGCTTCTCTTGAACGCCCTGTGCCAGCTGGCGCTTACATCTGGGACGGAGGCAGAGGCTAGGAGTTCTTAGTCTTTGGGGAGGGGTGGGGGCTCTCCCACGCCCCCCCCCTCTAGCCCTCTACGCAGCCAGGACGAGCCTAGCCCTGCATCTTGCTACTCCAGACACCTCTCAGGACGAGCCTAGCCCTGCATCTTGCTACCCCGACACCCCTCAGGATTCCCGGGCGGAGCTGCCCTGGAAAGCGCCTGGGATCTTCCAGTCTCTTGCTAGAACGTGCACCGCTGTGTGAGCTGGAGAAGAAACATGAAGGTGGGTAAGGTGGGGCCGAGTCAGGGCCAAGGAAAGCTGCTGGAAAGGGCGGGAGAGGAAGCCAACACGTGGGGGAGTTTGGGTGAGAGAGGGTGGTGGGGTGGAGAGTTTGAGGCAAAGCGGCTTCTGTAGATCTCAAGCTGGGAGAGGTGGACATGCCTGCAGGACATGGGCAGTGAGGCAGGGCAGAATTCCAGCGGGGACTGAGAAGTGCCCCATCTTCATGAGCCAGCTGGGAGACCCCTAGGTGCGCCAAGCCAGCAGGACCCGGGGCAGGTCTTCCTGTCCCTCCCCCGGCTCCTGGCAGGCTTGCCGCACCTCCGGCTGACCAGTCCAAGTCCAGAGGACGCTAAGCTTGGGGTGGTTGTGGGGAGGTTCAGCTCCTCCAGCCAATGGTTCTCCTCACAGGTCAGCTGGCCAGGTGACAACCACTGGCAGGTGGGTCCAGCTGTGGTGGAGAGTCCAGCTGTGGGAGAACCGCAGGTGGGAATTCTCCCTGACGTGGTTCCAGAGGGCACGTTGCTCAACATGGTGCTGAAGAGAATGCACCGTCCTCGGTGCTGCTCTTACCAGCTGGTGTTCGAGCATAGGAGGCCCAGCTGCATTCAGGGACTTCGCTGGGTGAGTATCTTCCATCTGCCAGGCTGGACCAGGGCTGGAGGAGTCCGGATTGCTGTGCTGGTGGGCTGGCAAGCTTGCTCCAGGGGTGCAGAGTAAATGTGGTGGCAGTATGTGTGGCTGATCGCATAACTGGAGCCTGTGTCTGGGTGTAGGGTGCCCCCCACTGAGGCTTTATCATATCACGTCCGTGTGCCAGGCATTGACTTATATGTTGAGGGTTCTCTCTGTGTGGCAGTGGGCAATGTGGGGCCAGGTCAAGTGGGGGTGAAATTAGCTTGGCTACTATTCTTGACACATCACCGTGGCAACGGTCTCCTTTAGTGAACAATTGAACTGAGCTGATTCTGTTTTATTCCCCCCTCCTGGGGTGAGGCATTTGTGTGGATTAAGCTTGGCATCTGGCCCTGGGGGACCGAAGAGGTTTCAGAGTGGGGAATGACTACTGAAGGAAAGGGGTGGGTAGGGGAGTGGGGGTGAGGTGTAGGAGCCAGTCCCCAGGGATACTCTTCCCTCTTCCCAGCCACCAGGCATGACGGTCCTGTCTGTACGCTGTGTATACCCCCACATTCGTGTGCGCATGTGTGTAGGGGGCAGAGGGTACTGAGTTGGAGGGTGGAGAGAAGGCAGGAGTGGGTGACAAACTTGTAAAGGATCATGTCTCATCAAAACAAGTCTGAGTAAAACAATCACCATTGTCTCCCTTTCCTACCTCGTCTAAACACTATTTCCATTTCTAATAAAGGGGACTGGGTTGAGAAAGCCCCAGGTGGGTCTAGAGGAGGAGACCCTCTGCACTGGAGTTGCGTCCCTACTTGTCCTTCTCTCTCTGGGTCTTTCTGGGGGGGGGGCTGATTCTACCCCACACCCCACTCAGGCTCTGGGCCACTGCGGTAGTTCCTGCTGGGATCTAGCCACTGGAACCCTCCCTCCGGCCTTCCCCTTCAGGCTATAATTATTTGTGGATTTCCTGTCCCCTTCCCAGCTTAGAGAAGCTAGGTAGGAGGTGGGAGAAGGTCAGTTACCAGGACAATGAGGTCACTGGGAAATCTCTTGGGATCCAAAGTCAGAGAGAAGGTGGAGGAAGTCGCCGGCCAGTCTCTAGCTCCTCTAAGACCACAGAAAGGAAGGGCCAGCTTGCATGGGAGGCTGGAAACATAAAAGTGGAGGTTGCTGGGATACAAATGGGGTCAAAGGTCCAAAAACAAGGCCCACCTTTGCCATGCATGGGAGGGAGTGGGGGGGGGCTGATGACTAAAATGTTGAGGTTTTTTTTAGGACCAACTCTCTACCATGTTCATCCTTGAGGGGTGAAGTGAGGTAGGCTCAGTCTATCGTGCCTGTGTTTCAGAGCTCTCTGGCTCCCTGCCAGGCTGGTACCTCTTGAGTCTCCAGACTCCTTTGGCTCATGAAGTGTTCCCCAGAGGGAACAAGTCCAAGCAGGGCATGTGTGTGTACAAGGTGAAGAAGGTGGGCCCAGAGCCATGGAAGACAGGGCTGGGTTGTTCAGGATACACCCACCTCTTTGGAAAGCCCAGGGGAAGGTGGGTTAACCTGAATCAGGGTTCATCAGAGACCAGGACAAGAGAAGCTGGTCCACAGAGAGCTTAAGCAGCCTAAGATCACACACCCTGGCTGCCAATCAGAAAGCAGCACTTGGACCTAGGCATCTGGCTCCCAAGGCCACACAGATGCCCACTGCTGCTCATTAACAGTCCTTTCCGAGCTCGTTCCCCAGGTCTTCATCCACAGGAGCATTGCAGGGGCATGTGAGGGCTGTGGTAACAGCGTGTCCCTTACTCTGCCTATAGAATGTTCCTGAGGGCAGAATGCCTCTGCTGCTTCTGTGGCTGTAACCTGCCCTGAGGAAGTACAGGGGCTGAACTCAGGAGGAACGGTGGGGCTGAAAGCGTGGGCTGTGGCTGAGACAGGTTCTGGTGTGAGTGCTGTTTGCCACCTGTTAGGGTGCATTATGTAACCTTTTCCTGACTGTGGAATAATACAAACATCTGCTTCACATGGAGGCGACACAGACTCTTCCCTTTCTGAGCAACTACATGGCTTTGACTCTTCAGGGCCCCAGCTTTCTTTAGCAAATTTAAGTGCTTTATGGCTGCTTTCTTAAGTTACCACCTCAGACTCCTGTGCCCATCCCTTGAGGCAAGGCAGGAAGTGACCAGCGTGGTCATGTGGCCTTGCTAGGTCAGGATAATTCCAGGAAGGGTGAGCTGGGGATATAGCTTAGTGGGTAGAGTGCTGGCTTAGCATGCCAGGAGCCCTGAGAAGTGGCAGTTCTTAATATCCTAGTACAGAGGATGTGAGGCAAGATGATCAGAAGTTCAAGGTCATCCTCAGCTACTTAGTGACTTTAGCCTGGGCTTCATGTGATCTTGCCTCTAAAAAACAAACCAACAAAAACCAGAGACCAAAGAGATGACTCTGGATGACAGCATTTGCTGATCTTGCAGAGGCCCCGAATTTGGTCCCAAGCAACCATGTCAGGTAGCTCACAACTACCTGTAACTCCAGTTCCGGGGAATTTGACACCCTTTTCTATTTTCTATGAGCACATTCACGTGAACATGCACGCACACATGTGCAAACACACACACACACACACACACACACACAAATCTAATGATAATAGTGGAGCTCACGCTAGAGCCTGGACTGAGGGCACCAGAGGGAGCTGGGGCAGGAACTAGGGTGACTTGGGCATTTTGACTTGAATAACAAGAAGTCATTAGCACTCGGGCACTGTTTGTTCCAACACAGGGCCTGGCTGGATAACATTCCTGCCCTTCCTCCCTTCCTGGCTCCTCCTCCTCATTTCCTGTCCTTAAGTCTCTAGGGCTGTGTGTCTGGCATTGGCCTGGGCCCCATGACCCGGGCAAGGATACCCTTGGGACACCTAGTGGCTTCCTCCCCATGCTGGGCTAGTACCCATGCCAGATCTTTAGGACTCTGCCTGGGGACAGTGACAAAATGCCTGTGCCTAAGATCTGCCAGTCAGGGACAGGACTTGGATGTCAGCTCCCCATCAATGCTTTTCCAGGACCTTGAGTGCAGGCAGGTGGGGTGAGTAGAATGGGACTAGTTAGGAGACCATTTGGGTGGGAGCTCCAGTTTACCCACGGTTGACTGGTGGTCCTGCGTGTACATGGCTGCCTCATGTAGGCTCCTTGTTACTCCGTAAGTCACAAAGAACAGACACAGTCTCTGCTCTGCCTACCACACCTAGGATGAGGTGCTAGCAGGGAGGTGGATATGCTCTGTGAGCTGTAAAGGGTGCCTTGGGAGGGCTTGTAGAGAGCAGGCAGCCTGCCCAGAGCTGTTCATAAACTCCTGATGGTCGGAAAAGAGGGCTGTAAGGAGCCTTTGTGGCTGATTTGCCAGGACACAGGTGCCCTGGAGTCCCTGGTGGTGGCGACATTGCTATCAAGAGTCTTGCTAACCAATGTTTCTATGGTAAACCAGTCTTATAGGCTGCCAAGGCCTTATCCACCTTCATGGGGCTTTGGCTTGCAGTATCTCATAGAAAGGAACATGCCTTCCAGCTGCAGCCCTACCTGTGCCTCTCTGGGTAATGAAAGCCAACATACGCAACCATATGCCTGGCAATGGTTTAACAAGCTCATGGGGCCTTCCAAAAGCTTGTGGTGTTGCGTTGGTTTGCACTTGAGATTTCGTACAATCAGATTTTGTTCGGGGGAACCATTACTACAGTGCCTGGTTCCAGGGTTTGTGTTTTTAGTAAGTGAGCCACAGCCCTACAGAGGGCCCTGTGGTTGGGCACAGTCCTGAGTTTGGGGTCAAGCCTGTAGTCCCAGCTGGGAGCTGGTGTTCCCAGGCCTCCCATGAATCTTGTATGTTTTCCAACTTCCTCCAGCACCACTCCCACCAACCACACACAGGGACTGTTTGCCTGGTAGCCTAAGCATGTGTGGACCCTGGGTGAGCCCAGGAGGGATCTCACCTGCAGCACACTGGTGTGGGGAAAACCTTCCGAGAGGGGCAGCGGCATGGGGAACAAGCGGTTATCTTGCGCACTGAGCAAGCGACACCTGTTTATTTATGGCATAAGGGCTTAATGGACGCATTGAGGCCAAGACTCGGGCACGGGCAGTAGTGAGTAGGGCAGGGAAGGGTCTCACTCTGAGTTTGAAGGCCTCTCTCTGATCTGCAAACTTTCACTACTGCCCTCAGACACCACTTACCAACAGTGAGGAGTCCCTGGACTTCAGTGTGAGTCTGGAGCAGGTATGAGCAGAGCAAAGAAGAGCTGGGAGGGGGCAACAGGCTGCTGCAGGGCTTCGGGCCTAAGTTTGCCCCGTTCATGCCAGGCCACCACAGAGCGTGTGCTCAAGGCAGGGAAGCTGCTGCATCGCCATCTCCTGGCCACCTACCCTACTCTCATCCGAGACAGAAAATACCATCTCCGACTATATCGGTGAGTGGGAGTCAGTCCTGCCTGCCTTTAACAGTTACCCTGTTGGCTTTCCTTTCCTGCTCTCCTCTAGGCACTGGGACCAAGCCCTGCTTTGTAGGAAAGAACTGGGCTTGGGCCTGGATGGTGACTTTGGATGGAGATCCCTCTCACTCCTACTTTGATTCTCTGGCCTCCTTCCATTTCCCACAGGCAATGCTGCTCTGGCCGGGAGCTGGTGGATGGGATCTTGGCTCTGGGGCTTGGCGTCCATTCACGGAGCCAAGCCGTGGGCATCTGCCAGGTGTTGCTGGATGAGGGTGCCCTTTGCCATGGTGAGCTGAGCTCTGATTGGGCACTAGGACTGGGTGGAGGGAGGGAGGGAGGGAGGGCTGACCTGAGGACTGGACTCTGTTGGGAGCTCCGAAGGGGCTTCAGGCATTGTGATGGAATTAGTATGAAGTACAATCCCTGACCTGATTTTCTCTTCCCTGCCATGCCCGGGCCTTGGCTTCCCAGTGAAACATGACTGGACCTTCCAGGACCGAGATGCCCAATTCTATAGGTTCCCCGGACCAGAGCCAGAGCCTGCAGGAACTCGTGACGTTGAGGAGGAGCTTGTTGAGGCAATGGCTCTACTCTCACAGCGAGGGCCTGATGCCTTACTCACCGTGGCGCTCCGGAAGCCGTGAGTGCAGAGCCTTGTCCTTTGTCCCCACTCTCACATGACCTTCAATTAGACCTCAAAGGCTCTCAGATTCATTGGTTGGAGGGGGGGGGGGAACCTAAGCAGAAGTAGAAGCCTGAACTCAGCTTTCATGCTGCCTTGGAGTTACCGTGTGACCTCAGCCCCCACATCCCTGACTTTCTCCTATTCCTGAGGATGTTGAACCTGACAACCAACCCCCACACACTGACAGAGGGTGTGGATTTTGGACTGAGGCAGGTGAGGGTTCTTCTAGCCCAACCAGCTACTCACTGGGTGACCTTGGGCCTCTTCAGCCAGCTTCCTCTTCTGTCAAGTGAGGATAATAGTGCCCATGTCATAGTGTGAGCATGGAATGAAATAATGCGTGAAAAGGTGCTTAGCACAGTGCCTGGTACCCAGGGCTCACCCACAAAGCCTGTTATTGATAACAGTGGATTGACTGATGGTTGTGGATCCGGCATCTGGCTCCAGGCCCTGGGCTCCAGCAGGCAGGTGGGGTGGCTTCTCGCTGGTTCTGGCCCCACCTCTCAGGGCGTCCTCTGCTCCTGCAGCCCAGGTCAGCGGACAGACGAAGAACTGGACCTGATCTTCGAGGAGCTGCTGCACATCAAGGCGGTGGCCCACCTCTCCAACTCTGTCAGTACACACACAGGCTTGCCCTTTAGCTAGACCTCTTCCTCCGGGAGCCCTCAGGCTACTGATGGATGGGGTGCAGGGGTGGGGAGAGCAGTTCCCTCCCTTTTGTCTGTGGCTTGAAGATTTCTCCCGTCCTTTTCTTTTCTTTTCTTTTTCTGACTGGTTTCTTTATGTAACAGCTCTGGCTGTCCTGGAACTTGCTTTGTGGACCAAGCTGGCTTCAAACTCATGGAGTGCTAGGATAACAGGCATGCCCCACACAGTCTGGTTTCTTTTTCTTAAATTAGTTTAAAATTTTTTATGTGTATGTATGTTTTGCTCACATGTATGTCTGTATACAACATGCATGCCTGGTGCCTGAGGAGTCTAGAAAAGGACATTGGATCCCCTGGAACTGGCTGGTTACAGATGGTTGTGAGCTGCCACCTGGATGCTGGGAATCAAACAGGTCTTCTGGAAGAGCAGCCACTACTCTTAACCACTGAGCTGTCTCTCCAGTCTCTCTACCTAATTTTTTTAATGCTATATTTTTATTTCATGTACATTGGTTTGCCTGCCTGTATGAGGGTTTTGGATCCCTCAGAACTGGTGTTACAGGCAGCTGTGAACTGCTATGAGGGTGGGTGTTGGGAATTGAACCTGGGTCCTCTGGAAAAGCAGCCAAGTGCTCTCAGCCTCTGAGCAATCTCTCAGCCCCTCTCTACCTAATTTCTTATCATTAGCCCTCAGTCTGGATATTCCCATCTTTCCTGGCCTTCCTTCTCTTTGTGTCTGCCACATGCCGGGATAGCCAGCCTGGCCACAGCTGTGTCCTTCAGTGATCTGTCTTTGGATTTACCCTCTCTCTCAGCTTGTCTGTCTTTCCCCCAGATTGACACTATTGACCTTCCTTTTTCTACCCCTAGGTGAAGCGAGAATTAGCTGCTGTTCTGCTCTTTGAACCACACAGCAAGGCAGGGACTGTGTGTAAGTCGGGTTGGCCACAGACAGGGCCAGGAGCCATGGGGCAGTGGTGGGTGACAAGAGAGGACTGAGCTGATCTGTACTTCTGTCAGTGTTTAGCCAGGGGGACAAGGGCACCTCATGGTACATTATCTGGAAGGGATCTGTCAACGTGGTGACCCATGGCAAGGTAAGTCCTCCCTCCAGCCTACCACAGTCCCCAAGATTGTCAATGCTCTTTGCTTTGTGTCCACATGGACACTCCCTTTTTGATAGTCCCAAACCTGCTGATCCCACACGTGTCTGAGTCTGTCCCCTGGCAGGGGCTGGTGGTAGGGGTGGGCTGTGACTGAGTCCTGGCTTCAGGGGCTGGTGACCACATTGCATGAGGGAGATGACTTTGGACAGCTGGCTCTGGTAAATGATGCCCCTCGGGCAGCCACCATCATCCTTCGAGAGAATAACTGTCACTTCCTGCGTGTGGACAAGCAAGACTTCAACCGCATCATCAAGGTGCCACAGGGTGGGGGTGAAATGGGGCCGAGGACACATTGTGGTGTGGGGCAGAGTCACTGGTGTCTGAAAGAACTTTAAGCAGACGTGGGATCTGGCTGGGAGTGCACACCCTCAGTTTGGTGTGAGAGACCGAAGACCGGTGGGTTGCAGAGGGTGGAGTTTGGGGCTGAGGCTGGGGGCTCTGATAAAGGTGGGTCTTGAGAAGCTCTGAGGGTACTTAGGAGCCTGTAGGTGCAGGTTTGGAAGGCACACAGGAGGTCTGAAGAGGCGCCTAGGGCATTGAGCACCTGTGTGGCTCTTTTTCCAGGACGTGGAAGCCAAAACCATGAGGCTGGAAGAACACGGCAGAGTTGTGTTGGTTCTGGAGAGGTGCTCTCAGGGCACTGGCCCTTCCCGTCCCCCAACCCCAGGCAGGAACAGGTAAGGAGCTGGCCATTCTCTCCCTTCACAGCTCCACGCTGCTCTCTACTCACATACCTCTCCAGCCTCCAGCCTTAGCCCTTTTCCCCATGTTCCTGTCCTTTGGCCATCTGGGGGGGGGGCACTGAGGGATTGGGTTGATGTATCAGCATCCCCTGTCCAAGATGGAGTAGGACTAGCAAATAAGGAGGCGTGATGGAATCAATACTGACATCTATGGATGGATGATGGAAGGGCATGCACTATGGATCAACTGCTTTTCCTCTAGGTATACAGTAATATCTGGCACCCCAGAGAAGATCCTAGAACTCCTGTTGGAAGCTATGCGACCAGATTCCAGTGCTCATGACCCAACAGGTAGAGTCAGAAAACACTATCTGTTCTCGGAGTCATCAGGAGGTCACTGCAGTCTGACCTCATCAGGGGCTGGATTGGTCCATACAGGCAGTTGGCAGGAAGTGCTCTTGGCCTGGGTGGAGATCACTGTCACAGGGGCTGGGCCTTGCTTCCTTTGCTTGCACTGTACTTGGGAACATGTGTGTAGCTGCTCATATAGCGGTGCGGTGACTTGGCTTCTGAAGTCCTTTCCCATCCCTGACCCTGCCCAACAGAGACATTCCTCAGTGACTTCCTGCTGACCCACAGTGTCTTCATGCCCAGCACCCAGCTCTTCACTGCCCTCCTGCATCAATATCCTTCGAGCCCCAGGGTGGTGAGGGTAGGGGATGGGATGGTGTATGGCATTGAGGGAAGGAATCCCTATCAAAGTGACTGTTAGGACCCTTCCCTGGTGCCCTGCCCATGCCTGGCCCAGTCGGGCCCTGCCGCTCCTCTGCTCAAGTGTGGCGGGTGGCCTCAGTGGCATTGTGTGGGTTCCCTTGACTGGTGTCCACCTTCCATGTGGAGCCAGCAGAGCCTGCTGGAGGCAGCGAGCAGGAGCGAAGCACCTATATCTGCAACAAGAGGCAGCAGATTCTGCGGCTAGTCAGCCGGTGGGTGGCCCTGTATGGCCCCATGCTCCACTCAGACCCCGTGGCCACCAGCTTCCTCCAGGTACCTGGGAGTGCAGCTGGGCTGGCTGGGCTGGCTGGGGTGCCCATAAGACACAGCCTCATCCTTCCCAGGGTCTAACTCCCACCCTTTCACAGAAACTCTCAGACCTGGTGAGCAGGGATGCCCGACTTAGCAACTTGTTGAAGGAACAGTGGCCAGAGAGGCGGCGGCACCACAGGTGACCCTCTGACTGAAGCCCATCTGTCCTCTTTGTGCAGCACGGGCTGAGCAGCTGGCACTGGTCCACCCAGGGCCTCAGTCTAGGCCACTCGGCTTACGTCAAGTGTTCTTGTCAGCCCCCATTCCATTCCCACACAGTTACTCATTTGATCGTCCCATATGATGAATGCACCTGCATGCTCACTCCTTCCATTTGGCCAGTTACTGTGGACTATGGTACCGATTTTCACCCACCCTGTCCATCGATCCTGCTGCAGGGGTCCTCAGGGACCCTCTCACCTCCTCTCTCTCCTCTCTGCAGGCTGGAGAATGGCTGTGGGAATGCATCTCCTCAGACCAAGGTACCTGCCTTGCCTCGCTTCTCCGTCTGGCTGGCCCAGTTTCTTCGCTCTGCCCCTCCTACCCTCACACCCAGAGGGTCCTCGACCTGTGATGGGTGCTTAAGGGGACACCTTCATTCCTTTTGGGGGGAGGGTTATCCCTTTGGGTGACGATTCATGCCTGCAGTTGTAGCTGGGAGATGAGACAGGTGGCTGGGTTCTCCTCTGAGACCCAAAGGTTTCTAGTGGGTGGTATTGTAGGAGCTTAGATGGTATGATGAGACTGTCCCAGGGGTCCAGGTGGCCAGCCCACTCCAAGAGGGGGCTAGGGAGGGCTGAGAAGTTGTGACTGGAGCTAAGATTTGGTTGAAGAGCAGTGGGAGAAAGGACTGGGGAGGAGGTAGGATGGCTTGGTTGTGGGATACATTGGAGAACTCAAAGTCTGCATGCTGACTTCAGCCAGCCCCACTGCCCGGAGGCTCTCACTAGCGCCTTCTTGCTGTAGTCAAAGCTGGCCTCACCTCAGGACCTTTGCATTTAGCCTTTTGCATGAACCTTTTAGGGTTGCCCCTTTACCTTTCGGGATCCATCTTGTTCTGAACAGTAAGAACATATGTCCCATTTCCTACGGCAAAATCCCAGGTGTCCTCTCTGGCTTCTTCAAAGCTCTCTCCCCCTTGTCAACTGTTTCCTTTGTTTGCTAAGGGACCCTGACCTCAAACTTCTTATGCCCAGGGGTCCCCTCATCCTGAGCTTTACTATTCTGCTTTCTGCTCTTCTGTGACCAGACTCCTCCCCACACTCCAGAGCTCGTGTTGTATGTTCCTGTCTGTCATATCCCATCAGGATGTCAGGTTGAGCATGAGGGGGCCTCTACTTGTTTTACACACTGCATGTGGCTGACACTAGGGAATCAGTGTCAGTCACCCAGCATGTCAGATGCTACACTAGATGCTGGGTTCACAGTCACTCCTGGGCCAGACCTGTGAAATAGTCTCCCAGTGTGTAAAGTCAGTGAAGCCTGAAAAGGCAAGAGGACAAAAGCCAGCTTACTGACTTACCATGAGGGTTTAGGAGCTGGGGACAAAGAGGGCCCCAGGGCAGCACTGGAGGAGATGCGGATCCCAGGCAGACTGTCAGGGGCCAGAGTGTCTCCTCTCGGGGTCCCAACTATGAACCATTGAGGGGTTGAGGAGACAGTGATGACTTCTGTCCCTGGCTCAGTGTGGCTCTGCTCAGGTGGTTAGAGGAAGTGAGTGATTGCACCTGAGGGGTGGGGGGAGTTTGGAGGTAGTGAACTATTTAACAGTTAAGAGATCATCTCGGTTGAGAGAGAGGGCACTGGGGACACATTTAAATGAAGAACCCAGAAGGAAGTAACAAGCTCTGGGGAGTAGGGAGGAGCGTGGGCCCAGAACTGCAGAAAGGAAGGAGTGAAGGCAGGGTGAGGGGACCCCTGGGTGCAAACAGTCTGGGGCAATGCATCAGGGATGGGGATGTAACTTAAAGGTCAGGGTCCTGGTGAACCCAGCCGGTGGTAGCATTTGGAGCATCGTCTATGATCAGGTAGCACTTTTCATGGGGACTCTGAGGAAGCTGTCTAGGAAAGGCAGGGAGCCGGGGAGAAGCTCCATTTAGAGGCAGAGAGAAAATGCCAGATTTGGAGAGAGCATTGAGGCCAGATGAGCTCATGTTAGGACAGCTCATCAGGGAGGCTATCTGGCCTTGGCAGCCCACTCCATCAGGGCAGCTCTTGAAGGACAAGGACACAGAGGGGAGCGTAGCAAATTTCTAGCCCTGTAGCAGTTGCTGTGTGGCCTTTGGCATATTGCTTAACATCTCTGAGCTTCACTTTCCAAATCCATAAAATGAGGATTAAAAGTACTTTCCCTCCAAAGACTACTGTGCATATTTCAGTGCCCAGAACAATGTCCGCTTTGTAACAAATGCTAGCGAGGGAAAGGGAGAAGAAGAAACTTGGCCCTGGCATTTTTATCCCAGAACAGCTCTGACCCTGTTTATGGAGGTGGCTGACCTCCCTCCCCCCCACCCCATTCCCCCCATCCCCCAGCGGATGGCTGCCCTGCATTTGACCTGCATCTCCCCCAGCCTGGCTCCCTGCCCTCCCTGGACTTGGATTCATGCAGCCAGCAGAGCCCCTTGGCAGTATGATGCTTCGGTGTCCCTGCTGGTGGTAACAAAGGCCCTGCCTGTCCCTCCCCTGTATGTTATCTCTGGATTCTGGAGCCTTTTCCTTTTCCCCCTCTCAGGCCCGGAATGCACCCGTTTGGCTCCCTAGCCAGGAGGAGTCCCTCCCAAGCAGCACTGGTGCCATCAGAGTTGGGGACAAAGGTGGGTGACTAAGCAAGTCAGGCTTGGACCAGTGTCCCCATGGCTGTCTCTGTCTCCCTTGCCTGGCTGTTATTGCCCTGGGCCAGGGGAGGATATGGTCTTCCTCAGGGACCTTTGCTATAGCTGCCACCTGCGCTGCTTCTTTGGGCCCAGGGCGCCCCACGGGCCTTGGCACCCGCCTAGTAGACTTCTCCTTACACCCCTTTTCCGGCCTATGGTAGTTTTCCAACTGCTGAACTGTGGGCCTGCTCCTCCTGGGGTGGGAGAACCAGGCACCCGAGGGTCCAGCTCAGCCCCTCCTCCTCTCCAGTTCCCTACGACATCTGCAGACCTGACCACTCGGTGCTGACCCTACAGCTGCCTGTGACAGCCTCTGTGAGAGAGGTGATGGCAGCTCTGGCCCATGAGGATCACTGGACCAAGGGACAGGTTCTGGTGAAGGTCAATTCTGCAGGCGGTGAGTTGTCTCTGGATGGACTCTCCACCCTGGGAGGCTTCCCTCAGATTCACACCCTTGAATTCAGACTGTTACATGTTCGTGCCTTGCACTTGTGGTAGGATTACCGCATCTCCTCTGCCTGCTTCAGGAGCAATACTCAAGACCCATCTGGTTCTCTCACTGGCTGTGGGTCCCGGGGCAGGGTGTGTGTGAGCTCTGTGTTTGAGTTCATCACCTGTAAAGCACAGATAACAAGAGGATGTTTGAGAATTAAATGAGAAAAATGTTTAGAACAGTGTGTCACTCTTATAGACTCATTTATTCCTAATCCTAATCACAATCTCTCAAGAGGGAATTTTATCCTGGGTTTTTGTTTGTTTGGTTGGTTGTTTTTTTTTTTTTTTTTTTTGAGAGACAGGGTTTCTCTTTGTAATAGCCCTGGCTATCTTGGAACTCACTCTGTAGACCAGGCTGGCCTTGAACTCACAGAGATCCACCTGCCTCTGCTTCCCAAGTGCTGGGACTAAAGGTGTGCACCACCACCACTCAGATTTATCCCATTTTTTAATCATGGAAACTGGAGTTCAAGAGAATTGAGCATATTCTCCCACCTCACATGCTAGTGAGTACTCGGCTAGCCTTTGGTTTTAGGTGGCCCTCATTCATTAAGTCACTCAGCAGATTTCCTCATGTGTTCTTTTGTGATAAAAAGCATGATCAAAAGAAATTCAGGGAGGCAAATGTACATTCCAACTTACATCTTATCAGCCCATTGTGAAGGTGAGTGAAAGAACTCAAAGTAGAGGCCACAGAGGGGAGCTGCTCACTGGCTTGCTCCCCATGGCTTGCTCAGCCTGCTTTCTATAGAACCCAGGACCACCAGCCTAGGGTAGCACTGACCACAATAGACTAAGTCATTTCAGATCAATCATTCATCAAGAAAACACCCCCATACACTTGCTACAGGCTACTCTGACAGAGGCATATTCTCAAATGAGATTCCCTCCTCTAAGATGAGCCTAGCTTGTGTCAAGGCTACAAACCAACAAGCATAGCAAACACTTTTAAAATGAGATTTTTTTATATTTTTATTTTATGTGTATGGGTGTTTTGCCTAAATATCAGGTCTGTGCACCACCATACATGTGTTTGGTCCCTAGATCTCCTGAAGATGAAGGTACAGATAGTTATGAGTCACCAAGTGATGCTAGGAATTGAACCCAGGTCTCTGGAAGAGTAACCAATGTGTTTAACTGCTGAACCCTTCTTCAGCTCCCACAGCAAGCATTTTAAGGGTCATCTATGTAGCAGCAATGAGTTAGGTGCTAGGACTACTATAGAAACTATGACAGATCAGTTGGATGGTGACAACATAGACTAATTCCTAGAGCTATGTGAGAATAACAGTTTAAGCTCTACCCAGCTGGGACACCCTGGACCTCTCTGGTCTCCATTTCCTTGTCTGTCCAGTGATCATTATCCCTGTACTGTTATGAAAGCCTGCTGTAGCTGTTAGACTACAGATAACAATTAAGGCTTGTAACCCAGAGTCTAGCACATCTCTGCCTAGACTATGATCTAGGTTATCAGGACCTACTTTCAGAGAATCTGATATGTTGAAAAAGTCATTGTTATCATTGAAAAGTGTAGCCTGGGCCTAATGGCCAGAGCCCAGCAGTCAGGAACTGGGGTCATCAGGGAACTGTGGCAAGGAAACCCCCACTTCTCCAGCTTCAGGAGCTAGCAGGAACCAGAGCACACCTGTGTGTCAGCTCTGAGAAGCACTGCCCTCTGGTGGTTACCTGGTGAGTTAACATTGGCCAAAATCCTGGCAGTCATTTTCATACCACTGATGAACACCTATGCCAGTAACCAGTGCTCTGTCACAATCTCCCTAAATATACATTTGCTTACAAATTACACATAAAAATATCACATAATCTACATGTGATTATAAAGATAAACAAAAACTAGAAACACAAAGCAGGTGAGAAAATAGATTAAATAGAGGAGCTACTTTTGTCATTACACGTGTAGTCTGGTAAGCCACTGGCCAAGGGCTTAGAGACTTGAACACACAAAGCCTTGTCCAGTTCACAGCTGATGAAAGTAACAACAGGTTTATTGGGCGTTTCCTAATCTTCAGAGTGCTTCTTTATACACATCTTTTACTTGCAACAGGCACACTCCTAAAAGTGTCCTATCCTAGGAAATAGCTGGGGTGAGTCCTACCATCTTCAGTTGATGAAGGAAGAAACTGAGGGTCAGGAAATTTGAGGCCTCGACCAAGATTGACCAGTCTCCTGTGCTGCCTGAGTGGGCATGTGCACCTGTGTGCTTAGGATCTACTCAGCCACTGCCAGAAGAAAACTCTCAGAGAGGCAGGGGCCTCCAGCTGGTCTCTGGCCTCCCTCCAAACCACCTTTCCTCATCTGTGCCTGTTGCCTTTGCAGATGTTGTTGGCCTGCAGCCAGATGCCCGCGGTGTGGCCACATCCCTGGGGCTCAACGAGCGGCTCTTTGTTGTTGACCCACAGGAAGTGCATGAACTGGTAGGGACAGGCAGGTTGCCAGAGACTGGGGAGCTCTGTGAGGCAGAGTGGGGACTGGGGGAGGGCCACAGGGAAGAGAGGGAGGTGTTCAGCTCTGACTGCTACTGTGTCTTTACAGGGAAGAGGGAGGGATGGCCTCAGCATCTGTGGAGAGTTCAAGGGGAAAGGGGCTAATCTAGCTCCATACTCATAGGGGCTCAAGCTGGATTTCCAGCATGAAGGAGTGTCAGTACAGTGATCCCTCAGGAGAGAGCCCATTTTCCAGCGGCCACAGACCCAGGAAACCCTCCACTTGGAGTGCCCTGTCTGTCCACTGTCCCTCTGGCCACAGGCAGGGTCCCAGGTCCTCCTCTATGTCTGAGTGCTCTTTCCCCTGCAGACCCCACACCCTGAGCAGCTGGGACCCACTCTGGGTTCTTCTGACATGCTCGAGCTAGTGAGCGCCAAGGACCTGGCAGGCCAGCTGACAGACCACGACTGGAACCTCTTCAATAGGATCCACCAGGTGCAGCAGGTAGAGCTGAGGAGGGAGGCATGGGTAGGACACCAGGCCTAGCCTGCTGACCTGGCCTGTGGCCCATCCAGGTGGAGCTGATCCATTATGTCCTGGGCCCCCAGCACCTGCGCGATGTCACCACTGCAAACCTGGAGCGCTTCATGCGCCGCTTCAACGAGCTGCAGTACTGGGTGGCCACTGAGCTCTGTCTGTGCTCGGTTCCCGGCCCCAGGGCTCAGCTGCTCCGGAAGTTCATCAAGCTGGCAGCCCAGTGAGTGCCTGTGGGCACAGTGGAGGATAAGGGGTATAGGAGGGTAATGGGATGTGTGGAAACTGGGGTGTGTTGCCAGCCCTGTGGCTACCTCTTCTTACCCCCCTTCCAGTGTTGCCCAATATGCCCTCTCTTTGTTCCTGGGTCCCCAGAGCCTTTGCCTCCTAACCCATGCACCCTGCAAAGGCAGCACTGGGCTCATGACTGTTTCCTCTGACGGTGTCTGGGTCTTGTGCTCACAGCCTCAAGGAGCAGAAGAATCTCAACTCCTTCTTTGCGGTCATGTTTGGCCTCAGCAACTCTGCCATCAGCCGCCTGGCCCACACCTGGGAGGTAGGATTCCAGAAGGATCTGATGCCACAGCCAGGCCTCAGTTCTCCTGGGGGATGTCGAGGGGAGGGGCCCTCTTCCTGGCCATGGCCCCTCACCCATCTCATGTTTACAGCGTCTACCCCATAAAGTACGGAAGCTGTACTCTGCCTTGGAGAGGCTGCTGGTAAGTTCTAGGCCCATTTCTGCCGTCTCTGGACACTGGCAGAGCTTTCAGTGCCTAACTAGGGCCTGGATCCCTCTCTGGCCTGTGGCTGTAGACGCTGGATGAGGGTGTGCAGCATAGTGATTGAGGCCTTGTGGTGTACTGTGCCACTTGGTATTCATGTAGGGACATTTGCCCTGGATATGAGACCGCAGCAGGCTCAGGGATGTCCTAGGTTTGAGATTCATCGAGGGGTGGGGTGTCAGGATGTCGGGCTCTACTAGCTGCTCTGCCCAAGGGTTCAAGCTGATGGCCAAGCATGGCAGGAAAGACAAGACTGAGATCTTCTGCTCCTTGAGGTTGTGAGCAGGAGGCCCACTGTGTCATATAGAAGGGTGTCACTGTCCCCTCCAAGACCCTCAAAGGGCTTGCAGACTGAACTTGTAAGACAAAAGTGAGGAATGAGTCAGTGGTTGAGCCTCCTGGGACTTTGGAAAGTTTTGTAAAATCTAGAGAGAAGAGCACCAAGGTGTTTTCAGCCTTGGGAGTTCTCAGGAGAATTGATCACCTCTTAGGATCCAAGGGGTTCAGGGAGCACACCCAGAGAGGCTGAGAGAGTTTCCCAGAAACCTTCAGGCCTCTGTGACTAATCACCGTGCAGTTTCCCTGAGGGTATTTGGAGCTTAGAAAGCCAGTCCTTGCCCCACTTAGGTCTACTACATACCCCACCTCAGTGAGATGCTGTAGGGAGGGGGGACTGGCTTGGAGTCTCTCCATTGTGGCCTGGGACCCAGGAGGGGATGGGTCTGTGCCATCATGTGCTGGACTCCCTCAGGGCAGCCTTTTCTCCTCACAGGACCCCTCATGGAACCACCGAGTGTATCGACTAGCACTCACCAAACTCTCCCCTCCTGTCATCCCCTTCATGCCCCTGCTACTCAAAGGTAGGACTGGTGCCTCCATCCCTGAGCTCATTTTCATGTCCCCTCAACACTCGCTGGTGATGACGACGGAAGGGCTGACACACAGGGAGTTGACGAGCCAAAGGAAGAGTTAGGACTGGAACATAGTAGGGCTGCGCTGAGGGCTGTGATACAAGTCCAAGAGATAGATGACTGGGAGTTGCAATGGCTCAGAGGCTGCTAGAGGCTGAGGGTGGACAGGCCCTGTGATCCCTGTGGTTGGCCCCTCACCTTTCCTGGGATGCAGGAGAGGAAGGAGTTTGGGGACCTATAAGTTAAGTCATCCCTTTGTAGACATGACCTTCATCCACGAGGGAAACCACACGCTCGTAGAGAACCTCATCAACTTTGAGAAGATGGTAAGTTTGAGGAACGTGGGCTTCACCTTTGGTGTGGGTTGTCAGTATAACATGGGGAGGGGTCAGGGCTGAGGCAGTGTGACAATTGCCTTGGAAGAGTCAGGGGTGGGTGTCAGCTGATAGTGTTCAAGTGATCTCAGTACACAGGAGGCTGAGGCAGGAAGATTCTGCCGAGTTTAAGAACAGCCTGGGAGATAGATGAGAGAGAGAGAGGAGAGAGAAAAATCTTGGCTCAAAAAAGTAGGACAGAATATTTGTTAAATCTCCTCCATTATTGCAGTGTGCACGGGAAGGGGGTCTGCCTTCTATTGGAGCTACTAGGATGACAACCTCAAACATCTCACTGTTCAATAAGAGCCCCCTTCTAACTCTCCCTTATCTCTTAGCCTTCCCTAATCTGTCTTCAAACTGCTGTGTTGTGACTTTTTTTTTTTGCTCTTTTTTGAGGGGCCCACCACCCAGCTCCCAAGTAACTCACACATGAAGGCTTATTCTTAGTTTTGAGTGCCAAGCCTTAGCTTGACTTATTGCTAACCAGCTTTTTTAAAGAATATTTTTGTAATTAAACATTATGCAAACACTTGTCATACTTACTTTGTCCATGCATATGCACTATGTACAGTTTTGAAAAATACTCTGTTGTTCTCGTTTTAAGTCATATACAAAGTTTTTGTGTTTTTTGTCCATTCTTCTTGCTGCCTACCCCCTTCCCTCTCCCAAGAATAGCTAGCTTTATAAAAAACTAACTTATCTACCTCCTCCCTCTGGGCTTCTTATCTTCCTTATTTCATGGCTGATCCCTGACCTCCCTCCTTGTTCCCTCCCCCCCTTCCTCATTTCTCCCTCTATTTATACTCTCTGCCTGACAGCCCTGCCTACCCATGCTCCTGCCTTGCTATTGGCTGTTCAGCTCTTTATTAGGACCATCAGGTGTTTTAGACAGGCAAAGAATCACAGCTTTGCTGAGTTAAACAAATGCAGCATTAAACAAAAGTCACACACCTTTACATCATTTGTTTAAATGTTCCACAGCGTAAACAAAAGTCACACACCTTAAAATAATATTCTCCAACACTGCTGCTAAGTTCCTGTAGATCACCTGGGTGTGCTGGGTTGAGGCAGCCTTAATCATCTTTTATAGATCCCTAGTCTCTAGGAACATGGTTTAAAAGGGGGTTTGACTCCTGGCTTCCCATATGCAGGCCAGGCTCTGGGCTCACAGACCAGATCTTATGTTTTTGTGTCACCCACAGCGAATGATGGCCAGAGCCATGCGAATGCTCCACCACTGCCGGAGTCACAGCATTGGTAAGAGGTGACCCCCCTCCCCCCACCCTTGGTAAGACTCCCTTAGTGCTCCCAAGGAAGCTCAGCATGGCCATCTCCCTGATTCGCCCCTTTCACCCTGCCCAGTGCCTCTGTCACCACTCAGAAGCCGAGTGTCCCACATCCACGAGGACAGCCAGGCATCAAGGATTTCCACATGTAAGTGATGGGACAGGGGTACTGGCAGGAGTTGGCATAGCCAGGGACAGAACTGGGAGCTTATGTACAGTCCCTTGGCATCTGTGTGAGACAGATGCCAATTCTAGCCCAAATTAAAGAAGGTAGTGATGGAGGAGGAGTTCTCATGCCAACTCCAGCCTATGTATTTATCTGATGAGTTGTATGTGGTTAAGGAATGAATAGTCATGACATACGGTTTGTATCACCATGCCCATCCTGTGTTCACACATACATCCATGCTGATAATAAATTGAGCTTTTGGCTCAGTCCAAGTAGGAGAACACAGATGATAATGTGGTTCTCCACTGTCTACTCTCTCCCAGTAGCCACTATGATGACTTTTGAGTTATCTGCTCTGTCTTTTCTTTTGTATTTTGCTGATTGATTGGTATTTGAGATAGTTTTACCTTTTAGCCCAGGCCAGGATTCCAAGCCTGAGCCATTTTATATGCTTTTTGTTTTTGTTTTTAAATAGTCTTATCTCAAACCCACATGCTTCATACATATTATAATACTTTTTTCAGGATTTATTTTTGTTTTATTTATGTGTGTATGCACATGTACACTGTGTGGGAATAGATGCGCACACACACTCGTATATGTGTTGTACATGTGTGTAGGGATCAGAACAGCCTTGGGTGTTGGTCCTCAGGCACCTACCCTTTCCTTTTTTGTGAGCCAGGTGCTCACTGGCTTGGAACTTAGCGAGTAGTCTAGACTGGCTGACTGGCCCCAGAGATCTGCATGCTTTTACCTCACCAGCATGGGAATCATAGGCGCCTGCCGGTTCTAGGGTTTGGCCTCAGGTCTTCATGCTTACAAGACAAACAGTTCACACCCTGAGCTAGCCTTCTTGCCTTTATTGGGTTATTTGTTTGACTTTTTTGAGCCAAAGTTGTTGCTGGCCTAGAACTTGCTATGTAGCCTAGCCCTGCTTCAAAGTCACAAAGATCCCCTTGCCTCTGCCCTGTGGGTTCTGGAGTAAAGGCGTGCGCCACTGTTCTTGGCCATGTTTATTTTTTTTTCTGAAAGCAGGGCCTGGAACTCTCCATCCTCCTGCCTTGGTTTCTGAAGCTCCAGGGTTATAAACAGACACCACGACATCAGTCCAGCTTCAGGTCCTTTTGAACTTAGAGAGGAGATACTATGCTGAGCTCTTTCTGGCCTTTTTTCTTCAGACTTTGCAACTGCTGTCCTCCTGAATCTGGTGGGGAAAGACGCAAGGACGATAGTGGGGGAGGACGCTAGTGTTAAGAGGGTGCAGGGTGTGGAGTGGAGGCCCAAGAGTTGAGGCTGCTCCTCGGAGAGGGCAAGGGTGTGTTTGGTGAAGTGGCAATGGTGGCTGCTGATGGCTCTCTTTCCCTCCAGGCTCTGAGCAGTCCCTGAGCACCCGGAGTCCAGCTAGCACCTGGGCCTATGTCCAGCAGCTGAAGGTCATCGACAACCAGCGGGAACTGTCCCGCCTCTCCCGGGAGCTGGAGCCGTGAGGAGGGACTGGGCGGAGCAGGCACTTCTCTCAGAGAAAGCCAGAGCCTGTGGGGCCCAAGAGGTTCAGAGGCCAGCCACAGCTGGGCAGGGCTCTCCGTGGAGAGGACTCAAGGCCCTGGAGTGGGCAGTGTAGAGGCAGCTGTCCCCTGTGATGACTGTTGGCTAAGGAGACCTTTGATGTGGAACTGAGCCGGCCACAAGGCCAAGGAAAAGGGGACATGGAGGCCCAGGAGTGTGTAGGAGAGCTAGGAGGTACAGGACTCCGAGGCTCAACAGAGAGCTCTTTCTCCCAGGCTTTTTGCACCATCTGCACCAGCTGTGCCGCCCCATGGTCGCCAGGCCCTTGTTTTTCATAGGGGTCAGAGAGCTCACATCTGAACGATGTGAGTGCACAGGGTGGGGCCTTGCCTGGGAAAGGGTGGGGAGCTCTGCGTTTCTCTCCACACATCTGAGATAAGCAGCTGGGTGTAGGCAGGGCTGTTGCCTAGAGTGGTGGTCCCTGTGGCGCTACATTGTTCCCATAAATTAACAAAGATATGTGTGTTCTACAGCCTGGGTGTGTGGCAGGGAATGGCCGGTGGAGGAGGAGGGGGTTTTCTGGGTGCAGAGAGCAGGCCCAGCACCTCGGGCTGGCCTCCAGAAAAGCTGACTGCTGCCCAGATGGGTTACAGTGCTATCCCAGGCACTCTGAGGACCATCAGCTCTGCAAAATGAAAAAAAAAAGATAATGAAAGTCCAGATGCAGCTAGCGTTCTCTATGGTCTCCTTCCCAGCCCTGCTTCCTCTATCTGCCCTTGATCCTGGTGGGTGGTGTGTTATGCTGAGCAGAGGCCTCAAGGGGGTGAGGGAAAAGACAGGCAGAGGACACAGAAGCATAACTGATTCCTGAGAAACAGGAATTTATGAGTTGAGTGTCCCTCACCCCACCGGCACATAGTCTGTGTTGGTTAAGGACCTTTTTTTCTTGCCTCTTCAGCACCTGCCTGGGCAGAGTCATGCCTAGAAACTCTATGCCAGGATGCTACCCTCTCTGCTGTCCTTGGCAGTGCTAGGCTGATCTGAAAGAAACCCCACAGCCTCCACCATGACCCTGAGTAAACTCCAGGGCAGCTGCACTCTCAGGCATCTGGAGGAGGCATGCCCACAGCAGCAGGGTGGTCCTGTACTTGTCCTGCAGGTGTAGTAGCTAGATCAGACTTGACATACTCTGCCCCCCCCATACACAGACATACACACACCTCCACACTGGCAGACTCCTCAGCCTGGGGTTATAGACACTGTGGCAGCTGCTCCCAGGAAGATATAAGCTCTTGGCAAGAAGACAGCACACAGACATTACACCTCTGGTCTAAAATGAGCCTGAGCACACCAGTGTGTGTGCTTTGCCTTCATTTGTCCAGCTGTAAAGTGGGTGTGATATAAGGTTGTTGGTGACAAACAAGGCAGCAGGTCTTTCCTCCTCCAGAGTGACTGTCACAGTCCTGTGTCCGTGACCTGGAGGATGAGCCGCATCTCCTGCAGTGGAGTCTGAGACAACTCTCAGGATGGAATCAACTGGTGGGATGACCAAACCGGTCCTGTTGCCTGTGGGCAGGGAGGGAGGATCTGAGGGAAGCATCCAGAACTGAGCAATCATGAGTTCAGGCCCAAGCCTCAGTGAGTCAGGAGTCCCTGAAGCTTTCTTGCCTTCTAAGCCCATTGGCACTGTTTCAGTTGAGGCCATGCCAGGCACTCAGTTCTTTGCCATCTTCGCAGACTCCAGGATGAAACCAACCCAGCGATGAGACAGACTTTGTCCTTCACCTGCTTTCATTTCTTCTCCATGGTCACTCTTACCTTCTGCCCAACATTCTGGGCTCCTTATGGGTCTTCCAGGTTAGACAAGCTGCAACTTTCCAGCCTCTCTTTCTACCCCTGCCTGGACCTCTTTGAGCCTGTTGGAACAGATTCTGGCAGGAGAACAATGCCCTGGACACATAGGTGACACAGGCTGGGGTGTGGATGTATGAGCGAGGTCACTGCCTAGGGGACAAGGGACAGAGCAAGAGTCCAGGCTTCTGGTAGGTAGCAGTCTCCAGATGTTCAGGCAGAGGACAGGGAGGGTGCTCCTACTCTCTAGATTCCCAGGCTATGTCTATATGCGGGTGGTGAAGGCTCCTGAAGTCAAAATAAGAGGGGAAGATCGCAGGCCTGTTTTAAAGAGGCTGAACAGGGGAGGAGGGCCCGAGAGCTAGATTTTAAAATCTTGCTACCTAAAGGATGTAGAATGGAGGCACGTGTCTATCTTGTGAGAGAAAGCAGCATGGAATGGTCATTGCACATGTCTGTGACCCTCCCCCTCTCCCTGTGGTCCCTATAAAGATTATAGCCACAGGCTAGGCCAGGCCAGGCTTGGTCTTCACCAGGGGAGGTTATGCTTCTCAAGCAGTGCAGTGCCTGGTGAAAGGGTAGAGGTTGGAGCCAGCCCATCCCTTGTCCTTCAAACTTTATCATCTGTCATAGGGTCGGCACAAAGCAGTGACCGTCAGCTCAGAGTTCAGCTGGCTGGAAATAGGCCTGCTTTCAGTCTTTTTGGCTCTGAGTCCCCAACAGCCCTGGACCAGATTACACTCTGCTTCCCAAGTTGCAAAAATTAGACATTCTGATGTTGCTGTTATTCATGAGATTTTGTCAGGGTAATAATAGTCTGAGATTTGAATAGTGCCTCTGGTCTCTCTCTGTCACACTTTCACATCTACGATCTTATTTTTATCCTGGCGACAGAATGGGAACTACAGGTTATTTTTTTACCTTGTTTCATAGTCAGAGGAACTAAGGCACGGAGAGATTTGCCTAAGGTCACCTAACGGCTTAATGACAGGGTGACAGTGTGAAATAACTACGTAAGTATCAGTCATGCCCCTGGTGTGTCCAGTGCCACCTCCCTGGATCCCATTTTCTTCTGTAGGAATAGCCCAGGTGTACAGTCCCTGATCTCTAATGTTGGGATCTGATCTTTAAACATGGAGTGAAGGCTCTTCAAGTAGTGAGATCAGCTGCTCTCACCTTTCATGGATCAAGATACCAAACCCATCAGAAGAGGAAGTTAGAGGGTAATAAAAGCCCTGGGCTGCAGAGTTCATCTCTCACCAGAAGACTTGAGTGAGGCCCAGAGCTGCCCTCACATCAAAATGCACACTCACAGGGCTCCTCCCTCCATCAGCCTGCAGAGCACTGCTTCTTGAGACTGGAGCCAACTCTGATCTTGAGGTTCATGTTTTTCCCCTTCCACAAGTCCGTAGACCAGAAAGTACATATGTGTTTCAAATCTTTACCCCACAGATGAAGAATTGGTCTTCTTACATGTTTGCTGGGGCCATGAGCCTGCTTGCCCAGGCCTGTCTACTTACCCCCATTGATTCAGGGATCCCTCTTTCAGATCCTGGACCATCCCCCTGAGCTGAAGTCCTTCCCTAGCCTAGCTTGGTGGCATCTGAGGGTGAAGGGCTTGCAGCCCAGGGCAGGTATTGTATCCCTCCTATTGGCGATAAAACAGGACTAAGATGGGAAGCCACAGCTGCCCTAGGGATGTTTTCTGACCTAGGCCTGAGGGGACAGACTTTCTTGCAGGATCTGGAGCTTTGATAGGGCAGAAGGGGTGGTTGAAACATGAAGGACAGAGCTTTGGAACCCCTGGAAGTAGGAAGAAAGTTTGAGCTGGGTGTGCTAGGTGCTATGAATTTTGGTTGCTGTGCAGATGGAGGTGGCTGCCCAGTGTGGCCCTCAGATCAGTGCTTAGAAATGGATTGGTGGTCTCAGGACAGTGGCCACATAATCCAGAGCAGTTTGGCAAAGTGAAAAACAGTATCCTTGTTCAGAAGGGTGCACAGCCCCAGGTCAGGCACGAGAGTACGCCAAGTGGGAGTCTTGCTGAGTTTTCTTTCATTTCCATACATGTCCTGCACCTTACTGTGAGAGCTCAGAGCTCAGCCTCACGTTCTTTTTTCTTAAAGCCAATACTTATTATTATTTTAGATTTATTTTATTTATTATGTATACGGTGTTTTGCCTGCATGTTTGTCTACAGGCCAGAAGAGGGCACCAGATCTCATTACAGATGGTTGTGAACCAACATGTGTGCTGGGAATTGAACTCAGAGCCACTGGAAGGGCAGCCAAGTGCTCTTAACCACTGAGCTGTCTCTCCAGCCCCCAGCCTCACATTCTTACATGACCTGCTAACCTAAAAGTGATGCAGTTGATAAATGTCATTCATCTTCTGCAATATATGTTTTTAAAAAGCATTCAACCTTTGCTACCTCTTAGCTATTGTCATTCTCTAAAGCCTGCATTTGTGGGTGTGTCCCCAAGTCTGCCTGTGTGAGTGTGTGGGTGTGTGACTGCTTGCTTTTCTACTCTGTGATCTAGGTAATCTAGAGAAAGCCTTATTGTGTAATGTATGTTGTAGGAACATTCTAATGAATAGTGGTCATTTGGGGACAAACAGAATAGCTCCTAGACAATAGCAGTAGATGAGTCCTCAGGGCAAGGCCCAGGGTGTTGCTTGGAGAAATGGAGTTCTGCAGCAGCTCTGGGGAATCACTCTGCCAGGAAGACCTGAGATGCGCCCAGGGTCCCGCTCGGAGAGCCCATGAATGGAAAGGCCCCTAGTGTCCCTTTTCTCTTGCATCTTCACAGCAAGCACCTGCTGGTGACCACAGCTAATGCTGTGCCACAGCAGTGTTAGGGACATTAGCCTTCCAGGGAGCAAGCAAAGGCTGCAAGCTGCACCTCAGAAGTCAGAAGTAAGACTCTAACCAGGTGAGGTAGGCACTATGACTCTTTGGACCCCAACACCAAAACAGAGTCTTCAGTTTTACATTGAAATAAAATTTACATTTATTTTTTAATATATATCATAATTTTTGTCTCTAATTATTAATTAGGTTTTTTTGTTTTGACAGGGTTTCTATGTGTAGCGTTGGCTATTCTGGAACTCACTCTGTAGACCAGGCTGCCTTTGAACTCACAGAGATATGACTGCCTCTGCCTCCCAAGTGCTGGGACTAAAAGCATGTGCCACCACTGCCCGGCTTATATCTCTATTTTTAATCTCTCTTCTCCCCTCCCTCCCTCCCTCCCTCCCTCTCCCTCCCTCTCTCTCTCTCTCTCTCTCTCTCTCTCTCTCTCTCTCTCTCTCTCTCTCTCAGAGGCTTTCCCTCATCATCTTGTCTAAATCGAGCCCCCCTCTCACTTGACACTAGGTCTCATATATTCTAGCCTGGCCTTGAACTTGATATGTAGCAGAGGATAATTTCAATTTTCTTTTAAGCACTGATTTGTTTGTGTGTTTATTATTTGTATATGTGTGCACAGAGGAGCTCTTGAATGAGGGTATCAGATACCCTGGAACTGGAACTAGCAGGCAGGTGTGAACTACCATGTGGTACCAGGAACCAAGCCCAGGTCCTTTGCAAGAGCATCAAGCACTCTTTTTAACATGTTTCTTATCATGTATTAATTATACACAATTGGTTTCATTATGGCATTTTCATTCATATAAAATGCTTTAAAAATCACAATTACCCATTACCAAGTTTTGTTCCCCTTTCACTTCTCCTAAACTTAGAATCCTCCTGCCACTGCTCCAGAGTGCTGGGCTCATGGGCATTCCCCTCATGCTCAGTTTATGAAGTGCTTAGGACAGGCTTTAGGATTCGTGTGCCTACTGAGTTACATTATCTGCCCCTCCCATTCTTTAAGAATTACTTTTCTAGTTTTGTTACATACTAGGCACTGCTCTACAGGGTCAAGTATGACATCACTCTGTTCTTATGGCAGCCTTGCCAGGATATTGCTTCCTTTATTTTGTACCTATAAGGGAAACTGAGGACTGGAAGGTCAGGAAAGTTGCCCAGGGTGGTGAAAGGTGGCAGAGTTGGCATTGCAGAGGTGACCTAGCCACAGGATCAGTGTCCTCTTACTGTGTCCTGGTGGACCAAATCAGAGCTTCAAATACAATTAACCCAGTGTCTCCCGTCTCTCAGATGCTAACTAGCGCACCTTGCATCTGCTATGTGGACATGTCTGGCACAGTGGCACTTCGTTCTTACCACCTGCGAGGTGCATGGGTGGACAAGTGAATACATGAGAAAGGAAATTCCTCATGGTCTGACTCCCTAGCATAATAACCATGCTAGTTTTGACAGAGTAGATCTTCATGCATGGATCAGGAACCACTCCTGCCAGTCCAGTGTACCATTACCATCTTTAAGAAGCCAGGATGGTTCTACTGTGCCAACACCCCTGGACAAGACGTTGGTAAGGTACCTCCTACCAGCACCTGGCTCCTGGTCAGCCCAGGGCACGTCTCTTTGTCTCATTTGCTCACAGCCTTGCTGGCTCCTGGAGGCTCCTTATCTTTGTCTGCCAGGCCCATCCACGTCTTTGTGTGTGTGCTGAGCCTAGACGCTTTCCAAAGGGTGGAGGACCTTTGTAATTGTAATTTTACTTCATCATCACTGTTGAAGAGTAGAAAACAAACATTGGCACAATTGCCTGGCATTCTGCAAGTGTTTCAAGTAGGCGAGTCATTACTCTGGAACCAAAAAGTATGAAGTTATGTCATAAGTTTAGAAGCTGATAGAATCCTGGATTCTGTCTATGTTGACTGTTCTTTCAAGTTGTAGTGTTAAAACTAATACTAATACACTAATGATGTGTTTCAGTTTGATGTTGCTCTAGCAAAGCACTGGACAATGGGTAAGTTTATAAAGAAAAGAAGTGTAAATTTTTGTTGTTTTTGATTGTTTTGAGACCAGGTTTCCCTATGAATCCTTTACCAAACATTTATCTTTAAAAAAATTTTTCTTTTCCAAGACAAGATAAATCTGTAGCTTTGGAGCCTGTTCTAGAATTCTCCCTGTAGGTCAGACTAGTCTCAAACTCACAGAGATCCACCTGTCTCTGCCTCCCAAGTGCCTGGATTAAAGGTGTGTGCCACCTGACTCAAACATTTATCTTGATACTTATATTTTCTTGCCTTAACCTCTAGAGTTCTGGGACTTTAGACATGCTGTGTCCCTATGTCCAGCTTAGAAAAGAGGCTGGAGGCCAGCAGTATAGGATGGAGGGGTTTGTTGTTTCAGTCTTTGGACCCAGTGGTGCATGGGAACCAGCACAGTGGTGCATGGGATCCCAAGGAAGTTCCTGTAGGAACCAGCCCTGCTCTAGACAAGGAGGAGAGGCCAGGCTTGCTTGACACAACACAGCCCCCTAGGGAGAACTAACCATGAGGGTCCTCTGGGAACTCCCTTAATCCCTGCTACTGACAGCTGACCCTTCTGGTGACCTACATGCTCTACTTCTCAAAGGCCCACCACCTCTTCATCAACACACCAGGAAGAAACCTCCAAACCAACCAACCCTTGAACCCTCGAGGGTCACGCCACAACCCAGCCATGGAGAAGGTTATGTGTGTGCTTGAGCATTTAGGTTCCACCCACAATTTCCATTGGCCACAAATGTAGATGCCAGCAGGCTCTCACCTGACAATATATCCTAGCACTTGGGAGATGGAAGTCATAGTGAGTTCAGGGTCAGCCTGGGCTCCAGGAGACCCTGTGTCAAACACACACATACACACAAAGACACAAATGTACACACAATAGCTAAAGCCAGCTTTTTGTTTTTGTTTTTTTTTTAAATAAAAATACAACTTCAGTATGGATTCCTGGGCCCCACTTCTACCCAGTTCCTTTCAGTGTAAACTCTTTAATCTTCATGGCTCAGTACATCCATCTGCTGCCTCTACTTGCTAATTAATGTCTTCCCTCAAATCCTTAGTGATGAGGAACAAGGTGGAAGTCTTTCCATTCCCTCATGCATTCATATGGATACATATTGACAGTTATCTAATACCAGGCATCCAAGGAGACTTGGGATCCTCATCTCAAGGAATTTCAGAGATGAGATACACAACAGCTGGATAGGTAAAAGAAGTTAACTGGTACCTGGAAGAGGTGATTGTGATGTGTCAAAGGCATGAGATGATATCTGGAACAGAGTCTGTGACAAGAGAGTTCTTGGGGACTGGAGGATGAGTGATAGATGGACAGCCAGTGAGCAGAGGGCGTTTTAGGCAGAGGTCAGTGTGGTTGTAGCTGGCTGAATCATATGCATAGCCCAGAACTCTGAGATGAGTGTACCCAGCAGTAAGTGTGGTGCCCAAAGTCAGGCTGCCCGCAAACTTCAAAGGAGAAAGTAGAAAGCAGAGTGTGCTGTGTAGCATTCAAATTGCTGTAGAAAAGAAACCACATGTGTGCAGTTGAGAGCCATATCGAGATCAGATGTGGATGGCTATGCTGGGCCTTCCTCCTTGGGTTAGGGCACTCTTGAGCTGCAGCCTAGACAGCTAGCATCTTTAGGTATTTAGGTCCCTTTGGAAGATGAATCTGGGGTGCCCTGATGGCCCAGCCACAAGTTCTTCCAGGCTCTGCTTCCTGTTGACATTAATTGGTCTTTGTCTCACAGGACTGCCATAGTAGAGTGGGCTATCTGGGGGCATATATCCCCTTTTATATTCCTGGGGCCAGTCTTCTTTCTCAACCCTCTGATCCTGCTTGGCCGTGGCTCCCCATGGTAGCTCAATGAGCCCAGTGATGAGTGAACTACTTCTGGGATCATGTGTCCTCTGTACCAGCAGAAGTCTATAATTTCAGGAAGGCCCAAACTCATGGATTGGGGAGATGGCTTGCTGTCGAAACATGAGAACCTTAGGATCCCCAGAATGCATATAAAGGTCAAACCCAGTATTATCTGAATTTGCAGTTCCAGAATTCCTCTGGGGATAATGGGAGGTGGTACAGACAGAAACCCCCTGGATGCTCATAGGCTGATCATCCGGGCAAACACGTGGGAAAACAATACAGATCTTGTCTTAGATGAAAACCAACCTGACCTCCACACATGTACTGTGGCATGCATGTGCCTGTACTCATACATAAAAATATACACACGTATATACAGAGAGTCAGAGAGAGAGATGGATGGATGGATGGATGACAACATATTTTAAGGCCTAAACACAATTACAGCATAGCACTTAGCATAAAGTGACAGTTTAATAAATATCACCTGACCTGGGGCTAGAGCAATGGCTCAGCAGTTAAGGGCACTGATTGCTTTTCCAAAGGACCTGGGTTCAATTCTCAGCACTCACATGGTAGCTCACAACTCTTTGTAACTCCAGTACTAGGGGGCTCGACACCCATGGCAAAACTCCAATGCACATAAAATAAAAATAAATATATTTTAAAAATCACCTGACAGAACACCCACTTCCCGCATCTCTGACAGCCGACTGGCCCCTGGCACTGTCCCTAGCAGACTCAGCCTCTTCCCCTTCTCCCACACCACCACAAAGGCCACACGCTGCCATCTCCCACTTCAGCATCTCTGTTGTCATTCTTTTCCCATCATCCTTCCTCGTGTATCTGCCCACACTCGGGTCCCAATCTTCCGGAGTTTCCATGGTGGCTTCCTGGAAAGAACTTGTCAAGATGGAAGCCTGTGTTAGCATCTAGCTGAAGGAGAACCAAGAACGAGGAGCAGCCGGGTTCCTGTCTAGATGGGCAGCAGACAGGAAAACCTGTTGGAGATGCGTCCTATTTTTTCTGTGTGCTTGTATATGATTATATGGGCATCTGTCTTAGTTAGGGTATATGACTATGATAAAAAAAAAAAAAAGCAATTTGAAGAGGAAAGGGTTTATTTCACCTGAAAATCCTCAGGTTATAATTCATCCTTGGGGAAGTCAGGACAGGAACTTGAGTCAGGAACCTGAAGGTAGGAGCTAAAGCAGACACCTTGGAGGAGTGCTCCTCTCTGGCTTGCTCTCCATGCCTTTCTCAGTCCACTTTCTCATACAACCCAGGACCACTTGCCCAAGCATGGCACTGCTCACAGTGGGCAGGACCCTCCCACATCATTATCAACCAAGAAAATGCCCTACAGACTTGCCTACAAGCTGATCATTTTCTAATTAAGATTCCTTCTTTCCAGATGTCCCTGGCTGTGTCAAGTAGACATAAAAACTAGCCAACACAGAATCTAAGTTCCTTGACTAGTCATCTCTCCATGAATGAGTTGATGACTGCTTGTTTAGTGACTTGATACTCACCCCCAGCCATGCCCCTTATCAACTTTTATCTATACCAGCACATCTTACGTTGTAAAGTCCTAAGGGTTGGGAATGTGAGAGGCTATGAGCTGCCCAGAGAGGAGGTACCCCAACCTCCCCAGCGGTGAAGGCATCCATGTGTAAGACTAACAAGTACTTGAGATCATGGAAGGGGTTTCTACACTGTATGTGAAGTGGGACTACATGACCACGGTAGTTCCTTAAATACCAACGAATCTGAATCTAGTTCCTGGCAGGCCAGGTCTGTGACTGGAGGTAGGTGGGTGTAGGTCATCCGAAGATGAGCAGCACATCCTTGTCCCTAACTTAAATAAAGAACCTGCCAAACTAGGCCCATCTTGCTGCGTCTGCTAGTGTGGCCTATTTTCTAGCTACAAATAGCTAGCATTACCTGTTTTAAACATCTGGCATGACCTGCCTGTTTAGTCACCTTCTCTCTGGCTTCAAACAGCTGTGGGGCCCCACCTCCTGTCCACCTCCCATCCATCTGTGATCCATTCCCTCCCCCTTTCCTTCCTGGAAGGATCTAGACACACCAGATCCACAAGTCCAGATGTCTTTAAAAGGATCTGCCTGGGGAATAAGGCTCACCTGAGTACTGTGACATTCATCTTGATTGTAGTAGGAAGTCATTCCATCGGCCAGTCTGCTGCAGCTGGCACCATGCAGGTCTGTGTCTCCCTGATAGTGGCCATGCTCTGTGGCCTGGCTTGGGCTGGTAAGTTATTCTCTGGGGGGAAATGGTGGGAGAGGAGGGGTTGCTTAAAGAACAGAATTGGGGTGCTTGACAGAGATTACACGCTTTGACCTATCCTTGGTTGAAGTTGCAGGACCTGTGTCTCTGAAGTTGGCTTGTGATGTGATGTAGAAGAATTGCAGAGCTGAAGTCTTGGGGGGGTGGTGGTCAGCTCTACCATCACTAGAATAACCAGACTCCACATTTGGCCAAGGTTTTCTTTTCCAAGGGTCACTGCATGGTGTAAAAGGGAAGGGTGTTGCTGAGTTGGGATTCCCTGATTGCCCTTGACCACTCTCCTCTGCTGCCGGATGATAGGTTCAGAGGTAGGGGGCTTGGGAGGAAACCAAAATCCCTGGCTTAAAGGTGAACCCTGTCCCATTTGGGACAATGGTTAAAGGGATGGGTTTTGTTCCAGGTTAGGGGAGATAAATAGGAGAGAGAAGGGATGTGCCCCATACTTGCAGGTAGTGGGGGGAAAGCAGGTGGATGCTGGAAAAGGAAAGGAACACTTTCCTGTTGGGTAACTGCATGCAAAAAGCTGCTGCTGCTGTGCTAATTAGTGATTAGTGGGTGGTAGGGAGGAGGGCCAAGGGAGGGGGCTGAGCTGAGGGGTGTGGGCAGCATCCTCCTCTGCCCCAGGAGAGTCAGAATTCCTGCAGTTCCACCCTCCCAGGGTGTTCCTGCCTCGGACTGTTGAAAGGATCAGATTAGTTAGAGAAGGAGGACCAAGCTCAGCCCATTGGAACTTGTCAAGGTTTTAGCATGAATATTCTAGGAGGAGCTGACTTTTGGTGCCATTCCCCATCAGGCTGTGTACAGGGAGACCCTAAGTGTGATTCCTATGCAGAAAAGCCATGGAGGAAAAAAGCTGTTCCCATGACTCCCCACACTGCTTGTACCTCTTTGAGGACTCCTGGGGCTGGAGAGGAAGAGGAGAGAGAAGGATAGGCAGGTCTTCTCATTGGAGGGGTTAAGGAGGCACTTAGGACTAACCAGTATAGAAGGATGGTCAGAGGGCTTGAGATATGCCAGTACCAGGAGATGATTGCACGGGAGACATCTGGTCCTCGGAGGAAGTCCCCGAGGGCATGCATGGCTGTAGTGGTTTCAGAGGTGTGGGCAGCCCTGGGCTACTGGGGGTAAAAGCGTTGGTTAACCTCTGCTGTAGATTGATAGGAAGTAAGGGTAGAGTGGAGATACACCAGAAGGTAGGGGCTAATCTCTGCTCCTGTGTTGTTCTTAACCAAATGTCAATCATTCGGTTTTACCAGTAAAGACTCGAGTCAGATCAGTGTGAGGAGACTTGTTTGGGACAGTGTAGAAGAAAAGGGAGGAGGAAGGTCAGCTGGGGACTTTCTCTGCCTCTCTGGTTTTCACTCCAGCATCTGGCTCCTGAGCCTTTTTGGTAAAATTGAACAACTGAAAAACAACACTCCTTTTAGTTCTTTTAGTTCTATCCTAGCGTCTAGCACCTTCAGACTTGGATACCCAAGTGAGCCATACTAGGAGTCATGGCCAGGCACAGGCCACGGTCTATAAGCCAGGTGACTTCCAAGGCCTTGGCTGTTTCACGTGAACAGAGGCAGGAAGTTGGTCTTGGAGATGAAGGTTTTCGGTTCACTAGGTTTCCATGGAAATAATATCTGGGCTTCCCTGAGAGGCAAATGTGTGAGGATGCTTCTGTTGACAAAGGGTCTGAGGGCTGATACATAGGGACCCTGTGTCCATTCAGGCTTGGTGCCGACCTTTCTTGACAGCCAGTGGGGAAAGAGTGTGAAGATTGTAGCATGTTAGGTTCTGAGAAGATGCAGAGAAACCTGGCCTTTCACCGGGGAAGGAATCAGAGGTCCGGATGAGAGTGGTAGGAAAATCTGAGGCTGAGAGGAAAGGCAAAATGAAGAAAAGCATGGGAAAGGGAGAGACGGGGTAGGGGAGTGAGGAGCAGAGCTTGCTGGAGTAATGATACCGCCCTAGCTTGGTGAGTAAGGCTTCCACAAAGGCGCTGTGTCAAAGGGAGGTACTGGTGGGGACCTGGAGTCAGGATGAGGAGTCACCTAGTGTCCCCAGGACAGCACAGTGATGTTCCTGTAGGGAAAATTCCCACCTGCTCCTGCCACCCCCATGTCCCAAAGTTACCTTGAAGCAAAACAAACTCACAGAGGAATGTGTGACCTGTTAGCATCGGGCTCTTACTGGGGACAAAGCTCCTAGGCAGAGATGACAAATCCACACAGCGTGGGCCAGTGGGAGTGCTCTACTGAACCCCACAGCCAACTATTCACTCTTCTGCCCTTCTCAACTCCTGCCAGCCCTAGAACAGAGGGGATTTCATCCTTGGACTCTGTCTCGGGGTCCCATTAAGATCAGGCCCCCACTCGCTAGCATTCTTTCCCTCTGGACTCTGGGTGTTCTGCCAGGCTGGGGGGGGCAAGCAGCTGACCCAGCCTTCCTCCTGCCCTGAACACTTTTTCTTAAGACCGTAGCATTTAGGTGCCAAGTGAGATGACTTAAGATTCATGAAAGGTTCCCTGTGTGCTGGGATGGAGAAGTGGCCTTGGGTTTGGCCTCTTTTAGGACAATCTACTGGACCAATGCCCTGCCTTCTTGAATGTGTTGGAGGCCCTGCGCACAATATGCAATGGCCTAGGACCTAGTTTAACCTTGACCTGACACCTTTCTGATGCACCTTTCTGATGACTCATAATGACAATGACATCAGTTGGTAAACCATCCCAACATGCACACCTGCTACAACCCGGCTCACAACATGGCCCAGCTGAACTGGGGAGGGAGTCAGGCAACGTAGTTTGTGGGCAGTTTCCTTAACTAGGGATGACTGCTGAAGCCAGTATAGACATGGAATGTGGCCTCTGTTTATTTATATAACAAAGACTGAAATGCCTCTGTTCTGTGTCACACACCACAGGATGCAATTTGCCAAGGTTAACTCATTTACTTCTGCATGTTCTATGAGATAAACTCTAATTTTTTCCCTATTTTTACAGATAAGGGAACAGAGGCACAGAAATGAAATAACTTGCCCAAGATCACACAGCTGGGAAACATCATAGCCAGGGTTCCAACTCAGGCAGCTGGGTACCAAAGTCCAGCTTCACTCTGCTGTGAATCCCTCACTAGGCATGACATAAACCCAATTCCAAGTCTAACCTGAGACAAAACTCAGATTATATCTCCTTTTCTAGAGCTGGTACATGCTCAGCCCTACATCAAATTTAATCTTATTCCATCCCTTACCCAATAGCAATACAAAATTGTTACTTTATCCATAAACTTAGTGCAAGCTCCTCCTCACTATAGCTCTAAATTCAAGACCAGTACTTTCCCTGGTCTAAGTTAGGTTTATAATTCCTCATTGGCCCAATCCAGATACTCATGACAGTTCTGACTCTTGGGTTTTTTGTTTTTTTGTTTTTTTTTTTTTTCAGTCAGGGATTCTCTGTGTAGCCCTGGCTTTCCTAGAACTCAGTCTGTAGACCAGGCTGGCCTCAAACACAGCGATCTGCCTGCCTCTTTCTTCTGCAAATAAAGGTGTGTGCTGCCACTGCCTGGCTTCTTCTGGCTGTTTTGTTTTAGTTTCTTTGAGACAAAATTTGATGTAGCCCAGACTGACTTTGCTTTGCTACCAAGGCTGGCTTTGAACTCCTGCTTCTATCTCACAAGTCTTAGCATTGCAAATGTACCTGGCTTCTGAGTTTGATCCCCGACTTCTGTGCAGTCCTCGGCCTGACCCCTAAACCCAGTGCTCTTAACACCAGGTCTTAGGAGCCACCACGAAAACACCCCTAAGTCTAGAATGGGAAGACCCCTCTCTCCACCTTCTGCCCTGTACTCTCTTTGCTGCTGTGGGCCTGGTGGGGCCCAGTTTCTCTTTTAGAGTAGCAGTGTGCTGGTATTGTTCTTTGCAAAAGTTCTGCTTATTGTCAGGCATGGTGGCATACCCCTCTAATCCCAGCACTCAGGTGGCAGAGGCAGACAGATCTCTGAGTTTGAGGCCAGCCTGGTTAATAGAGCAAGTCCCAGGACAGCCAGGGCTACAAAGAGAAACCCCGACTTGAAAAATGAAACGAAACGAAACCAAACCAAAACAAAACAAAAGATCTGGTCATATCCCCTTGTGACCAAAAGTTTGCTTCTGTAAACGGTTTGTCTGGAGCAAGGGATGTGGTCTGTGGTTGCACAACAGAATCCTGTCCCAAAGCCCAGTTCTCACCCACATCGGCCTTGTTCCCCACCCAAGCACAGAATGCATTCCAGAGGCTGGAAGGAGCAAAGATGAGGCACGGGGAGATAGGATGCAGAAGGCAGGGTGAGGGAGGGGAGAACAAAGAACAGAAAGGGGGTAGGAGTACAGCGAGGGGTGGCTTAGAGGAGTGGCAGGAGGTGCCACTAAGAACAGAGCAAGGAAACTTGTCCTGGCCACTGACCTCTTTCTCCAGCCTGTTGCAAGTTTACAATCTGAGGAATTTTCCACCCCCAAATGAAGGTTTCTTTTGGCAGTTTAGAGGCTCTGGCTTCATCGCCTATGACTAGGAAGAGGCTGTGGACAGCAGTCAGGCTGTCCCTACTGAGTTTGTGACAATCTTCTTACTTCTCACACACTGCTTTTTTTTTTTGCTTGTTTCTGTCGCTGGTCCCTCCAACAGGCACCTGAGCCTAGGTCATGCCAGGCAGGCTAAGAGTGAGATAGTCCCATACTGAGCTTGGAGGCTGTAAGCATGCATGTCCTGTAGGCAGCAATGGCCTTCCCTGTCCCTCCCTGAGACCTCCTGCAGGGGCAATTTAGGAATAGCATCGGATCCCCGAAGTACTGAACTTGTGATCTTGACTGTCATAGGAAACCTAGAATCGTGTGCATCTCGCTGTAATGAGAAATTTAACCGGGATGCGGCCTGCCAGTGTGATCGTCGGTGTCCCCAGCATGCGGATTGCTGTGATGACTATGGACATCTGTGCACTGGTGAGGCAACATGTGGGATGAAGAATTGGGAGACACAGCAGGCCAGGCTGTGTGCAAGTCTGGACTGCTGTCCAGAAGTCCAGAATAAGGCTGGAGTCAGAGGAGTGTGTTCCAGGACTCAGGAAGAGAGTGTGGAGGGCAGAGACCAGGGTCAAGGATTTGGTCATCACTACTCTCAGGTTTTCTAGGAAGTTCCTAAATTAAAGTAGGGCAGATGCTATTGACCTGGAGGATCTCAGGGGACAATCAGGATTAACAATATCTTGAGGAGGGTTGGAGAGACAGTTCAGAGGTTAAGAGCACTGGCTGCTCTTCCAGAGGTCCTGAGTTCAATTCCCAGCAACCACATGGTGGCTCACAACCATCTATAACGAGAGCTGGTGCCTTGCTCTGGTGAGCAGGCATATATGCAGGTAGAACACTGTATACATAATAAATAAATACATCTTCAAAACAAAAGTCAGTATCTTGAAAGTTTAAGTAACAAAATGATATTTTAGTATATATGATATTATTATTTGCTGTTAGTCACACTCACAGCACACACACAAATGCTAGACAGCACTCACAATCTGGATGATATGGGGAAACTGTTTGTCCTCACTGACTGTTATAGTATAGACCATGCTTCTCCAGGGAATGAAATGAGCAGCTATTGCTTTAAACTGTCCTTCCCCTGCAGGATGTGGTGGCACACTCTAATCCCAGCACTCAGGAGGCAGAAGCAGGTGGACCTCTGTGATTGGAGGCCAGCCTGCTCTACAGAGTGAGTTCTAGGACAGCTAGGGCTTTGTAGTAAGAGCCTGTCTCAAAATAACAACAAAACAAAACAAAACACAAGGCTAACCTTCCTCAAACAGCCATTTGCTTCTCTATGGGCACAAATTTAATTGCATTTTCCCCTGCTGTACTAGGGATTGCACCACAGGTCTCAGATGTACAAGGCAAGCACTTGCCCACTGAGCTACATTCTCAGTTCATTTTCTACTGTTTATTTTGAGACAGGATGTAACAAGTTTCCAAGGCCAGCTTTGAATTCACTACATAGTGCAAACTGGTCTTGAACTTGTGATCCTCCTCCTTCAGCCTACCAAGTAGCTTGAATTGCAGGCTCTGATGCCCAGGTCCAGCTAAGTGAATACTTCATGACAAATCATTTTTAAATATTTATTTTTATTTGTGTGTGTGTGTGTATATATATAGCTAAGATGGCCAGAAGAATGCATTGGGTCCCCTGGAGTTATGGCAGTTGCAAGCCCCCTGATGCTTGTGCTGGATATTCAACTGCTCTTAACTGTTGAGCCATCTCTCTAGACCTTGAAAAATCATTTTTTTAATAGACTCCCTGTTTAGTTCATTCTTTCCCATCTAAGAAGAATACTATAAATTAATGTGGACTTATTAAATTAAATTAAAATGTGGACTTACTAAGTTAAATTCAATTAATGTGGACTTATTAAATTAAGACTCTAGAAAGTGGGAGGGGTTCCGAGGATCAAGGATACTACCATGTTGCCTTGCTACCCTATTGGTGTTCTTTTATGAGACTTAGGGCGGGAACTAGCTTGGAATTTTGATCATTCTTATTGAGACTGGAAACTCTGAGCACATGGCAGGGCTAGCCAGTGAGAGGTGCACAGATCTTATGCATCGTTCTTTGACCCAACAGGAAAGGTAATCATGTTAATGGTCCAATCGAGGGAGTGGTCACAAGTCTCATGATGCAAATGGGCCCTCCCCTTACTTCCCTGCAGGAGCTAATGCGGTCTCAAAGGTCCCTTCTGCCACCCATTCTGCAGTTTGCCTGCTCTCTTGCTGTCGCTGCTGCAGCTTGTTTCCTTTCCCAGCCCAGTTGCTGCTGCTGGCTTTTAATTTGGGTTCAGCTCAGCACACTCTCCTGAAATTGGAGATGAAAATGCTCAGGAGAGACATTTTATTGGGTTTAATGTCAGACACCAGGATGGGTGGGTGTCTCCCCAAAGCTCATGAAGCTTGATGTTATAGCTAGAGCAAAAGAGGTGTTGGCTCCAATCACAGCAAACCTCCCATGTAGCTAATGTTTGGCATTTATTCTAGTCATGGCATCGTCCCTTTGAGGGCCTTTCCCTCCTCTGCTTGGGACTCCTTTATGCCTGAGAGACCTCTGTGTGACTCTGGGTACATAGTTATATAAAACAGGCATACATAGCAAGCATTTACTATGATAGTCATGTATGGTGGTACATGCTGTAACCCCTAGCATTTGGAAAGTAGAAACAGGAGGCCTGGAGTTCAAGGCCATCCTCAGCTACATAGTGAGGTCAGAGCCAGCCTGGGCTACCTGAGGGCCTGTCTCACACAACATTAAAACAAATGAACAAAGGACGCTGCAGCTCATAACATACCCACTCAGTCCTGTACCAGAGCAGACCTCTTCCAGCAGTGATTGTTAGCCTTGAGTGGTTTGATGACAAGTATAATGAGTGTTCAGAATCAAAGACGGAGAGCCATCACATGATACAATCCTGCCAGAAACACCTCAGGTTCATTACATGTTTGATTCTGAGGTTTAATTTTCAGCCATGGCCAGTTCAGAAATGTTGGCAAACTCTTCATGACCCGACATTCGCTTACATGACCCCCTTATGAGGCTGCAACCCACTGGTAAGCTAGGTTAGGCCAGCAGGGGAAATGCTCTGCCTCTGGCTTGAGTAGAAATTGTGGAGTCAGCTAGAGTTCACAGACGCTTGTGATTGCACAAAGTTTGGTGGAAAGTCTTTGAAATGTTCGCGTCTGGGACTGTGCCTTCGGGATCTAGAGTAAGCAGCTGCCATTATTAAGTAGCTTCCTCCATGCACCGGAGCTGGCACACGGCTAGAATGCCTAGCTGTTTCAGGCACAGTCCTTTAACTTGAACATCTAAGGCAGCAAGAGAGTCCACTAGCTGCCAGTTAGGGAGTCAAACTGCCCATTACCCTCCTCCCCCGCTGCTGGCTTACAGGAAAACACCCGAAGGAGTTCTTACTTACAGTAAGAACTAGAAGAACGCATCCCTACTATTAACAGTGATTGCGAACATATTTGAACAGTGCTCCAACAATACTTAACACCTGCCCAGCCCACCCCCAGGGAGAGGTGCCCCTCCACCCCCAACTCTCTTAATAGGAACAGGATGTTCTGAAATGAGAGCCTTGTCATTTGGAGAATGCTAAAATGTTCTATTCATACGTGGTAACTCAAATTGGTTTTCAGCCCTGAAGGGACTCGCCCGCCACTTTTCATAGACTTTTCTGTTTTGTTCTTTTGAGCACAGTGGGCACCAAATGCCAAAGTGGGAGGACATTTGTCACCTGGGGGAATTTTTTTTTTGTTTTCCCTAAATTTTCAGTAATCTGATCCTGGAAATTCCTTCCATTTCCAGTCCTTCAGTGTCAGGGGATTGTCCATGTACCCTTTCCATAATCATACTTGCCTCGAGGCTGGGAACCTAGAACCAGAGCCAAAGCTGGAGGGAAATTGCTGGATGGTTGGTGACTTTATTTTCCTACCTTACAGCTGAAGAAGGGCTCCCAGAGCCAAAGGCCTTCCTCGATCCAGAGGATGAGATTCCAGTCAACCGTAAGCCTGAACCCCACATAGGGTAGACACCAGGGTGACAAGGGGAGAGGGTGCCACAACAGAGGCAAGGACCCAGGCCCAAGCCAGAAGAATGAGACTGGATTTGCCCAGGAGAAACACTGGTGTGATCCAAGGAGCCAAGAGGGAGCCAGGATAACATCTGAGGCCTGAGGAGGGACGTGGAAGAGGTTGTATTTTTGAAGTGGGAAAATTATAAAAACAGGCCAGAGAGTAGAGTCCTGCATCAGAAAGCAGAGGGCTTCCTGACTGTTGAGTGTGCAAGGAATTAAGTTTGTCCAATCCCAGGAGACCTTTAGCAAGGAGCACAGCTATGGATGGGCGTGGGTAGAAGGGCTGGTCCTTAGGCTCCTAGCACACCCTCTAGGGGTTGCCAGGGACACACACACACACTCTCTCTCTTCTTTGTCCTCTTAGACCTGTACTCTGCACCAAACTCCTGCCAGGGCCGCTGCCGGGAAGCCTATGACAAGCACTACCCTTGCCACTGCAATGACCGATGCCGAAAGTTTGGGGACTGCTGTGAAGATTTTGATAGCCTGTGTGGTGACCATGGTCAGTCTGCTCCCTCTGTCAGCATAGCCCCAGACACATGGTAACTCTCTAGAGTTCTCCCAGTGTGGTTCTGGACAGCAACATCAAGAGTATCGGAGAATCCTTGGGAGAGGCAACCAGCCCTAGGCTGTGCCCTGGACCTACTGCTCAGAATCTCTGGACTGGGGTTGCTGTTCTGATTAAACCTGCGGGGGATTCTGATGCCTCCTCAGTTTGGGACCTTTCTTAGTACAAAAGGGCAAAGTGGGCTTTCTCTGTATACCATGGCAATGACACATGCTGACAGTAAGGTCTTTTACTGTCCTGTCCTCTAACTGCTGGAGCAAGCTTCCAGAAGGGGCCCAAATGGGGGGTGCTATTGATCTTCAGATAGTTGGCACACTGCCACTGAGCTCTCAGATGCTCCCTCTCCCAATTCTTCTTAGAGGGCTTCTCCCACAGCAGCGATGCTGTAACCAATGAGGAACTTCAGAGTATTTCTGAGACGATCTACAAGGTAGATACCAATAAAGCCCACAAGGAAGACATTGTCCTCAACAGTCAAAACTGGGTCTCCCCATCAGAGACAGGAAACCAAGTGGATCACTGCCCAGAGCCGTGAGTGCCCCTCATTCCTTCCAACCCTTCACCCTCCCTATCTCTCCAATACCCTCACTTCGCTGATGCCTCAGATTTTGTTCCTCAAGTCAAGCAAGCCCAAAGGAGAGGGGGAAAAATTAATGTCCAGAAACAAGGAAATCACCTTGAGGGTAGGTGTGTGCATAACCAGGAGGTTTTTGTTGCTGGTTAGGTTAAGGATAATGCTGATCTTCCAGGAGGTGTGAGGAGGAAAAAGACAGACCTCAGAGTTAGCTTTCAAAAGTACCACAAGTTGCCTTTGCTCCAGATCCATGAGCCCATCTTTATGTGCTGCCTCTGGCCTGTCTGGAAGGATCTGGGAGAGTTTCTACTGCATGTTCCAGCCTCCTAATGAGTCTCCATCCATTTGCTGCAGGCTCTTCACTTATGTCAATGAGCAGCTGTTCTCCAAGCCTACCTATGCAGCTTTTATCAACCTACTCAATAATTACCAGCGGGCCACGGGCCATGGGGAGCACTTCAGCGCCCAACAGCTGGAGGAGCAGGCTGTCTTCCTCAGGGAGGTCATGAAGACAGCTGTCATGAAGGAGCTCTATGGCTTTCTCCATCACCAAAGTGAGTAAGCCTTCCCAGATGTACAAAGCTATGTAATGAGGTGTGTCTCCAGGAGAGCCAAACACCACTGGGTCTCTGGTGGTGGTAGGGGTGGGGGTGGGGTGGTGTGAGAGCAGATAATGGAGCAGGACACTACATGAAGACCAGTAACATCCAGAAAATGTCAAAGACACGGCTAGAAGGAAGCTACAGAGATTGGGGACCCTAGCAGGAACGGAATGACCTGGCTTGCTTGCTTGCTTAGATCATCTATCTTTTGACTATCAGTTATCTTGTAAGTTTCCTACTTTCTGAAGGGAATGAACCCCACACCCCATTTCTGCTCCCACTATGGGCACTTTTTAGCCCCCTCACTGATCCCAGAGTCATGTCAGAAGCTGTACATTTGGGTAAGTGGAATTCTCCACACCTCCTACTCAGCACAGATGGCAGCAGAGAATTGGCACAGGCTCATGGAGCATCATTCTGTTAGAAAGTGGTCTGGCTGGACCACCTCCAGACACAGATACATGAAAATCAGACCAAAAAAGGTTTTGGCTTTAGGACTTCTTGGCTCTGGATTCTGTTTGTTAGTGTCCTCCAGATTCCTTTCCTGAACTCTGGCAAGCTGGACTTGGTCTCAGAGGTGGATCTGTATAGATCTCCCTTTCTGTCCCTGGGGACCCCATCCAGGCAGACCTGCTACTTTCCCACTTTCCACGTGCAACCTTAGACAACAGAGTTCTAATTCTGTTGTTACAGAGTTACTAAGTCTGTTGTTAGAGGTGAAACACGCGAGGGAGTCTCTAAGATTCATGCAACCCTGTGTTGCCCTCTGGTGTCTGCTCTGTGGCAAACACAGGAGAGACAGGCGTGCCAAGTTGTGCTCAGCCTTCCTGATGCTGTGGCCCTTTAATACAGTTCCTCATGTGGTGGTGACCCCCAACCATAGAATTATTTTCATTGCTACTTTATAATTGTAATTTTGCTACTATTATGAATCATAATGTAAATATTTTTAGAAATAGAGGCTTGCCAAAGGGGTTGAAACCCACAGTTGAGAACCACTGGATTAAGTAAAACCTTGGGTTTTCAACAAGAGAACCAGAAGTCTAGGCTGGAAGACCTAAGTCAGCAAGGAGCTGGGAGTAGCCATCCAGTACCCAGAGCAGGCTTCCCAGCACTCATCCCTCTCCCTAACCCCAGACTCCACTAACCTGCTCCATTTAGGAAGGCCCCAATGGCTTATTCTGCATCTCTTTAGAATTAGAGAGATCAGAATATACCCCAAAATAGCTCAGCCAGAAAGTCTTGGGTTGACTCCTGGTTCTGTTACCACTAGTGTGATTCTGATGTTATAGTTTAAGGGCATCTTCCAGATTTCACATATTAAAAATGTGATCCCTAGCACCATGTGTTAATGGTACCGAGAGGTGGGAACTTTAGGAGGTGACTCCAACTGTGGATTCATGGCTCATCAAGAGTATTCTGTTAGAGAACCTGGCTCTCCTTAGTATGCTCGCTTTGCCTGGCCCTTTCCACATGCCAGCACTTGATGCTTGATTTTCCCGACTCCAGAACACAAGGTAGCCAAACTTCTATTCAGTATAAATTATGTGGTTGCAGGGATCAGGGTTTAGCAACACGAGGCAGGCTAAACAGCTGAGCAGTGCTGTTGTGACCTCTCCTGGTCTTATCTGTGACTTAAGGTCTTTGAAGATTGATGCTTGGAAAGCATCAAAAGGGGACACCCAAGCAAGTACTAATAAGGGTAACTATTTGGTCTGTGAAACCCTTCTGTTCATGTCCACTTGGACTTGTTTCCCAACACTGTTTTAAGTCCTTGAAAGGAGAGAGTATTCCTGGTATCCTGCTTTGGATCCTCCGCACAATTCTGGAAGTCTCTGATTTAAAACTTCAGCTCTGACCTTTCCCTTGGGGCCCAGTGGCCTTTCCAACAGCTCCACTCCACTATCTGTTGTTTACATAACACAGTGTAAAGAGAACTCACTGTTCCTCCTATTTCCAAACCTGCACCTCTCTAGATTGTCTCATCTCCTAATCATCACCACAATGCATCCAGTTCTCATGCAAAAAGCCGAGGAGTTAGGGGCATGCATGTGTGCGTGCGTGCGTGCGTGCGTGTGCGTGTGCATGTGTGTGTGTCTGTGCCTGTGTGTATATGTATGTATGTGTGTGTGCGCGCGCATGAGTGTGCTGCGTATGTGTGTTTTGTGTGTGTGTGTGTGTGTGTGTGTGTGTGTGTCTGTCTGTCTGTCTGGAGATTAGACACAGCTTAGCTTCTGCATGCTGGGCAGTTAGTTTACCACTGAGTTTGCAGCCCCAGCCCCGGACATTGATTTGATTTTTCTCTTTACCCCACTGCCCCCACCCCTATTTCCCCATCAGTAATGTCTGTCACTTCTACTTTCAGAACATATTCCAGATCTGCTTGCTTCTTCCCCTTCTTCTCTGCTGCTGTTAGTGGAAGCTCCCAGCAGCTTCCTACAGACAAACCATTAGCTTCAAAACTGCTCTCTCTGCTTTTGCCTTTATGACAGCCATTAACGTTTTTACATACACAGCCAGGGTGACCCTTTAAGCAAAGTTCATGTCGCACAATTGCCCTGCACCCCCCCAAAAAAATCTCTGCATGTTCGTTGTCTTAGGTTTCTATTGCTGTGATAGAACACCATAACCAAAAACAACTTGGTCCTTCTTTAGAGCTTCAAGTAACAACTCATCCTTGAAGGAAGTCAGGGCAGGAACCTGGAGGCAGGATTTGGGGAAAAAAAAACCATGGAGCCATGGAGGACCACTACTTACTTACTGTATATGCTTTTTCAGTACACCCCAGGCCATCTCCCAGGGGTAGCCCTGTCCACTGTGGGCTGGACCTTTTCACACCAATCATGAATTAAGTAAATGCAGCCAGGTGGTGGCGCACACCTTTAATCCCACTTGAGAGGCAGAGGAAGGCAAATCTCTGTGAGTTCAAGGCCAGCCTGGTCTATAAAGGGAGTTCCAGGACAGCCAGGACTACACAGAGAAACCCTGTCTCAAGCAAACAAACAAATAGAAAATGCCCCACAGGCTTGCCAATCTGACAGAGGTATTTTCTCAGTTGACATCCTTCTTCTCAACTGACTCTATAACTTATGTGAAGATATATATATATATATATATATATATATATATATATATATATATGTGAACCAGGCCATTGTCTACCACAAGAGGCCATCAAGCTGTAACAGGTCCATCTTTAGAGCTTCGCTGCATAGACCTAAGCACAGTGGCTAACAGTGTGTGTCCTCTTGCAGGAACTTTGTAACTTTTGTCTGACTCGGTTTTCTCGTCTCTGAGTTCAGGTTGATTAATGACATTAGTTGTGTGAAGATTGAGCATCAGCACACAGAAACATTTGAGACAGTCCTGAGAATAAAGCCAGTGCTCCACAGAGCTTCAGTCTTCCATATTATTGTTAATCTGATTAGGTCTGGCCTCATTGCAAGGCTCTCGGTATTGCCTCCTTCTCAGACTTTCTCCCTCCTGCCCACTATGCTTTGGAAATGTCTCCTCAGATCCTGTGTAGAGAAGTCCTTGTCCTTCAGGTGTCCGGTCACTGCCCCCCCCACCCCAAGATTTTGCCTTGGGATCTTGAACTCATGGCCCTCTGCCTCTACTTCCTGAGTACTAGGTTTACAGGTGTGTGTTAGCACCCCTGTCTGGTGCCACCTTCTCACAGAGGCCTTTCTGACCTTCCCCTCTAGGTCCTATGCCTTAGGGTATATTATGTTGATATAACAGAGTTTCAGTCCTGGGAATTTATAACGAGTAGAAATATTCTGTGGGGCGGATCTCATGAGGGCCTTCATGCTGTGACATCCTGTGCAGGAATGCAGAGAGCAACTGAGTGAGAAAGGCAAAAGAGAGTTTATTTTTGTTGTTGCTTATGTTGTAACCCATGCTAACCCCGAACTCACTTTATACTGAGAGTGACCTGCAACTTCCAAGTGACTACAGGCTTTTACTATCACGCCCAGCTCTAAACTCATCTTTTTAAACTTTAAAATTTAAAAGAAATCATCCACACAGTGAGGACCCCCACAGAATGGCATTACCTGGCTCATTGGACAGACCCTCATAGCCCAATCACTTTTTTTTGAGACAGGTTCTTTCTATATAGCTCTGGCTATACTGGAACTCACTATATAGACCAGGCTACGTTTTGCCTCCTGAGTGCTGGGATTAAAGGTGTGTGCCACCATTCCCAGCTCCCTAATTGCCTGTGGAAGTCTTACACCTTAATTTCATTATAGGAGGTATCAAGTTTCTAATGGGTTTTTGGGAGGCACATTCATGACAAAGTACTTCTGACAGGTGTGATGGCACACACCTTTAATCCCAGCACTTGGGAGGCAGAAGTAGGCAGAGCTCTGTGAGTTTAAGGCTACTCTGGTTTATATATTGCATTCTGGAACAGCTAGGGCTACTTAGTGAGCTTGTCTAAAAACAACAATGCCCCCAAACCCAAAACACATAGTCCTCCTGACTCTCATCTCCTCCTCTAGTTGTTTTGGGGTAATCTTTGTACTTATCTGAGATATTATGTATTATTTTGGTTTATGGTTCGTGTCTTTCCCTGAAGTGCAAACTTTAGAGAAAGACTGTGTGTGTGTATGCGTGTATGTATGTATGTGTATATGAATGTGTGTGTGTGTGTGTGTGTATGCGTGTATGTATGTATGTGTATATGAGTGTGTGTGTGTGTGTGTGTATGCGTGTATGTATGTATGTGTATATGAATGTGTGTGTGTGTGTGTGTGCGTGTACGTGTGTACTCCTCAGGCCCTTGACCATGTAGAAGGGGCATTTGGTCACATTTGTTGAATCTCCATCTCTCCTGGTGTGCTGGAGCAGGTACCTACCCTTCCTTGTGTCCCAGGATTGACCCACTGCTGGAGTCCTTTGTTTTTATCTCCACAGACCGCTACAGCTCCGAACAAGAGTTCGTGGATGATTTGAAGAACATGTGGTTTGGGCTCTACTCAAGAGGCAGTGAAGAAGGGGATTCGAGTGGCTTTGAACATGTCTTCTCAGGTAGGTTCACTCTGTTTAGCAGAGAAGAGTGGGAAGGACAATGATGAAGAACAGTACTGCTTAGAGGCGGGACAGCCCTGAGCATTGGTTACAGGCACTTAAGCCACTTGGCAGGGAAGGACTCCCAGGGAAAGGGATGGCAGTCTCTAGAATATCTAAGAGGCCTGTCTGCCTCTGAGTAATCCTCTGCTTCCACGACTTGGTTAGGGGCTCCCTACAGAGGCTATTGTGTCTCCTCACCCTTAAGGTTCCCACTGAGCCTGGCTTGATCCTGTGGAAACAGAGGAGTATGCCAGAGCAGAGGATTGTCTAGGAGAATGGAGTCTCCTGAAGTCTTGAGCCAAAAAGAGAGAACGGACATATGAAGGTGTCAGGCAAGGGGCTGAGTAAGCAGCTGAATAGTCCAGAAGTCAGACCTGGAGATGGGAGACAGGGGTGGCATGGAATGGAGGGGGGAGGGATGGGAAGATCGCCCAGACCACCCACTTTGGACTCTTCATTACAGGTGAAGTGAAAAAGGGCAAGGTCACTGGCTTCCACAACTGGATTCGCTTCTACTTGCAGGAGAAGGAAGGTCTGCTTGACTATTATAGTCACAACTATGATGGGCCTGTGAGTACCTGGGCGGGAGGGGCCCAGGTTTCCTGCTCTTCCTCTGGCTTCCAAGCAGTCAGTCTTGCTTCTCATTCTGGCTGTCCACAACCACCCAACAGGGACTATGGATAGATACCATGCCCTCATCTCCTAAGGAGCAGGTTTCTACCCCAAGTCCCAACAGTGAAGCCTCTGAAACAGGAGACAGAGGGTACCACATCCAGGTGGGAGGCCAAGGCCCAATTCTCAGACCAGAGAACAAGGCATACATTTCCCCCTGCCTGAACATCCTGAGAGGGTGGCCGGAATGTCCACCCTGGCTAACTGAGCTCAACTCCACATGTCTTGTGAGAAACTTTTGCCGCCCCTTACTGGGAAATGACTTGGGGCAATAAACTGGCCTCTTGCATGTGGAGGGCCATAGGGGACTGCTGTGTCCCTGCATTCTGGGTTGATCATGTGGATGTCACTCTGGCCTCATTGCCACTGGTAGCTTCAGACAGAGGGTGGAACTGAGACACTGCACAGTAGGTTGTCCCTTCTGTCTGTTTAAAGAAGTCAGTATCTCCAGAAGGCTCCTCAAAGACCCTCATAAATACTAGCAGACAGTTGGTGCCTGTGTTCTATCATGTGACTTTGCTGTTCTTTCTTCTGCAGTGGGATTCCTACCCCGATGTCCTAGCTATGCAGTTCAGTTGGGATGGCTACTACAAGGAAGTAGGCTCAGCTTTCATTGGCAGCAGCCCCGAGTTTGAGTTTGCCCTCTACTCTCTGTGCTTCATCACCAGGCCAGGCAGAAAGTGAGTACTGGGGTGACCAAGGGACTCAGGCACTAGGGGAGTCTCCAACTATTGTCATCCAGGATGATGTCAGGAGAACTTGAGTCTGTCATTCTGGGTGGGAAGGTGAGAGAAATTATTGTTCTTACCTTCGACGGTGAAGTGGTTAGATTAGATTGGTAGCTTCCAGTCTTCGTCCAAGCAGCAGAACCATCTATCTCCCTTACTTCCTTAAGTGAAGCATTCAGGATGATAATCTACCAAAAAGTCAGCAGTACAGTTGTCCTGGATCCCTGAGCGTCCTCCTCCCCCCATTGGCTGTTTGGGAGACCCATAGAGTCCCAAAGAGAGCAGTCGATAATAACTGGTCTCTATCACTTGAGAATTTGTTTGGGTCCTAATATTTTTGTTTTTACTTTTTTGGGGGATGGGGGCTCTGTCTCACTATGTAGCCAGAGTTACAGATTCTCTTGCCTCACAGCCTCTTGAGTGCTGCCGGATTTGTGGACACATGCCAAGTTCCTTGCTCTGGTCCAATTGCTTTAGAAGCAGAAAGCAAACACCTAATTATAGAGCTTTATGCAGAAAAGGTGGCCACAAGAGGTCTGTGTGCCATCGCTCAGGCAGAGTCTCTACGTTACAAACTCCTAGGAGGACTTGCTGTGCGAAGGGCCTGTTATGGTGTGCTTCGATTCATTATGGAAAGTGTAGCCCAGGCTGGCCTCGAAGTTGTGATCCTCCTGCCTCTGCCTCCTTCAGCAAATCCTACCGGCGTGCGCCACCACAACCGGCTGGCGTAATTATGCTGTCCTGGAACTTTGATGCTTTTAGTTGTATATCTCAGCTTGTGGTGGCTACGCCTGGAGGTGTGTCACCAAATAGCGCCTAGCCGCCGAGGCTCGTCTGATCCCGGTTCCTGTAAAAAGTTCTTAACAAACTATGGCAAGCAGAATTTTGTTAAAAGGGGACTTTTGGAGTTACTTGTAACACCTAATTTCTGAAGCATTTGGCTCGAGGTGTTCAGAGTTTTTCTCTTGGAAGGATGAGGATCATTGTCCCATAGGCAGAGAGACACCAAGGTTCAGATTGGGAAAGCTTTCTAAGACAGGGGCTTGGGGTAGAGTCTGCCTGGGAGGATGAAACCCTTATGCTGGAAATGGTTAGGTCTTTCCCATCTGGAACAGGGGTGGGTGAAGTGGTGGGCTCTGCTGATTCCATATGGTCTTTCTCTACAGGTGCCACTTGAGCCTGGGTGGTTATCCTTTGTCCATCCAGACCTACACCTGGGATAAGACCACCTATGGAAATGGCAAGAAGTACATTGCCACAGCCTATGTAGTGTCTTCTACCCAATAGAACTTGCGTCCAGATGGGTTATGAGGGCAGAGGGCTAAGCCGGTTCCAGGTGCTATTTGCTCTGTACTGGGGAGGGGAGGAAGGAAGCTGGGAGAAACCCCACAGTCCAGTTTTATAAAAGAGACCTCAAATCTAGAAATTGGAGAGAAAAAACATGTAGAAAATTAGCCAAAATCTTTGTCTTCTTATATTTTAGCAACATGGAACTAGGAAATAGAGCTTCTCTCAGTCTGGAAAAGGTAGCAGCCCTCGAGAGCTCTTTAAAGTGTAGCGGGGCCATGAGCAAGTCCTTGGCCTCACATTTCCCTTTAATGTGAAGGGGAGGGGTCTTTCCCCTTTCTGCTTGGGGCTTGGGGAGAGGGTGACTTGGACAGTATTATGACTGTGACAGTGTCTTTGGTTGTTCATAGGAAGAACAGGGGGTAGAAATTTGGGGTTTCCAAATGGCTGTCACTTCTCACAGCTCTGCAGCTGTGACTCAGCCTTGTGCTGGGCCTCAAGGAAGCAGACCTTAGACCCAAGCAGGAGAGTCTTGAAGAATCAAATCTGTGACAGTGCAGTCAGGCGTTGGGTGGTGAGTGGGCTATGGCAGGTGGCCTCCTCCATCCTAGATGTCTGTGTGGCCATCTCAGCATCTGCTTCTAGAAGTTCCCCGCTTGCAGATGTTTTAGTGCAGTTACAGACATGTGTTTGGTCCCACATAGTGCTTTGTTTTGTTCTGAAAGAATACCCCTCATAGGAGGAAGACTGAACATCAAAGGAAGAAAGGAAACTATAACTTGGTGTCACTGACAATTATACTAATGTTTATCCAGCTGCCAAAATTCAAAACATTCAAGGCTGGTAGAAGAGGGACCCGGGGTTCCTATTTCAATCTCCATGATGTATTTATTCCCTCCTGATGCTCAGAAGCCAGATGTGGCCCCAAAGAGCCAGGCTTGTACCACAGCTTAGAGGCATCGAGTTTCCAATTAAAGCCACTGGAGAAAACCTGAAATGTGTTTCATGCTTGTACACATTGACTCTGTCAGTCAGGCTCCTGGCCTCCTCCCTGGAGCAGGAATGGAGGCCTTCGCAGCCTGGCTCACAGAATATGGGGTCTGGGTGAAGCCCCTGAGAGTCAGCAAGTCTCTGTAACCAGGAGGAAGGAAGAGTTCTTCCTGGTACACCTATAGCATAATAAAGAGCATCACGTGTTGGGTGTGAGGAAGGAATGGAGGCTGGTGGCTTCAGCCTTAGCACCAGCCCCCTTGATCACACACAAGGAGCAGAAGGATGCTGGGAAACAGCTCTTGTGACTACAGAGGCTGAAGGAAGAGGAGGTGCCTGAGAGACTTCTCACAGATTATTTAGGTCACAATTTGAGGAAGATATCAGGCAGGACTAACTCCTGGGAGGTACAGCGCCTAGATGGATGAAACAGGGCTTTGTCCTGCCCTCCCCAGGAGTGTTACTGGTCCAGCAGGCAAGAGAAGTGTTAGCAGGACACAGTGGTCAAGGTATAAATACTGAAGTCAAGTTGCATGTTGTCTAGCGTCAATTTTTTGTTTATATCAGTGTCTTTAACAAGAGGACACTGCTAATTATCACTGTGAAATTAGCACTATAAAAACAAATGCCATTTTTCATTTTTTCCTTAGCCCCCCTCTGTCTGTCTGTCTGTCTGTCTTTTTGGGGTATCTGTAGCCCTGGCTGTCCTGGGACTGACTATGATCTACCAGCTTCTGCTTTCCCAATGCTGGAATTAAAGATGTATGCCACCACAGTTTTCAAAACGTTATTTTATATGTAAATGTTTTTCCTGCATATATGCCTGCTTGGGTCCCTTTGGAGACCAGAGGAGTGTGTTTGATCCCTTGGAATAGGAATCACAGGCGGTTGTGAGCGCCACTGTTATGCAGGTCCAGGAACTAAATCCAGGTCATCTTCAAAAGCAGCAAGAACTCTCAACTGCTGAGCCATCTCTCCAGCCCATGTTTACTATTCCTGTTTGTCTGACTTAAACACATTTTACTTTGCACTGGGAGAGGCAGTTCACCTTCCCCAGATTAACTTTAACTTCCACCCAGTGACCCCTAATACTTCCGATTCTTATTTCTCTCTTTAAAAGTCTTCTTGGTAGACACCAAGGAGACAGAGATACTAGAAGCTAGTGTATTCCAGTGTCTAAATCTAAGCTTTTCAGGAGGCAGGGGTGAAGTAGCATTTATTAAGATCTTAGCGTGTCTCAGGTTGTACTAAACAGTATTTTTTTTAAATAGACAATGTCCCATTTGGAAGAGATTTAAAAAAAAAGATGGTAATATTTTTGTTTGTGTGTATGTGTTTGTATCTGTGTGAGTGAATACCATTTGTGTGCAAAGGAGTTGGAATTACAAATAGTTGTGAGTTGCTCACAACATCAGTATGGATGTGGGTGCTTGGAACAGAACTCTGGTTCTCTCAGAGAGCAGTGTCTTAGGGTTTTTATTGTTGTGAAGAGACACTATGAACATGGAAACTCTTATAAAGGAAAACATTACTACATTATCATCATGGCGGGACATAGTGGAATACAGGCAGACATGATGCTGGAGAAGTAGCTAACAGTTCTATATCCTGATCCACAGGTAACAGGAAGTGAACTGTGACACTGGGTGTGGCTTGAGCATAGGAGACCTTAAAGCCCACCTCCACAGTGGCACACTTCCTCCAAAGGGCCACACCTACTCCAACAAGGCCACACCTCCTAGTAGTGCCACTCCCTTTGGGGGGGCATTTTCTTTCAAGCCACAACAAGCAGTAAACATTCTTAGCCATTAAGCCATCTGCCCATCCCCTATGGGAAGTACTGTTAAAAAGCAGAGGGTTGTATTATTATTTCTGTCCCTTCCTGCTTGCTTGATTTTAGACAAGATTGTGGAGCTTGAGATTGTGCTGTGAGTGAAAGCTATGTGTTCACTAGAGAGCAGGGATTTAGTAGGACTCTGTATCTTACACTGGTTGTCATACCAGTCTTGGATTGTTTATACTTGGTCTTCTATAAGACAGAAATAGTAAAGCTGAAGAGTTGGCTCATCAGTCAAGAACACTTGCTGCTCTTGGAGAGGACCTGGGTTCAGCACCCATACCAGATAACTCATAACCACCTGTAACTCAAGTTCCAAGGGAAACTGATATCCTCTTCTGGCCTCCACAGGCACCAGGCATTCATATGGTACACATATATACACACAGACACTCACACAGACATTGGACAATAATCTTTAAAAAGTAAGAGAGAAATAGCTCCTGTCATGATGAAGGTACTTTTGACTTCAGGGTTTCTTTCACACACAACTGAATGGTATACAGAGACCCAAGGCTCGAACGTCTTTGTAAACATGGGTCCTTGGGAGGCCAGAGTCTGTGTGAGTGAATGCCATGTGTGCGCATCAATGAGGTAGGAAGATCCTGAGTTTAAGATTTGTCTGGATACAGATTAAGTTTCAGGCAAGCCTGGGCTATTTATTGTTCTAAAAAACAAATGAAAATAACAACAACAACAATAAAAATAATAAACCCAACAAACAAAGAATAACAACTTTTGTTTTGTTTTTCAAGACAGAGTTTCTTTGTGTAACAGAACTGGCTGTTCTGGAACTCACTCTATAGACCAGGCTGATCTTAAATTCATAGAAATCTGCCTGCCTCTGCCTCCCGAGTGCTGGGATTAAGGGCATGTGCCACCACTGACTGGCTTAATAACCCCTTTCTGACGACTCATAATGGTTGTAGAATCCTTCCATGCTTAACTGAAAGAGCTCAATTATTGGGACATGAAATGAATAACATTTGCAGTAGTCATTGTAGCATTTCACCTTTGCAGTAATAAATGTGTGCTAATTTCCCACTGACCATTACAATTTCAACATATAAAGCACATATAGAGATTGTTTCTTTGAGAATAACTAAAGATTAATAATAAGCTCAATTGAGATCACTAGAGTCTATTCACAAAAAAAAAAAAAAAAAATAAAGACACAGTTTGCCAGTTTTATAAAAGCTCATTTAAAGACAGTGGACAGAAATGGAGGGGCATGCCTTCTGAAGAGAAACTGGTCATGTCTGAGCTCACAGGGGCTATCATAGTGGGCAATGTGTCTCAAAATTAGGAAGCAATGACCATGGGGATCATTCAGTTACAATTAGTTTTTCTCCTTTTGACTGTATTCAGCACACACATGGGAAGGTGTTGATTTATTTTTTACTCTTTTGGGGCCCACCACACACCCCAAATAAGTACACAGAGACTTATTCTTACTTATGAATGCCCAGCCTTAGCTTAGCTTGTTTCTAGCCAGCTTTGCTAACTTAAATTACCCAGTCTACCTTTTGCCTCTGGACTTTTACCTTTCTTTATTCTATATTCCGTTCTTTACTTCTTACTCTGTGGCTGGCTGTGTTGCTGGGTGGCTGGCTCCTGGTGTCTTCCTCTCCTCCTTTTCTCATTTCTCCCCTTTTCTTCTCTCCTATTTATTATCTCTGTATGCCAGCCCTGCCTATCCTCTCTGTTCTGCTTTGCTCTTTATTAGACCAATCAGGTGTTTTAGGCAGACAAAGTGATATAGCTTCACAGAGTTAAACAAATGCAGCATAAAAGAATGCAACACATCTTCGCATCACTAAACAAATGTTCCACAGCATAAACAAATGTAACACATCTTAAGCTAATATTCCACAATGGGGTAGCTCCTGGTGCTTGTGGCGTTGTGCACACAGTAGGATATGCCGATGGAGGCCAGAAGAGTACATCCCTGGAACTGGAGTTAGAGAGGTGTGAGCTGTCAGGTGGATGCTGGGATTGAACAAAGGTCCTCTTGAAGAGCAGACAGGACTCTTAACCACTGAGTCATCTCTCCAGCCACCAGATAGCATTCTTAATCATGGAGACATCTTTCCAGCCTCTGATATTTATTTTTAAATTGATTTAAAATAAACAATCACATAGTGGGGGAAAGGTTCTAATGATATGAACTTGTGAGGGAAGATCGTTGACTGGTGCCTAGGTTAGTGGCTCTCAGCTTGAACTGCACAGCTGTATTCCATGCTTTGAAAACATCTGATGTTGAGGTTGGATTTCTGATTAGGTCAAACCTCTAGGGTAAAATTCATAAATCAGCATGTGAGCATGTGTGGGACACACACACACACACACACACACACACACACACCTCCTAGGATGATTCTAAAGTTGTCAAGTTTGTGAATAACTAATTGATCTTACTTGGGAATGATAAAGTAGATTCAATTTGAAAAACTGGTTTGTATTTGTGGGCTCTTAAAAATTATATGTGTTTCATTGTACATTAGAATTGTTACAGCAGGAAAAGTTCACTCACTCACAAAGGAGGCAAAAGCAAGGGGTACAGGTTTTAGATAAGACAAGGTCTATCTAAAGATGGACATAAACCTGGGATCCACAGATACTCTTAAAAAAGGAAACAGGTTACCAGCAAAAAGTACAAGGAAGACAAGCAGCCAAATGCAAGCAAGTCTTAACAGCAGGGTTACCAGTGTAGACAGTTCTTAGAAGTAACAGTAACTTTCTCCTATGATCCTCATACTGAGGCCACAAACATCTCCTTAGCTAAGATCAAGACAGCTCTCAGATCACTATCAAGGGGAGTTAAAGGCCTTATTGTTTGGTGGGGGTCGAAATATGTCAGGATGGGAGCACTTTTGGGGTTCTCACGCTTAGTTTTACAGATTCAGTCTGGGAGCAGGAGAGATGGCTCAGCAGTTAAGAGCTCTTCCAGAGCTCAAGCCACATAGTGGCTCACAACCATCTGTAAAGAGATCTGGTGCCCTCTTCCGTCCTGCAGGCACACACGCAGGCAGGAAAAAAAAAAAAAAAAAAAAAAGTGTTCCCGAAGCAAGTGGAGCCGGACAAGCCCCGCCCGGGGGCTGAACCTTCTGCGCACGCGCAGGCGGCGCGCGGGTCCTGGTGGGAAGGCTCCGGCCTTAGCGTCTGACGCCGCGCGTCTCCCTGGCGGCGGTGAGTGGTGACTGCTGGGTGGGTGAGTACCCTTTCCTGTTAGCGCTGGGGCGCTGGGGTGCTGGGCTGGAGCGCGGGCCGGGCTGGGCCTGGCCTGGAGTAGGCGGCGGTGGCCGGGCCGTGGGGCTGTGCGGCCGGTTCCCGAGTCGGCTCTCCGCGCGCCGCCCAGGCCTGCGCGTTCCGCCTGGCCGAGGGCTGGCTCTCCGTCCCGGCTCGGCGGCCTGCGGTGCGTGGTGGGCGCCGCGGAGCCACCGTGCGGAGAGCGCCGCGCACCGGCCGCCTCCTGTTGGCCGGGGTGTGCGGGGTTTGCTGCTTGGATACCGGGTGTGAAGGCTTTTCCCCAGGTGCTGGAAGTTTCTGGTTGCTCGTCTGTAGCCCTGGCTGCCGTAGGACCCGCGGGGCGTGGGGGTGGCGGAAGAAGAGCTTTCAACCCTACAGCATTTCATGGTTTTCTCTGTAACCTCGGCTGTTTTGCCATTCTCTATGTAGTAGACCAGGCTGGCCTCGAACCGGCTTCCCCTACCCTGCCTGAGTGCTGGGATTAAAGGCGTGCTGCATTACCACACGGCTAGGGTTTTCAGGATCTTCTTTCGGTGTACTGGCTTGTCTCCGGCAAACCATTAAGACTATTTGCTTATGAATGAATTGCATGCGCATAACGAAATATGGACACTGTTTGACGCTTAAACTGTGTTGTGTAGGCAGAGTCAGAATATCCATTTGCACCTAAAACGGTCTCTTTAGTGCGGGATGGGGGGAGCTGTTATACCCTCTCCCATCCCCATAGTTTCTCCACCTTAAGAGTCTTACACTTTATCCCTTTTCCTGTCTGTCTGCCTGCCTGTCTGTGCATGTATGTATGTGTGTGTATGTATGTATGTATGTATGTATGTATGTATGTATGTACCAATGTATCATCTATTCACAGTTTTCAGGGTTGAACTCAACATCTTTTTCACATGTTGTGTAAATGCTATATCCTAACCCTTTAAAAATTACTCTTTTGTTTTTCGAGACAGGGTTTCTCTGTGGCTTTGGAGCCTGTCCTGGAACTTGCTCTTTAGATCAGGCTGGCCTCGAACTCACAAAGATCCACCTGCCTCTGCCTCTCGCTCGAATGCTGGGATCAAAGGCGCCACCGCTCGGCTTAAAAATTATTCATGTTAGTTAAGTTGTCCTGTTGACCTTAGTTTGTGATGATGCACCCTCTACTGCCTGAAGAGTTGGAATCAAAAGCACTGGCCAACTGTGCCCTGCTATAGTCTTCAGGTGCCTTCAATGGACCCAGGCTTAACGTTACTAAATACAAAATTTCCCCCGTTCCATATAATATAACATTTAATTTCCACCCTTAAAAAATCCTGTGCATATTCTCATTCTTTTCTTTTTGTGTGCGCTCCTGTGGCATTTGGTGACAGTGTTCTCATATCCTCCTACCTCCCAAGGCACTGATGCCTAGTTTTTCTGTTGTTGACATCTCTTTCTGTTCCCTACGTGTTACTGTTCTTCAGGCTCTGTTCAGCTTCCTGTTAAGTATTCCATTAGTTACTGTAGCTAAGCATGTTCAAACACATGATGAATTTCTACTTTTATTAATGCCAGCATTGCCAGGGATGGTGGCACATGTCTTTAATCTCAGCACTGGTAGGCAGACGCAGGTGGATCTCCATGACTTTGAGGCCAGCGTGGCTTACAAAATGAGTTCCAGGACAGCCAAAACAGTTACACAGAGAAACCCAGTCTCCAAAAGCAAACAAATAAAAACTAATGCTAGTGTCACCCACATTTATCTCTAGTCCTTTTCTACATACTAATCATCCGATGGTCCCTCAGCATTCATACTCAGTATTCCAAACTAAAATCATTCTATTATTCATTTGTTCCCCCTCAGCATAAGCTTTGTTTTTTTCTATATGTGTATTTGGTGTGTGATGGGGAGTGCATGTGCCATGGTATGTATGTCAGAGCGCAACTTTGGAGTTAGTTTTTTCCTTGCACCTTTATGTGGGTACTAGGAATTGGACGTAAGTTGTCAGGCTTGAGCAAGCATTTCAGTCACTGAGCCACCTTGCCAGTCCCTTCACAATGTCATTTCTTGACTCAGTATGGCATCACCATTTTCTACCAATCAGAAATCTAGAATATCATTTTAAATCTTTCTCTACTTCCCAACTTCTCAACCTAAGCAGTCATCGATCATTTTTATTTTACCCATCAATGCCTTTATGTGGCTTTAGAATATATGTAACACCCCATGGCCTGGCACTTGAGGCTCTGTCTTATGTCTACGTCTAACCTCTTCATTCTCTGCTGCCTTTTCCATCTGGTTACTCATTTGGCTGGCCTACTTTTTGAAGCCCAGCTGAGGTTTGAACACTTGGTTGAGTCTCCTATTTTACCCTCTTAGTCACTTTTATTTATGCCACGCCATCGTCATAGTGAACAGCACTGCATTTAGAAGGGTAGGCATGATTAATTCTTCCCAGGGTCTTGCTGAGCACCTCAGGCTGACCTTGGACCTTTGATACTGCTGCTTCAGTCTTCTGAGGGTTGGCCTCACAGGCATGTACCACCACATCAGGTTTAAATTCGGGTTTTCTATTTAATGGTTTATGGTGGCTTTATGGGAATGTGTCCCCATTGTAAATTTAAGCACCTGTCATTCTAATTCTTACCTGAGATTGTGTTCTCAAAATTTTGCAGGTCAGAATGACTTCAACAAGTAAGGCGATAGAATTACAGCTACAAGTGAAGCAAAATGCAGAGGAATTGCAGGACTTCATGAGGGACTTAGAGCACTGGGAAAATGATATTAAACAAAAGGACATGGAACTGAGAAGACAAAGTGGTGTTCCTGAAGAGGTAAGTGAAGGTTCCTGTTAATTGGTGGTTAGTGTGTGTACACTTTATGTATGCATGCACATATGTCAGCATGCCACAGAGTAGAAGTCAAAGGATAGTTCCCTGGAGCTGGTTCTCTCTGTTGGTTTTAGGAATCACTTGAGTTGTCAGGCTCACAACAAGCACTTTTACCTGCTGAACATGTTATTGATCTAGAAAGTTATTTTAAAATAAATTGTGACTTTGTAGAATGTGTTGTGAAAAGCCTGAAATTGCCTGTAATCCTAGTACTCAGTAGTTAGAAGGCTCAAGAGTTCAAGGTCCTCCTTGGCTATGTAGAGAGTGAGTCTAGCCTGGGCTACATGAGATCTTGCTAACAAAAACATAAAAATGCTGAGATCTGGGGATTTATGTCACCATTAACATTTTCAGAGGCTTCTTACTAAATTTGAATAATGTGTTAACTATCATAAGATATTCTAAGTCTTGGTGTTTATTGAAAGGATGGTCATGTGATACTTTTGTTGTTATTTTGGTATTTTTGAGGCAGAGATTGCATGTTGTCCTGGCTGTTCTGGAACTCATTGCATAGACCAAACTGGCCTTGAACTCACAGAGGCCTGCTTGCCTCTGCCTCCTGAGTGCTGGGACTAAAGGTGTGTACTACACACATTTAGCTAGGTTAAACTATTTGGTTTTTCTTTTTCTTTTTCTTTTTTTTTAATTTTGGTTTTTCGAGAGACAGGGTTTCTCTGTATCTGTGGATGTTCTGGCACTCACTCTAGGCCAAGCTGGTCTCCAACTCACAGAGATTCACCTGGCTCTGCCTCCTGAATGCAGTGACTAAAGGTGTTTACCACCACAGCCCAGCTAGGTTGAGCCATTTGTATTAAGGCAATATGTTTAAATCTGGCTAGGTTTTCATGTTGTATGTAGCAATTAGAGGCATGTCCAGTTGCTTTTGAACTTGTGCTCATTTATCATCTATACTAACTGAAAATCAGTGAGTTTTTGACATTTGAGTTTAGATTTGTAAATTTAAATAATTTGGATTTCAAGTTAATACTTTTGTATTGGAGACAGGGTCTTCCAGTGACCCCGACATACCCTGTGCCAGAGTGGCAAGGCTGACTGGCCTGAGAGCTCCTGGAGTCTGCTTGTCTCTCTGTACTACTGGGATTACAGCCATGCCTGGCCACACCTCTCTTACCTAGGTGCTGGGGATTTAGATTCATTTTGCTTGCATGGCTAGTGCTCTTACCCATTGAGCCATTTCTCCAGTTCCCATAATTAATACTATAAAATGAAGTACTTGAAAATTAAATTGAAAAAAAAATTCTTATTTGAAAATATCATTTAGTGCCAGGCATAGTGATACATACCTTTAATGCTAGCACTCAGGAGGCAGAGGCAGGCAGATCTCTGAGTTGGAGGCCAGCCTGGTCTACAGAGTGAGTTACATGATAGCCAGAGAAACCCTGTCTCAATAAACAAAAAGGAAAAAAGAATATATCATTTAGTGATAATTTTGTACGTTGTTAGTATGCAAAAGTAACAGAGCGAAGTGTCAAAAGTGCTCAAAGCTTTTTTTCTCAAAACTTTTTTCTTTCTCCTGTCTAGAATTTACCTCCTATTCGAAATGGGAATTTTAGGAAAAAGAAGAAAGGCAAAGCTAAAGATTCTTCCAAAAAAACCAAAGAAGAAAATACAAAAAACAGGATAAAATCTTTCGATTATGATGCCTGGGCCAAACTTGATGTGGTGAGTTTATCTAGTTGTATACTTCTTAGTAATTAGATAAACATCTCTTGGCATAGCTGCTAGTCACAGATTATGTGAAAAATAATAGTGTCTGTATCACCTATGTTTTTCTCTTTTTTCTTGTGGTGGGAAAGGGGTTCATATGTAGTTCAGGCTAGCTTTGAACTTGTGATTCTCTTGGCTTAGCCTCAGGACTGCCTAGTCACATCACAGACAGGTCCATACTACTATGTCAGCTCCAGGTAGGTGTCCTGATTTGCTTCTCCATTAATGAAACACTGACCAAAAGCTATTCAAGGAGGAACAGGCTTGTTACATCTTACAGGTTAGAGTGCATCATCAAAGGATGCCAGGGCAGAAACTCAAACAGGAACCTGGAGGCAGGAACTGAAGCTAGAGGAACACTGCATAGCTTGTTCAGCCTGCTTTCTTACACTCCCTGAACCACCTGTCAAGGAGTGGTTCTGCCCATGGTAGGCTGGGCCCTCTGACGTTTATAAAAAGATTACCCCACAGACTTGCCTACAGTCCATTCTGATGGAGGCATTTTCTTAAATGAAGTTCCTTCTGTCTAGATGACCCCAGCCTGTATCAACCTGACAGAGCTGACCAGCACAAATAGGCCATTGTTGGGGTTTACTTTCCTAGATAGCTACTATGTGCTCTGTGCGTCCTTTTTCCATACATGACACACATGGTCATGTATTAATGGATGAACCATCTCTTTATCCCCATTTATTTTCTTTCTTGCTTGCCTTTTATTTTTTCTCTTTTCTTTCATTTCTTTTAGACCAGAATGGACTTTTAGACCAGGAAAGCCTGCTGCTTTCTCCTAAGTACTGGGTTTAAAGGCATATACCACTGTGCTTGGTCTTTATTTTTAAAAAGATTTATTTAATCTGTTGTTAAAATTCCTTCTCTGGAAGAGATATAAAATAATATCTGCTTTTCCTCCTATGGTCCAAATGACAAACTGAGGGACAATTCTGTCAATGATTGCTCTGGGGGATCCATGAGTGGGTGGGTTTTCTTACAGAGCCTAGATGAAAAATTACCTCCAGGACTATAGATACTCCTTTTCAAACCAGCTGCACCTGGGAAGCCCTACCCAGCAAGGGTGAGGGTGTCCCCCCAGCTACATATACATAGAGCCCCTCTGTAGTCTTTCCTTACGTCTACATACTCTTGTTCCTTCCCCAGGCCATGGGCAGACTCACTGAGGTGAGAATCGTCTGCTGTAGTCAATGGAGATGATAGGGTGTAAATCATCAACTAACCTCAAGCTGGTTGATCCTCTATGTGTCAGGGGTGGAGCTCAGTTCCCCAAAATGTTGGTTGCTTGGCTTGGCAGACAGTCACTCACAACATGGTCTTTTAAAAACTTAAGGGGTGGGGCTAGAGAATGGCTCAGCCATTAAGGATACTTGCTGCTCTTGCAGAAGACTTGGGGTTCAGTTCCTAGCACTTACTGCCGACTCGCAGCTGCCTGTAATTCCAATTCCAGGGGTTGGTCTCTGCACACTTGTGATATGTACGTGTATACACACACACATACTAAAATAAATAAATTTTAAAAAATGGTATTATGTAAGAGCTAGATGTGATGGTGCACACCTGTATCTAGTACTTGGAAGGCTGATGCAGGTGGATTGCCAGGAGTTCAAATCTAGCTTGGGGTAAATAGCACATACTATATAATATTTATTCCTTTGAAAAACGTATCTGGGAATATATGTCCTAGAGTACAATAATGAAATTAATATATGAGCTCACAGTCTAAAGGAGTCTTTTCCAGTGCTGTGAGGCACTATTCCCCATTTCATTTCATGTGTAGTGACAGTAACTGCTATTAATTTTATGTTTATTGTCTTTGTATTTCTCCATTTAATGTATTTACTAAAATGTAATACACATAAGTTCCCAATCTTAAGTGAATAGCTTCTTGAATTTTTCCCTTATATACACATAGAAAAACTGTATCATTTTCCAGTTGTAAAACATTTCAGTATCCCAGAAGCCTCCCTGTGCCCTGACATGACCCCGCAGAGCCACAGCTCATCTGACCTCTCATACTGTGGATTTTAGTTCTGTGTTCTAGAGTTTATGTAAATGTAGTATACAGTGTACATTCCTGTGTTTGATTTTTTGTTAGCTTTTTTTGCTGTTGATTTGTTTCAGTACAGTATAGCAGTGCTTTTTGTTGTTTTTCATTCTGTTTTGTGGATTCATTACAATATGTATCCATTTTCTTGTTGATAGACACATGGGATTCCAGTTTGAAGCCATTATGTATAAACATGCTAAGAGTAGTCTCACACAGGTTTAAAGACATAAGCACCTAAGAGGGGACTTGCTGGTCACAGTTTTCCCAGTAAATTGTTTTGTTATTTTTTTTTTAATGAAACCAAAGCTCAAGAGTTGTGTGAGTGTGTTTATTTTAATATGTGTAGGTATATATGTCTGCATGTGTGTGTTGTAATTTAAGAAAAGCAGTGAGCTAGAGAAGGATGCCATGAGACAGGGTTCAAGCAGAGGTTTTTTTGTTTGTTTTTGTTTTGTTTTGTTTCAATTAGGGAAAGGGATCATAAAAAGGGCAAAGGAGAGGAGGGAGACTGGCTTCTGGGGGTGGGAGCAACAGGAGAGAGTGGGGGGAGAAAGAAAAGGGGGAGTGTTAGGAACTAGCAGCCAGCTGACCCCCTCCCCCGACGATGGGCGGCGGGACGCTCATGGCCGTGTCATCGCTATCAGCCTTACCTGGCGGCTCAAGCTTTACCTGGCTGCCAGAGGACTCAGTTAAGCATGTGCAAGCCCCCCTTTTTAAGCAAGCGCGCCTCTCTCTCTTGCTCTCCCTCTTGCTCTTCCCCCCCCTGCTCTCCCCCCCCCTCTCTCCTGCTTTCGGTTGGCCACCAGCTACCCCTTCTTTCTCTCCCTTCTCTCAATAAACTCCACGTGGGCGCTGAGTCTTGTGTTTATGTTTTATAGGCATTAGTTGCATCAAAAGAAAAACAGGGAGGAGCAGACAGAGAGGGAGAGAAAGAAAGAGAGGAGGATGGGAGGTGGACAGGACCCTTTTAAAAGGGAACATAGTGAATATGCACAGGTAGTGCTCTTGGTGGTTGCAGCTGAGGGCGTATCCTGTCAGAACCCCAAAGACAGGCCAGTACAGATGCCTGAATACTAACAGTGTGTATGTGCACATGAGTACAGGTACCCTTGGAGACCAGAGGTGTCAGATCCCCTGGAGCTGCAGTTCCAGGCGCTCGTGAGCTGTCTCTTAGCTGCTGAGTGTTGCTGCAGCTCCCTCTGCTTGTAATCTTAACTGTAGGAGATATTTGGCTTTCATTTATGTATCTGTTGAAGGGCTTTCTTAACTCCATGTAATATGAGCACTGCTCTGCTTCTGTTTTCAGGACAGTATCCTTGATGAACTTGACAAAGAAGATAGCACCCACGATTCTGTGTCCCAGGAATCGGAGTCAGAAGACGATGGTGTTCGAGTAGATTCCCAGAAGGCTCTTGTTCTAAAAGAAAAGGTACTTTAGGTTAGTTTTGGATTCCTTAGAGGAAGGGTGTGTGTAAGACTGTGTGAATTCTAAAATTCTTAGCATGGTTCTGTGGCTCTTCCCATTTTAAGTTGTTATTGGCTATATCCTTGTTGGGTAGTAGTGTGTATAGTAGGCCATCTGGTTACTTTTGCAACATTCACTATCTCTCATTTCTCTTTTGGAGAGGATGATTTTAATAGAAATATTTTAACACAGACTTAAGCAGAAGAGTTAAGGAAGAAAGTGTTTAGAAGGAAAGATAGCTTGGGTGTGGGCTAGCAGTCAGGTGTGAGGTTGGGTGAGTTTTGAAGGTGTCTCTGAAGGATTGCTAAGACACTTAAGTGAGATGACAATGTGGTTCCAGAGGCACCTGGCAGAAGTACTGTTGGTGAGGTAGAAGAATCTGGACCACAGGGATGCTGGGAGGTAGGGCATCTCCACTACAGAGTAGTAGTTGCCTAACTCTGTAGTAGTTTCCTGACTACTAGTAGAGTCTCAGGATTGTCTAGGGAAGGAATTAGGCCCTCCCCAAGGACATACACACAGGCTGTATTTGCAGGCATTGTTATTTTAACATAAAAGAATACTATTTTTATGTTAGTAACTTTCACAGCAAATATTGTCTAGAATTTTTGCTTCTCAGCTAGCATGAGGCTTTAATGAGAGACTCTGGAGTAAAAGGTTCCTTTTCCTTTCCTTGCCTCAGTAATTTTCCTTATCTTCCTGTTCTGCCTCAGTTTGCCCCTGTGAGACTTTGATTCCTTAATCTTCAGTGTTTCTGATACTGTACAGGGGAATGGAGCTTTCTCATCCAGGGATCAGAAGTCTCAATCTGTCCTGAGTTGGACATGGGAGGACTTGGGATGTAGCTTAGTGGGGTTATTATTTGAAGATAGTCTGGAGGAGAGGATGTCATTACTTGAGATATTAAGCTATGTATGACTAATAAAACACATAGAGATTGCTGCTCCTAAGGTTAGGACTAAAAATAGCAGGGCCTGTGATGTTAGTAAATTGTTAAAGCATAATGTCAGAATCTGGAAGAGATTTAATTAGGGTATGCAAATCTTAGAGGACTTGGACATATTGTCCCAGTTGTTACGTGGTGAACACACCACAGTCTTTTTTTTTTTTTTTTTTTTTTTTTCCTTATTGCTTTTTTTTTAATTTTATATAACAAAGTCCAATTAAATGAAAACAAACATTTATACACAATATTTGAGAATTTGGGCGTCGTTCTTTCCAAACTACTTCCTGCTGGTAAGGGGCGCTGTCTTGGGGGATTCGAAGAAGATTCAGATATCCTAGCTGTAGTCTGTAGGGCTGTTTTGTCCAGCTGTTTGGAATGTAGGATCAGCTTGTACTCTGTTTCAGGCGGTCTGGTGTGATCAAACCACATTAGTCTGGAAAGAATCCACATCTTTTCATTTTCTGTGGAAACAAAAATAGAAATACTTTTCCCCAGTAACTTGTTCTTCAACTTAAATTTTGGAGTCAAAGCGTTTTGTTTTTTTTTTTTTTTTTTTTTTTTTTTAGTTTATTATTTTACATGTCGCTCCCAGTTCCTTCTCCCTCCCTCCCTCCCCTCCAGACCTCCCTCCCTCCTTCCCTCCCTTTTGCCCTCTCTGCCCTCTCCCATGCACTCTAAACACCCTCCCCTCCCAACCCCCCCACCACAATACCATATGTAGGGGAATGCCATCCAGTTGGGGTCATGTAGATCTGACAGGTCCTGTGAAGTAGGGACTAGGGCTTCTCTCTTATCTCTAGAATAAGGCAGTTATCCCTCCATGGGGGATGTGTTTGCAAAGTCCTTTTGTGTACCAGGGATACATCCTGGCTCCACTGTCTGAGGTCTCTTAGACTGCTCAGACCTTCTGGCTGAGACCCATATTCCGGGGGGTCCGAGTCAGTCCCCTGCTGGCTTCCCAGCTATCAGTCTAGTGGCCCTTAGCTCCTCCTTGTTCAGGTAAGCTGTCTCTATGTACTTCTACCGCATGGTCTTGTCCTCTCTATCTGCTTCTGGGTTCTAGTTCGACTCAGTGTTTATGTATGGGTGTTTGCTCCTGTTTTCAACAGGCATTAGTTGAGGACTCCATGGAGAAGTTAGTTGTTGATCTCACTCTCCAGGAAGGGCATTTATGATAGCCTTTCCACGGAAGCTGAGATTGTTAGTTGGGAGCAGTCAGTCTTGTAGTTCCCTCGACCTTTCTTTGTGTTCAACTTTATCTTCAAACCAATATTGGCTCCCTCTTTTATGTTCTCTCTCTCTGTCTCTCTCTCTCTCTCTCTTTCCTATTTTCCATTCCTAACCAGGCTCAATCCTCCTGGTCGCACATGCCTTCCTCTCCTCCCTCTCATTTTCTCCTACTTCTCTCTCCATTAGCTGTCCTCCCCCACTTTACCTGAGGTCTGGGGGACTTGTCCCTTCCCAGTTCTGTGAGGGACTTTATATGAATCTCTTAGAATACAACTTGTATCCTAGTTCCTCTGGTGATGTGAATTATAGGCTGGTGATCATTTGATCTAGTTCTAAAATCCATATATGAGTGAGTACATACTGTGTTTCTCTTTTTGTGACTGCACACCACAGTCTTTTAATAATAGCTTAGGCTTTCTTTAGAATATTAAGAGCCATCAGATTTTATAGTACGTCTCATTTTATCGTCTTAACTTTTAAGTGTGAGAGCCCATGGACTGTAAAAAGAACATACTGATAGTTACATATCAATACTATAGCAAAACATAAGAACAGTTTTAAGAAGTGAAATAAAAGGAAAATAGCTAGATTTTATAATCACTGTTGCTTAGAAGAGAAACAGTGAAACAAAGCAAAACATAAAATAAGGTTGTCATCACCAATGAATTAGAAATGGAGTGTAATTGTTTTACTGCTAGGGTTGCCATGAATGTCCTACTTGCCATGCTAGCAGCCCACATTTAGGACTAATGGGGACATCTATAAGGCCTGAATTACTGTCTGTCCCTTTGAAAAGTCTAGTCAAGTTGTTTATTTTGAATTATTACGAGTCATTTTACATTATAACTACACTTCTTGTTTGGTGTTTAAGACCATATGGATGGCCAGAAATCAATCTTTTTTTCTTTAACTTAGGTCTCTTGACTCTCAGTCTTTTTTTTATCACTTGTGGCATCTTTTGGCATAAGTCAAAGTCTTGTGAACAGCATGACTTCTCTTAGAAGCATTGAGGGTGTTTTTCTTGGTGTTGACCCTCTTTGTAGGATGAACTGCTTAGGGTCCAACTCTGAAATTTGTAACCTCTCTGACCAAGAGGAAAGGTGACGTATGGAGCTTTAGGACATGTGGAGGTGTCCTGTTGTTCCCAAGCCCCCTAGAACAGAGCCAACCTGGTAACAGAGTCCAAAAATATTGGATGTTTTTTGAGCCCTGTATCCTCGATGGCTTTGAAAGGAAGGCTCTGTTTCTCTTTCAGGTTGGTTTACAGTGCTGCCTTTTGTCTGGCACTGTCATACTGACTGTTTTCACTCTTCTGGCGGAGCTCTTGTATTGAACCCATTTTGCTTGCTTCTCTTTCAGGGCAATAAATACTTCAAACAAGGAAAATATGATGAAGCAATTGAATGCTACACAAAAGGCATGGATGCTGACCCATATAATCCTGTGTTGCCAACAAACAGAGCATCAGCTTACTTTAGATTGAAAAAGTAAGGGCTTTCTACACATGTGTGAGTGGTCGTGTGTGTGTGGAGATTGGGTTTCTAATTTGTTTGTTTGGTTTTGTTTATGTGTTTTTTCTTTTTTTTTCTTTTTTTTTTTTTTTTTGAGACAGGGTCTCACTGTAGTCCAGAGTCCACCTGTCTCTGCCTCCTGACTTTGTGGATGAAAGGTGTGTGCTACCACACCTGCCTGGAGATTGGTTTTCAAAGGAGTTTTGTAATAAATTTCAGCAGAGATTGAAAACACACCGCATTTCTTTTACTCTGCAAATCCCTATAGGCTACTCCCTTATAGAATAATTTGTTCAATTCATTGTAAACATTTGGGTTTTAGACTGTGTGCTCAAAGTTGGTGTGCTAAGGAGTTTCTCCTGTGAAAGTCAAGTAATGATGTTCTTAATTCATTTAGAAAAAAAACGTTGGTTGCTCGGGCATGCTTGAGGCCCCTGGGTTCAGTCATCCCCACTGCGCCTCTCCCCGCCCCCACAATTAAAAGTTTTTAGCAGCTAATTTCTTTGTATTTGAAACACCATATGTTTATTATTTAGTATGCAGATCTTTTTATTGTAAACTTAAGTTATATCCCAGTATTTGCTTGTCTTTACATTCTGTTGACTCTTAAGTACAAATTTAATGTTAGGGAATGTTATATACACATGGCTGATGTAACATGGGAGTTTTAAAAGTCAGCTATTAAGAAGGAAGACATTGAGTCTGTTATTTGGAAATAGAAATTATATTGCTCTCTGAATTTTTCTTTCTACTTTTCCTTTGGGTTTTTTTTTTTTTTTTGTTTGTTTGTTTTTTTTTTTTTTTTTAAGACACGTGTGTGTGTGTGTGTGTGTGTGTGTGTGTGTGTGTGTGTGTGTGTGTAACAGCCCAGGCTGGCCTCAAACTCAGAGACCTGCCTGCCTCCTGAGCACTGTGCGCTATCTTGACTAGCTTGCATTTGTCTTCTGACAGTTTTGTAGCTTAGCTTGTTTCTTCTTTCCTTATGAACTCTTGAAATCCCACACAAACCAGAAATAACTTGGCATGGTGACATATGCCTTTCATCCCAGCATTCCCAGGATGCAGAAGTTAGCAGATCTCTGTGAGTTTGGGTGTTCAAGGCAAGCCTCATCTACAAGTTGAGTTCCAAGCCAGGCCACCAAGGGTTACACAGCAGGACCTTGTCTCAAAAAAAGAAAAAAAGAAAAAAAAAAAAAGAAAGAAAGAAAGAAAGGCTGCTTTTATAGACTGGGTGTGTAGTATATGTACAGGGTCCTGGTTTTTATTCCCAGTATTGGGATGGAGTGAGGGTAGAGGGTTGTTTTTAAATTTAATTAAATAAAAGAAGGTGGGAGATATACCTGTGATTGTGAAGTAAATCTCTTAGGAATTTCAGAAATAAATTTGAAGTTGTGTTTATTAAATGATTTTTATAACTTCATTTACTTTATTTTTTTGAATTGTAGATTTGCCGTTGCTGAGTCTGACTGTAATTTGGCAATTGCCTTGAGCAGGAGTTACACCAAGGCTTACATCAGACGAGGTGCTGCTCGGTTTGCTCTGTGGAAATTAGAGGAGGCCAGAAAAGGTATTCATCTTTTTAGATCGGCATCTAAGTATTTCTCCATTCATTAACACACAGTATACATAGAATCCTGACTAAGTATGGTATAACAGAGAACACTAAATAAGTATGGTGCCCTTTCTGTGTCACATTTTGAACAAAGCTTGTCTTTTTGACAATTGAAAATTTTTTGTTTTACTAGTAAAAAAATACAGGTGTGGTTGGATGTGTGTGCATGCCACAGCGTGTGACTAGAAGCCAGAGAATAACCTGAGGGAGTCAGTTCTCTTCCACCTGTGGAAGGGTACCAGGGATCAAGCTCAAGTTGTCAGGCTTGTCAGTGGGTGCCTGTACCTGCTGACCCATCTTACCACTCCTTTGGGTAGTTTAAAAGGTATCTTTTATTCTGGGAAGAATGCATTGTTTGCCAGAATCAGACTGTTTCAGACTCTACCTAATTGAACACTGCAGCAGCAGGTGTGACTCATGTCTTCTGACCTTTAGTTCTCAAATGCAAAATAAAGGTGACATCATGTTGGTGTTTTGAGGCAGGATGCAAGAACAAAGTGTTTTTATTCATCAGTAAATTCTGTCCTGTTCTATAACAAGCCCTGTGTAATAACTATGAAGTATGAATAAAACTGATGTTTAGTGGATTTTGCTCTGTGTGGTTTGGTGGTGTACCCTTCATGATGATATCACTACCCGGAGCTGGTGGGAGATGGTTTGCTAAAGGGTTTTCTCAGGGTTCTGTCTGCCTGGTAGAGAATAAAAATGCTTGGTAGCCTAATAGTTGTTGGTTTTACCATAGAATAATTGCTTCTGTGTCACATGAAGCAAATGACTGTGGTTTTGTACAAGTTGTAAAACTATCCACCTTTTAAAAAATTCTCTATCTTCTGTTTTATTTAGATTATGAAAAAGTATTAGAACTGGAACCAGGTAACTTTGAAGCAACAAATGAACTCAAGAAAATTGATAAGGTAAATTATAAATATTTAAGTGCCTTTGGTTTGACTTTTATATTATGAAGGTGAAACTTTTTTCTTAGGTTTTATATATACTGTAGATTTAAAAACAAGCACATTTATTATTTTTATGTGTCTGAGAGTTTTACCTATATGTATATATTTACCATGTGCTTGCCTGGTGCCTGTGGTGGTCAGAAGAGCATTGAATCTCCTAGAACTAGAGTTATAGATGTTTATGAGCTGCCATTTGAACTTGGAAGAATAGACAGTGCTTCTAACTGCTGAACTATTTCATCAGCCTCCCATGGCCAATAGATTCTTTTTCAGGATCTTAATATGTAGCTCAGGCTAACTTCAAATTCCAAACAAAGTTCAGCCTCCCAAGTGCTGGAATTACACAGAAATTTTGTAATTTTATTTCTTGTACTCTGCAGCTTAATCAAACTGGTAAGGCATAGGTACTATAGAGATGTAACCCCTAACTGATAAGCTTTTTTTTTTATAAGTTGCCTAACATTGGCTCACTTAGGAATAATGATTCTTAATAATTCCATTTTCTTGAAGTCTGTTTAAAACTCCATCAAATCATTTCGTTATATGTAAGTTGTATTGCTGTATTTAAAAAGTATGGTTTAAAGAAAAAAGTTGGCTGAAATTTCTAGAACTATTGCCTCTTCCCCCTCCCATAACAGCTTTTAAATGTTTTCTTTTTTAAAACATAGTTTTTAATTGAAAATACTTACAAATAATTTTCAAATATTTCTTTTTAATTATGAGCACATGTGTGCCCAGAAGAGGACACTAGATTCTTTGGAGCTGGAGTTATAGGTGGTTGTAAGCCACCTGATGTGGGTGGTGGGTTCTCTGCAAAGACAGCAATCACTTTTAATCAGCCCAGTTTTAAAATTACTTCACTGATCATTTCTGTGTGTTCATATTTCTGTGATAAATGTTTGCATATTATGATTCTCTGCTGCATAAGCTGTATAAATGTAAAAATCTAACAGTAGAGAATAGATGTGGTGTCTCACTCCATTAATCCTAGCATTTGGGACAAGAGATGGGAGAGCCCAAATTTGAGGCTTGAGGCCAGCTTGTGCTACATAATGAGTCTGAGGCTAGACATAGACTGAGTCTCAAAATGAGACCCTCCCCCTCAAAAAAAAAAGTAGTAATTATTTAAATGTGAAATTGGTGGTCTGGTGACAGAGAGCAGTTGCAAACTCCTGTCTCTGTGCCTTTGAATTAAAGCTGTAGTTTTTTCTTGGCACATTGTGAAAAGTGTGACAGTCATTGAGGAAATCTGGTTTTAAATATTATTTATTGCACACAAAATATATCACTTTCATTATAGTTGCAAAGTATATTTTCTTATGTATTAAGGTCAAATAAAGACTGAATAATAAATCTGGGAAATTTAGTGATGTGCTCTCAATTATTTTATGTTTGAAAAACAGCACAGCACCTAGAATAGTGCCTGGCAAATATTTGTAGTTTAAGTAAATGACCAACTTATTTGCTGGATATTGCTTATTTTAACCAAAACATGCTGCATATTCAATTTGTTTTACATATTTACACATATATTGCTTTTTTTTTTTTAGTAAGTAGAGTGAATCAGAGTAGAAAGTACGCCAGTTATCTGAGTGTAGCAGACATTTTACTGTATTTCAGTAGTTTGCATTTTGAGTCTAATACAGATGCATCTTGCATTACTTGTTTTATTTTAGTTGAGTGCTGTGTCTCCTAGGCTTTAACATCCAAAGAAAACTCACATCCCAAAGAAGTTGCTACAGTGATTAAACCAACTGAAGGGGAGAAAAAGCAAATCGAGGAACAGCAGAACAAGCAGAAGGCCATTTCAGAGAAAGATCTGGTAATCCAGTGGGGTTCTGATATGTAACAAGTGTGCTTAGCAGGATGTTACTCCTAGGTTCCTGTATGTCAGTTAAATTTCTCTCTAACATTAAAAAAGATGTGAATAGGAAGTTGAAATTAAATACACTAAAACCTCTGGTGGCTACTAAATCAAAATTAAGTTATTGATGACTTACATAAGAATAACCATGAAAATAATAAGGGCATTTAGATTTAGGGAGCAAATTACATATATTTATATGTAGACAGTTACAGATTTAATTTTTTTTTTTTTTTTTTTTTTTTTTTTTTGAAATAAGGTTTCTCTGTGGCTTTGGAGGCTGTCCTGGAACTTGCTCTTGTAGCCATGCTGGTCTTGAACTACAGAGATCTGCCTGCCTCTGCCTCCCGTGTGCTGGGATTAAAGGCATGCACCACCACCACCCATCTACAGTTCATTCTTACTGTGCTTATAAGTCATACAAAACTTTCTTATTGAAATTTATCTTCTGTTGAGAAGATTTAATGAATTTTTTAGGGAGAAAGCTATATAATTGTATTTTAGTTAAAATTTAATTTAATAGCCAGGCATGGTGGCATACACCTTTAATACCAGCACTCTGGAGGCTGGGATTGGATCTCTGAGGCCAGCCCTGGTTTACTGAGTGAGCTCAGGACAGCTAGGGCTACACAGAGAAGCCCTGTCTTGGAAAAGAGAAAAGAAAAAAAGAATTTAATGTTTAAAGATGTATTTTTATTTTATGTATATGTTCATAAACATAAAGTACACATTTGTTTACATGAATATATGTGCACCATATACGTGTGGTGCTCTCGGAACTCAGAAGAAGAAATTATAACTTTTACAAGTGGAGTCACAGATAGTTGTGAGTCACAAGAGCAGCCAGCTTAACTGCAGCATCTCTCCAGCCCCTAATCGAATGGATTTATAACCTGTGGGTCCATGCAGTACTAAAAAGTACTGATGGACAGTGCTTGTCATTGCTTTGAACTCTATTTCAGTATAGTTTAACTTATATTGGGGCTAGGGAGGTGGCTCACTGGTTAAGAGCACTGACTGCTTTTCTAGATGACTTGGGTTCAATTCCCAGCACTTACTTATGGCTGGCAGCCATTTGTAGCTCCAGTTCCAGGGGATCTGACACCCTTTTCTGGCCTTCTGGGCATGAGGCATATACATGATGAGTAGACAAGCACACAGCAAAATACCTGTATGCATAACATAAAAATAAATTCAAAGAATTAAAAATCTGCTTTATATTTCGATATATTAATATTATTTAAGAGCGGGCTGTGTAATTCTAGTACTGTGTTCGTTCACAAACATTGACTTAGGAGCTGGGAGTGTTAGTTCTCAGCTCTTAGGAGGTGGAGGTTAGAGGATCAGGAGCTCAAGGCCATCTTCAGATACCTGAGTTTTGAGATGGTCCAGTTCTGAAAGATCGTGTCTCAAACATTTGCACTTCTTTTGTAGTTTCCCTTCTCTTCTCTGTTCCTTGCTTCTTTCTTACTCTTTTTTCTTTCCTCTGCCCTCTTCTCTTTTCCCCTCTGGCTTTTCAGTGCTGGGAATCAAAACCAGGGCCAAGTTCTCCATCGTTATGCCATACCCTCAACCCATTTTTGATCAGTTCCTAATGTAGGGAAAAACTTAGTGTAATGTTTGGGCCTTTACTCTTTAATTAGTAGATAACGATTTTTTGTGCTGAAAAGAGAATAGTGTCATTAAAAAAATCATGTTAATAAATTCTACATGTCTCATGAACTAGATTTTTATTTTTGTATTGTGTGTGTGTGTACATGTGTGTGAAGGGGTATGATTATGTAGTGCAGGCCACAGGTCATCTTTCTCTGTCACTCTTCATCTTACTATTATTCTTGAGACTTGGTCTTTTCTGAACTTGGAGCTTAAATTGACTAGACCGCCTGGGTAGGAAAGCCCCCTGAGCTCCTTTTTGATGTCCCATAGTAGGGACTGTAAGCTTGTGCCATACTTGTCTGTGGATCTAGAGATCAGAGCTTAGGTCCTCATGCCTATTCAGCAAGCACCTTATTCACGGGGCTGTCTCCCCCCTAGATTATCAACAATGAGAATATAATTACTGATTTAATATTGGTATTGGTATGTTTCCTTAAGATTTGAATTTTTCAACATGTTTTGGTTTTCATATCTTTCTCCAAAAATAGGGGAATGGATTTTTCAAAGAGGGAAAATATGAGAGAGCAATTGAATGTTACACTAGAGGGATAGCTGCCGATGGTACCAATGCCCTCCTTCCAGCTAACAGAGCCATGGCCTACCTTAAGATTCAGAAGTAAGTGTTGCTTAGATTTTGCTTTCGTGATAAAAATTTACTATAGAGTGCATTTTTAATTAACCAATTAATAAAGTTGAGTTGACTTAGTATTTTTGTCATCTGTCTTTGATTCTTTCTCCCCCTCTTTCTAGTTTCTTCTTTCTTCTTAGTGCTAGAGCTAGAATCCAGGCTCTCATTTGCCAGGCTACAGTCTGGTCAGTTGGTGAGTTCCAGGAGGATCATGGGCTTGCCAGGCTGTAGTCTGGTCAGTTGGTCAGCTCCAGGTTCACAAAGGAGAGTCATCAAAGACACTTGATGCTGACAACCGGCTTCCACATGTGCACAATGGAGCACATATACCACCACAGAAGGAAAGAGAAAGAAAAAAAGAAATTCAAGTTGTTAGGCTAGCTAACGTATATTAAGAAACACTGTTCCTTGAAGTGGTAGTCTATATCAGTCTGTATCATCTCCCTGTTTCAGGGAGATGAGCAAGGCAAACTTGAGTTACAGTGACAGGAAATCTGCAAGCAGGCAAACTCTGGAAGTAGGCTGGTGAATAGTTAAATTCAGAACAGCTGTTGAGGTATGAGATCTAAATAAGGCCAGATATTTGAGGAAGACCTTCGTCTGGGTCCTATTTTTGATGTGCCAGATTGAGATAAGACACGAAAAGAACTCGGTAGTATGCTAGGTGTGGTTGGCATACAGCTTTAGGCTGGTCTCTGTGAGTTTGAGGCCAGCCTGGTTTACAGAGCAAGTTCCAGGACAGCCAGGGCTACACAGAGAAACCCTGTCTTGAAAAACAAACCAACCAAACAAAAAAACCCCTGCAACTCAGTAGATATAGGAAACAGAGTTAAGACTTGGTGCCCACAAAAGGTAGACTCTTGGTTGTTAGAACCGGAAGCCAGCTGTGATTTGTTCAGCAAAGGGGTCAGTAATACTGACTAGGATGGTTGGACCCTTGTGCTGTAGGATGTCTGGAGGGCTAGGCAGGGACTTTGCCATTCTCTGAACTGTCTTTATTTTTTATTAGTTGGTCTTTCCCATCACCTTAAAGGTCTTATAAATTGAATTTTTCTAAATCCAGCTTATACTTGGTCGTACATATGAAATATAATGTTTTTAAACATTTCCATTGACAAACAAAAACCATCTGTCTTTAGAGATTTTAGATTTTTTGACTGATTGTTAGGTGTTTGTTTGTTTTTTTGTCTTCCTAAACAGCTATCTTCTGAATTTTCTTTGAATTATTATATGGTTTTCTGGTTTATATATCCAGCAAACATTTATTAAGCTAAAGTGTGTCAGGTGTCCTGGTAGGCACCATGGGAGGTAAGTAAATGTACAGTTGCTTTTAATAAACATGAAGTTTCTTAAAGGAGGGAGAGACAGCAAAGACAATAATAGTTAAAGTACACAATGATGATGCTGAGGGGCAGGCATAAGGGCACACAAGTGGGGAGACAGTGCCGTGTGGAGACTGAGCACAGGTGTGAGGACTTAGGGAAAGCTGATTGAGGAGTTCAGCCAGTAAAGGAGCATGAGCCAGTAAAGTGAAATGGAATGAGTCTGAGCAGAGGTTCTCAATCTGTAGGTCACGACCTACATAGCAGTCACATGTTGGATAGCCTGCACATCAGATATTTACATTATGATTCATAACAGTAGCACAATTACACTTACAAAGCAGCAATGAAATAATTTTATGGTGTGAAGGGGCCGTCACAATACAAAGAGCTATATTAAAGGGTTGCAGCGTTAGGAAGGTTGAGAACCCATGGGCTAGAGGTTGTGGCCTGAAGGGATGTTCAGGGTCAAAGACATGGGTAAGAGTGGAAAAGTCCATGGTTTGTACGGAAAGTTTACAGAGAAGGCCAAAGTCCCTCTGTGTGCTCTGTAAAGGGTTGGCATCCTCAAAAGTGTAGGGCCTGTGCAAGCATCTTAAAGTCACACACAGAAAATCTGTTGATGGGAGCTTTGGCACAGACATACTCATTGTACTAAAAGTGAAGTAAGGAAATAAGAAAATGTGGGTGTCATCCCAGCATTTGGTGGAGGCTCAGAAGTTCAAGGTCACTCTAGGTTACATGAGAGCCTGCCTTTAAAAGAAGAAGAAAGAAAAACAAAACAAAACAACAAAAACAACAACAAAAAAAAAAAAGCCAGAGATTTTGGATGACAGTTGTTTGGAGAAAATGTAGTCACTGAATATTGGAAAAAAGAATTCTGTAGGATTTCAAACTCAGGAAAGAATACAGTAAGTCTAGGTAGCTGTCCTTTTTATTTATTTATTTATTTATTTTTAATGAAACAGTTCATAGATTCTGTAGCATTGCATTCCTAAAGAAAAGAATGTTCCATACATAGATATAATACTAATAAATCAGCAGTCATTTATTCTTGTCATGGGAGGGCCTGAAGGTTTTCCAGTGTATGAATGAGTGTAAGAGTGTGTGTGTGTGTGTGTGTGTGTGTGTGTGTGTGTGTGTGTGTGAAGCTGTTCTTCTGTTAATTGTAGACTACTGCCTACCAGCCTAGACTACTAGTTGGTTGCATGACTGACTAGTATTCAGATATCAGGCTATGTGCCATCACTCACATACATAACAAGCTTTTAATTTTGAATGGGTTTCCCCCAAGTTAGCTGCTCTAGGATTGATGCTTTATTAGGAAGCCGGTGGTGCCAACTGTGATAGTCATGTAGCCCATTGTGCACTGAGACTGGAAAGCTGTGCACCAGTGCTGTTCTTTAGACTGCTCTGCTGTCGTGGGCTCCATCCTTTCCTGACTTCCTAGTCTGAGACTCTTCCTTTCCAGATGGTTCAGAGATTTAGTGGGAATGAGAAATTTTGAAAATAGTCTTTCCCCTCAAATGCAGAGTTTTGGGAATTGTTAATTGAAATTATACATGCTAGGCTGAGGAGGAAGGATAGCAAATTCTAAGGCAGCCTGGGATACATAGTAAGACTTTAGTCTCTAACAAAACAACAAAAACTTAGCTTGTATTTTGTTTTCTTGATTTTCTTTGTATCTGTTCATCTGCCTCTCATGTATCAATCTACCTGTCATCTATCTATTGTATGCCTGCATGCATGCCTGTATGTGCATGAGTTGTGGCACGGAGACCAGAGGACAACTTGTGAAAGCTGATTCCTTCTACCATGTGGACCCCAGATGATGAATTCGGGTCCTCTGGCTTGGCAACAAGTACCATTACCCTCAGGGCCATCTCACCAGTCCCAGTATTATGTTTTCTATAAGCTGTACGTTTTCCAGTTAGTATGTTTATTGTATTCAATAGATATGAAGAGGCTGAAAGGGACTGCACACAAGCTATCTTACTTGACGGCTCCTATGCAAAGGCTTTTGCCAGGAGAGGAACTGCAAGAACATTTTTGGGAAAGATCAATGAGGCCAAGCAAGGTAAGGCTCTAATACCTCACACTCACCCTGATAAGACCCCTAGATTTCTGTAGCTTCCCACAGTCAAGGATACTGAATGTCACGAAACCCAAGATGAGTTTGAAAACTGCATCTTCCATAGTGTGTTTGATTATTTATAACATACTCTGGTCAATCACCAACTGAAAGGAAGGAAAATGTGAATTATAGATGAACAGGAAAAGTGAGAAATAGTCAAAAATGAGGGAGAAGGAGTCAGTAGTTGCTATAGAGAATAACAGGAGGGCTATAGTGATCCTTTCTTCCTCTTTGTTTTGCTTTGTTTGAGACAGGGTCTCTTATGTAGCCCTGGCTGTCCTGGAACCACAGATACCCTCCTGCCTCTGTTTCCTGAGTGCTGGGATCAAAGACGTGTGCCTCCATACTGTGCTCTCCTTTCTCAGTCTTACAAGCATTCCTTGTTTCCTTTGTGGTCCTGCCCTGAGGATTTTTTTTCATCTTTCTTCAGAACACTAACTTTGTTCTCTTGTGTTTTCTTTTGTTTGCCCTTTGTTCCTTCGTCTTTGGATTTCACTTATTTCTCACTTTTTGTTTCCTTTGAAGTCTGTACTGGCTAGTTTTATCTCAACTTGACACAAGCCAGAGTCATTTTTGGAGAGGAAACTCCAATTGAGAAAATGCCCTCTACCACATTGGCTAATAGGCAAACCAGTGGTACGTTTTCTTGATTGTTGATTGATGTGTGAGGGCCCAGCTTACTGTGGGCAATACCACCCCTGCTGGTCCTGGGTTCTATAAGAAAGCAAGTTTAGCAAGCTATGGGGAGCAAGCCGATAAACAGCACTCCTCCATGGCCTCAGCATCAGCTCCTGCTTCCAGGTTAAGCCTGTTGGAATTTCTGCCCTGGCTTCTGTCATTGATGGCGTGTGACTTGAGAATTTTAAGCTGAAGTAAGCCCTTTCTCCCCCAATTTGCATTTAACCATGGTGTTTTCTTTTTGTTATTGTTGTTTTTTTTTTAAAGATTTATTTATTATGTATACAGTGTTCTGTCTACATGTATCCCGACATTACGGATGATTATGACCACCATGTGGGTGCTGGGAATTGAACTTAAGACCTCTGGAAGAGCAGTCAGTGCTCTTAACCTTTGAGCCATCTCTCCAGCCCTGATCATGGTGTTTTATCACGCAATAGAAACTCTAAGACAGAGTCCTGGGCATTAAATCAAGATCCTGTCCTATTGTTTCTTCCATTTTTTTTTTTTTTTTTTTTTTTTTTTGAGACAGGATTTCTCTGTAACAGTCCTGGCTGCTCTGGAACTCACTTTGTAGACCAGGCTGTCCTCAAACTCACAGATATCTGCCTGCCTCTGCCTCCCAAGAGCTGGGATTAAAGGTGTGTGCCACCACCACTTGGCTCTTCCAACTTTTTGATGTCACTGTAGAATCAAATTTTCAGGCCTTTTCTGATATGTATATTTAAATTGGCAATTGCTTTTCAAGCCAGGCTTTAGCTGCAGCCCATTGCTTTCTGTTTTATTAAGTTGAATTAAGATTGTACAACACTTAATTTGCTATTTTTATTATTTGAGGTGCATATTTTCAGTAAAATTACATTGTCAGTGTTGTACAGCCTTCTGTCTGCATTCACTCTAAACTTTGTGTGTCAGATATTAATTGTTCATTTTACTCTTCCCTTTGCTAGTCCCTAGTAATACTGTTTTCCCGTGTTTATTAACCTGACTATTTTACTGTTATTACTATTTTTATTTATTTTTTGAGACAGGGTCTTACTGTCTCAAAGCCAGGTTGGACTTGAACTTTGCAGCCTTTTGAGTGCTGAGATTACAGGCATATGCTACCACATTGAACTTAAATTTGATCATGTTAGATATGCCACATAGGTGGGCTCATGGCCATATTGTTATGTCTGGTCTGTTTAACTTAGCATTTTCCTAAGTTTAGCATGTGCTGAGGTGTCATCAGAATTTCATTCCCCTTTTTAAAGTTTTTTCAAAAATTTCTTTTTCGTATTTTATTTTATTGAACATGTGCATGTACCACAGACACACATTTGGAGTCAGAGGCCAGCTTGCAGAGGGTCACTTCTTTTTCTCTGTCATGTGGGGTCTGGGGTAGAGCTCAGACCAACCAGGCTTGTGGCAAGTGCCTTTACCTGCCCAGGATTTTACTGAACTTTTTCTTCAGTGTTTGAGAGAGAGTATTGCTGTGTTAGCCTTGGCTGACCTAGCATTTGATCTGTAGACCAGAATAGGTGTGAGCTCATAGCAGTCCCCCTGCCTCTGCCTCCCAAGTACTGGGATTACAGGTGTGTGCTTCGTTGTCTTTTAAACACTGAGTAATGTACTAGGGTATGATATTCTCTTAGGGGAATTACTCCATCATCTATTCAGTATGAACTGTGGTTAAATCCAGTGCTCTGTCAGGGGAGTCGCTTTATCATCTATTCAGTGCTCTCTGTATCATCTGTATATAAATCAGGATTGTGATAAGAGTTCCCTGAAAATCCATGTGAAACAGCTAGAACAGCTTAACAAACACTTGCCTTACTATTGCTCACCTGTTTCTGAGTGTCCAAAGTAGAGCTCACTGAGTAAATTTCTGTTGACTGTGGTGGTATGTGTATAATCCCAGCACTTGGGTGGTAGAGGTAGGATGATTAGGGGTTCAGGTTATCTTTGACTGTGTAGCTGGTTCAAGGACAACCTGGGCTGTACAAGAGCCTGTTGCAAAAAGCCAAATTAATAAAGAAATGAATAAATAAAATAAAGGGAGTAAGTAAAGAGGTCATGTCTTAAATGTCATAAAAATAATTTCACTATTTTGCTGTTATTTAATTCTCACTAGATTTTGAAACTGTGTTACTTCTGGAACCTGGAAATACGCAGGCAGTTACTGAGCTTTCCAAAATTAAAAAGGTAATGCATTTCTTCACCAGAATATCATCATACCATCTGCTACATAAGTTTGTTAGTTACATAATTAACTTAAGAATGTTTTGATAGCTATTACAAATTTATTTTCAAGGAATTAATTGAGAAAGGACATTGGGATGATGTCTTTCTTGACTCCACACAAAGACACAACGTGATAAAACCTGTAGATAATCCGCCTCATCGTGGGTCACCTGTAAGTAAAGTACTTTTTTTCTCCCTGCTCTAGAATATCACTGTTATTAGAATTGGAGACAAACTTTGAACTAGTAAACTTAAATATTGAAAACTCTTGATGTACCTAATCAGTACTCAATTAATAAATGCCTCATAGAATTTATTGACAGAATTAGGGAGCATTCATTCTAGAGTAACTTAATGTTTCATTTATACATTTTTAACATGTTTTTCTTTTTTTTTTTTAAGGTGTATTTATTTATTTGTACAAAATTTTGCCTCCATGTATTCCTGCAGTCCAGAAGAGGGCACCAAATCTCACTATAGATGGTTGTGAGCCATCATGTGGTTGCTGGGAATTGAAATCAAGACCTGTGGAAGAGTAGTCAGTGCTCTTAACCTCTGAGCCATCTCTCCAGCTCCCTATATATTTTTCTTATATAAAGGAATTTGAGTCAGTTTTATATTTTGTTATTGGCTCAACTTTGTCCTTTGTCTCTGAAATTTTGTTTGGTATCAACCAGTGATGATGCTTTCTGATATGATTGATCCATTTCTGAAATTTCTGTTTGGTTCTTTTTTAACGTCAGCTTCCTTGCCGAATTTTCTCTTTAAGTTATGGATAATTTCATTCACTTTGGTAACTTCTTGTCAGTGTCCTGAATTGATTTCCTTATCTGTTTATTTGGGTCCCTTATATGGTTATTGGTCTTTTTTTGTGGTAGAACTCAAGTTTTTTCCTGGCACTTAAGGCGTCTCATTATCTTTGTTTCTCTTATCCAGAAGGTGTCAGCTTGGTAGGGTATGCCATAGTGGAATGCTTTCATGGTTTTTGGTATTTCTTTATTGTGTTTGTGTGTTATTTGGGATGTATGTTTTCTTCCAGTTTTAGTTTCCCCCAGTTGGTTTTGTTTGTCCTGATGGATTGTCTTTGCTTGAAGCTACATTCAGGAGAAAGTTGACATAGTTGGCATTTCACTGTGTTTAGAGTCAGAGAGACCACTAGGGTATTGGTTGGAGAAAATGTAGTTTATGACATTTTTGTTTCAGAGTGAAGGGTATCAGCATTTAAGTAATGAGTGAGGGGGGTAAGAAAGAAGAAAAGAGGGATGAAGAACGAGGAGGAGGAGTGTTGGAGGTATGGAAAGCTGTCGAGAAAATACTGTTTATTAGGGTTAGAGCAAGGACAGACATACATACCTTTTCCAGTGAGGCACAAGATACATCACAACTGACATTACAAATTTATAAATACTAAAAAAGGGGAAAATTTTAAAAACTAATAAAACGCCAATGAGATGGTCGAGTGGGTAGAGCACTTGTCACCAAGCCTGACACCCTCAGTTTGATCTTTGGGATTCACAAAGTGGGAAAGGAGAACTGACTTTTCAGTTGTCTTTTGACCTCCACAAGATTCCTCCAATAGATAATATATATAAAATACAACAAACAAAAAAGGAACCAAGGAGATGGCTAGGCAGGAAAAAGCAGTATCTGTGCAGGCTTATTGACTCGGGTTCAGTCCCTGTTTAGTCCCTGGGCTCCACATGAAAAGCTGGATTTGGGGATGCACATCTTGTGGTCCTAGCACTCTGACAAATTGGTCAGAAGCTCCTGGACAGCTGGTCTGGAGAGTCCAGCGTAGCAGCAGAAGCAAGAGCAACTCTGCCTGTTTGGTTCTTTCTTGATCAATAGTAAATATTATTACACTGGAAAGTCATTTTGGATAACCCCTACCAACCTTGCAAATGTTTGGCAGATATGTATCCCAGACTGGGTTTACCCAGCTGTCACACACTGGAGTGTCCTTAGGGTTTCGAGTTAGACTCTCATACGCAGTGCTGCTCCTGTGTGTTCTGTGCTACTCCCTCAGCCCACAGCATTGCTGTTAGTGTGGTCCTGGGTAGTCCAGACTCTGGTGTGCGCAGAGGTTCCTGGCTGTCCTCGGACCCTCCCCAAGCTGTCTGCACCGCTCCGCCTGCCTCCCCATGGACTGCCTTGCAGCCTTCTTTCCACTTTGCCATCCCTGCTCTTGGCAGCCTGAGCTTTCACCTTTGTAACTGGTATTACGTACATCCCGTGCTTCCCATTTAGGTGCCTGGGGTAGGCAAGTAGCTTTTTATTGTTTGTATTCTCAGACATATTATGTTCCTAAACCTGTCTAGCCAACAAATTGAATTTACTTTTAACTGGGATGTTAGCTTTTTAGACTTGTGCCCTTAGGATGGGAAAGCTTTTAATATATTGATTTAAAGAATCGATATTAATTATTTTAGAAAGCACTTAAGAAGATTTTTATTGAAGAAACTGGCAAGTTGGTGGAGACTGTTGATGCTTCAGATGGCACTGCCGATGCTCCCCAGAGTCATCGAGCAAAGGCAACAGCCGCTGAGGGCCCCGAAAGCAAGAAGAATTCAAGCCATGGGGACAACTTGCCCGCAGGTGATACTCCAAGAGCCAAAGTGTTGAAAATAGAAGAAGTCAGTGACACTTTGGCCCTACAGTGAGTAGCTACTGTTGTGACAGTCTCTGTAATGGCAGTAATTCCACAAGCAGTTGGTATTCCAGAGAAGAGTTCTCATTCGTTCTCATCACTGATGAGCAGCTGACTGTCAGCAGGCTCTAGTTTGCTTTTCTGTCTGCATTGTGAGGTTTTGCTTAGGAAATAATCATTATTCCTTTACCAAAGGGAATACAGGTGATTTAGAGGTGAACAGAGCATATTTGTGTGTGTGTGTGTGTGTGTGTGTGTGTGTGTGTGTGTGTGTGTGTGTGAATGTGTATGTGTGTTTTATCAAAAAAGGTTCTATGTAGACCAGGCTGGCCTCAACCTCACAGATACCCACCTGCCTCTGCCTCCTGAGTGCTGGGAATAAAGGCGTTTACTACCACTGCCTGACTTGATTCTTGATTTTGCTTATTTTCTTCTGTAGAACTTAGTATATATATCAATTTTACTGTTGAGAGACTGACAATGAATATTTGATAGAAGTAAACATCATTAAAAAATGAAGAGTTGGTCTCAGAGTTTGAGGCTGGTCTTGTCAACATTGTGAGTTCCAGCACAGCCAGGGCTGCACAGAGAAACCCTGTCTGGAAAAAAACATAAAAAGACTTTAAATGTTATATTTAAATTGTTATATTAAATATAGTTTAGAATTGAGAGCCAAAAACAAATAAGAGACTGTTTCAGGGAGGAGAGGCCTTATCAACAGGGACAGGGTGATTATGGGAGTGGGATGAATTAGAACACAGTCTAATGATGTCTGTGTATGAAAATGTTGTAATGAAGTAGTCCCATTTGTATTCTAACTTAAAATTAATTTCACAGCATTTTCTTACTTACAATCATAGAAAAGACACAAAAATCACTGGGTTGGCTTGGGCTACTGGTTAATCTTATACTGCCACTCAGTAAACACACAAAGTTTGTGTACTTTAAACATTGAACTTTATTAGTAGTTTCATTTAAGGTTGTGTAATGCTGACTAGGTGGCTTTAAAGTGAAGTATTTCTTCCTTGAAATGTCTTGAAGCTTTGATAACTCAAATTTCTGAAAGGCTGACTTGTACTAGATAAAGATGATGTTCTCAAAGAGTGGCCTAGCTCACCACCCAGCAGGGACTATAGCCATTGCATAGCCAGAATGTGAAGATTTGCAAGGGTACACACTCACACACGACACACACACACACGGACACACACGTTGTAAAGATACATGTTGTATATAGGCACACACTCACACGAACGTGCACACTCATACACACAAACACACATTGAAAGAATTGAACACTGTCAGAATGCAGATAGGAAGCATAATATTAACAAAATCAGAAGTTAGAAATTTCCTGTTGTTCTCCTTCATTGGAGTTTGGCTGCTGCTGCTTAAGCTGGTTGCCTAATGCTCTATAATACTCTAGACCACAGGTAGATTCAAAGCAGGACATGGGCCAGTCTTCCAGTGAGAAGATCCCTGTGAAGGTGGAGCAGATGCCGGATCAGTTTGCCACTGCTGTTCTGCCTCCAGTCCCTGCCAACTCCTTCCAGCTTGAGTCTGACTTCCGACAGCTGAGAAGTTGCCCAGATATGTTGTATGAGTATTTAAAGGTAAGTAGGAGGGACCCAGCAGTGCCCCTAGAAGTAGGTCTGAGGCTGTCTTCTGGTTGCTATAGCAATGCTGCATTTGCCTTTTGTGTAATGAAACTGCAGAAGATGTTTCTCCCTTCCCTGGTGTGCTTTGTCCTGGACAGACTGATGGACATGTTGTAATCGTGGAAATGAGCTGTGTGTGAGATTCTAGGGCCTAAAATGACTTAAGTCTGATTTCATATTTTATAGCCTAAGCTTTATTTAATAGTTCATCTTCCAAGAGGGAGGAAGGAAACTGAAATCCTTGAGTGTCTTTTGTGTGCCAGGCAGTGCTTGCAGTATCTGGGCACTTATTTTCCTGAAAGGGAGCTTTTCTGTGCCTCAAGAAAATAAGTTAGATCACATGGATTTAGCAAATCATAAATTAGTGTAATAAACACCGCCTTACACTTTTATAGTGAGTGGGTACTTCAAGTAATATCTTAAGCAAGTTTGCCTTTACTTCTACTTGTGGTTGTAGTTTGGGAACTTCCTTGTAGGGGGGTCTGTCTTTTCTGTTCATGTATTTTTCTGACTATTTAAATTACTTGGTGTGTGTGTCAGATCCCCTAGAGCTGGATTCATAGGCAGTTGTGAGATGCCATACTGGGAATTGAACCCAAGTCCTCTGTATGAGCAGGAAGCACTCTTAACTGTGAGCGTCTCTCCAGCTAAGAATCGGGACTATATGTCCCTATCATGTCCATCCTTCTTTCACTGTTTCTCATTAAATATTTAGTAATTATTCATATTATTTTTACCTGAGCAGTTATTAGATAATACATGTAATGTGCATGTTGTCACAATCCAACTTTCTATCTTTCCAAGAAAATTGAACCATCTTTGTATCCGAAGTTGTTTCAGAAGAACCTAGATCCAGATGTATTCAATCAAATCATTAAAATTTTACATGACTTTTACATTGAGTAAGTTGGATTTTTTAGTTGTCTTCTCACTTTGGTAATGTTGTGTCCAGTGATTTGGAAAATTCATTCTCTTTGATCATAATATCTTGGTGTGTGTATGTATCTTGTACATAACAACATTCGGTCCCTAGTAAGATTTACTGTTACCAAAATGAAATGGTGGCAAGAACAAACCATGAAGAAGGGACAGTCTACATGGGGAAAGACCTCTTTTTAGAGAGAAGTAGTGTATAAAGTACCTGTGTGAGAGACAGCAACAGCACCAGAGTGGGCCCCCCTTTAAGACACTGTAATGTCTTCAGTTGACTGGGCATATTTCTTTATTCTATTAAAATATAGACGCACCTCAGGGGAAAGTGAGAACTTGTTACTAGGAAAAAAACGTGGCTGCCAATAATGATCATTTGTGTTTATGTTTGGACTATTTCAGGAAAGAAAAGCCAGCTCTTATCTTTGAAATCTTACAGAGGCTTTCTCAACTGAGAAGGTTTGACATGGCAGTGATGTTCATGTCAGGACCTGAGAAAAAGAGTAAGTTCTGAGAGAAGGCAAGCTTTCTCACAGCTCCTCATCTTCCTCTGCTGATTTGTTACTACATACTGTCAAGTATAAATCACTTCTAGTTAAGTTAATTGATGTGCACACAGTTAAAATTGTATAGTAGCTCTTGGAAGTATTTTCAAGTGTGGGTAGTGTTATTCTCTAACAGGAGGAAACCAAGGCATGGGGAGGGTGAGGGTCACCAGGTTAGGAAACCATACTCGAGCTCTGAGCCTGGGCTGTCCAGTTGTGGTGTGGGCCCTTCTTGGAATGTAGTACTGAGTGGTATACAGATTGAATCCCACTGTGCTGGAGCATGCAGCAGCTCCTGCCATAGAGCTGGGTATAGGGTGTGTCAGACCTCTGAGGGGCTCCCCCCTGCGTATTTAATTTGAGCTGAATTCTCAAGTGCTGCCGAAGTTAGTTAGACAAAGGGGGTGGGGGCAGAAGACTGTAGCTCAGCATGTGCTGGATGGAGGTGCTGGACACTCACACCATGGTGTTGAGTGCATTGCCAGTTGCGCAGCTGGATTCTAGGTTGGGGTCAGGTGTGGCACATGATGAGCCTGAATTCTAGCCCTTATTTATACTGCAGTGTGGCATAACAATCAAATGCTGTAAAGATTTCAGTTTTTCAGAGTTTGGGGGTCTCTTGCTTTTAGGCAAAAGTAAATTATTCAATTAAAAGAATGCATTTTTTTTTTTTTTTAAGACAGGATTTCTCTGTGTAGCCTTGGCTGTCCTGGAACTCACTGAGGATACCAGGCTGCCCTCAAACTCACAGAGATCCGCCTGCCTCTGCCTCCCAAGTGCTGGGATTAAAGGCGTGCACCACCACTGCTCTGCCGGAAACCTTGTTTTTGAATAACCAAATAAAATACGAAACAGCAGCAAGAGAAAGACATGAGGAAGTAGACAAGCAGGGCTTAAAAAATAATTAGGGCTGGAGAGGTGGTTCAGTGGTTAAGGGCACTTATTGCTCTTGAAGACATGGTTTCAGTTCCCAGCACCCACTTGGTGACTCGCAACCATCTGTAACTCCAGTTAATAGGCTTGATGCCCTCTTCTGACTCTGGATACCAGGCACACACATGGTGTACATATGTACATATAGGTAAAGCACTGATGCACATAAAATGAATCTTAAAAAAAAAAAAATCTTTAAAAACAAAAGTTTCTGTTTTATCTTTTTAAAAGAATTTTAAATAATTAAAAATATTTTCATGTTAGTGTAAGAGTGTGTGCTGTGTGTGCGTTGATATTTGTATGAATGTGGGTTGTCTAAGGACAACCTCTGATATCAGTTCTTACCTTCCATCTCGCTTGAGGCGAGCTCTCTGGTTTGATGCTGCATACTCTAGACTAGCCAGCCCTTGGACTGCAGGGGATTCTCTTGCTCTGCCATCCCATGTTCATTACAGAATCCAGCTTTAGGTGAGATCTAGGGATCCAGTCCTCGGGCAGATCTGGCAAGTGCTTTATCCACTGAACTGTCTCCTCAGACTCTGCTTTATCATATGTATATTTGGGTAGGAAACAGAACAACCTTTGGGGAATTCAAAACTCACCTAGGTATAAACAGTCATTCTGGATTTATGTGAAGAGAAAGTTTGTCAAAACCAAACTGGCCTTACAGCTTCATGTTGCCTAGTAAATAGTGACATAAATTCTCTAAAGAGCCATGCATCATGGAGCCAAGGACCATGCACTGGCTGGCTTTGGGTTTTATTGTTATTTTTCCTTTGTTTTGCAGGCTGGCCTTTAATTCCCTAGTAGCTAAGGATGACCTTGAACTTCTGATCCTCCTGTCACTATCTGGGAGTGTTGGATCTCTTATCTAGATGTTGAACCCACGGCTTCATGAGTATGGGGCCCTCTACCAGCTGAAACACATCCTTAACACTCATCAAATCATTTCTCTCAAACTCCTAACCAGTATTGCTATTATTATTATTATTATTATGACTTCATCTCTGTCATTTTAAAAAAAATCACAATAGCTTTTCATTTTAAAAATTATCATCTTTGTGTGTGTGTGTGTGTGTGGTGTCAGAAGACAGCTTTTGGGAGTATGTTCTTGCCTTCCATCTTGAAGTGGGTCCTGGGAATTGAACTCAGGTCATCAGTTTAGCATGGCAATTACTTCATCTGCTGAGCTATCTTGCCAGACTGCTTTTCCCTCAGAGCCTTTGTTTCTCCAGTCTTGAACGCCTATTCCCTTATGTTAACCATATCTTCATTTCATTCTGTTGTCACTTTATTGCCATCAACTCTGGTTAGAATAACTTCCTGCCTCTGACTATCTGTCCCCTTCTCTGTCATTTTTTTCCTGCTTTGATTTTTCTTTCTAATACACAGTTATGGCACTTTTACTTTTTTTCTCAGACAGAATGAAAGTTCCATGAGAGCAGGAATTCTGCCTTCTTCCCAAGGCCTTAATGCTGGTACATAGCAAATGAGTGTCTCTTCCTCCAGTAGCTTAAGTCCAGGGTATACTCTGAGGACATGAGCTGGTTCTTCAAGTTACCCTACCAGCAGGGTCTCTACTGTCTCCTGCATGAAATATGGGAGCTGTGGAGTCATTCTTCTGTAACAAAGCATTCAGAATGTTAGCTCTAGTGACATGCTTGATTGCCGCTGTCAGTGACAGTTTGTTCCAGTTTAGACTTGAGGAGCATGAGCTGTCACAGTGTTTGCCAAGTGTTGAGTGTGGACTGCTTAGATTAATGTCATTGAGAATGTAGGGGAAATTTATACTAGTAGAAAGATACTCTGGAAAGCAATATTGCTGGATCACTATGTAACTTTTTTCTTTTCAAGTTTGCTTTTTAAATATACAAACTACAATTTATGAAAAATGGTAATTATTTCTTTTATTTGACAGGTCAAATTTCTTGAATTTATATTTGGCATGCATAGTTTTTAAAAATGAGAGTGACATACAATCTGTTTTCTTTTTCAGTCACAAATATATTATTCAGTCACTTAGAAAAATCAGAATTGAAGGAGGATTCTGTTGAAGAACTCAAGAAAAGATATGGTGGCTGACCATGGTTGATGAGGTTATTTTGTCTTCTACATGTACATTATTTTTCTCATTGAAATCAAGTGTTTTGTTTGTCTTTTTAAGAAAATGAAATCATACCTGAGAGAATTCTTGTCTCAATGGTGTTAATTTATGTAAAGTGTACTGTGACCTAGCTAGTGATAAATGCTTCAAATAAACTGTTTTTATGAAAATAAAAATGTAAGGGTCAGTATTTTATTTTATAAATAACTTGAGATGTTATATTTAGTTACATTCCTCAGTGTCTCATAATTGTAACATTTTTGTAGTTTCATGAATGTTTGTAACCACACACAAAGCTACTTTATACCATGTGAATAAAGTGATTTCTGTGGAGAGGGTATTGAAGAGATACCAGAATTGTCTCCCTCTGTTCCTTTACAGCTAAGTGAAAACCAGCTGTAGAGCCAAAGACAGGTCCTCAGCCCCTTGGAGAGGCTATCAGTGATGCTCATGGCTTACTAGACTTGGCAGTTCCAGTTCAGCTAGCACTGTGGAATCTGATTCTGTTGAGCAGAGATGAGGGTAGTGAGTCCTAGAGCAAGCCCTTACATTCTGTAACCCTTGCCTATTTGCAAACCTTTTCCGTGTGTGAGGTTCTGGGGTTCAAGTGTGACTATTCTAGTGATGTGCTTGCTTCCCACACTTCTAACACTTGGAAGGCACCCCCCAGTAGAAGAGCCTGCTCAGCTCACAACACAAAGCTTAGTGTTACCAGTAGGGGTCCCTGATACACAGCAAGGGACTCTCCTAAAATGAAGACAGCCTGGGCAGACAGGAGACACTGACCCAGACTCAGCACCAACATAAGTCAGGGACGACGGTTCAGCTGGTCCTCTCATGAACAGAATGGACAGTCTCCAGTTACTTTAGCTGGTGTATATGTTCCTTGAAAACAGCTCTACTTTTGGTAGTGTTTTTACTTACTGAGTTAAAAGTACTTTTTATCTTTCACTTCTCTTCATGCATCATTTGACAAGTTTACACTTAAATTGTTGAGCAGCCATTGTCCCCCAACCTATATTTCTTCCTTCCATTTCTCCATTTTTTTTTTTTTTTTTTTTAAATGCTTTTAGAACTGGTTAGAATTGGTTTGGCTATCTTGTTTGGTTCTTGTTTTTTAAAAGGCTCTATGTTTTGACCTGTTATTCCCCTTTGTTTATCTGATTATCTGATTGCCAGTGTTCTCATTGTGAGTTTTGTTTTCTAATTTAAGTTTTCCTAACCTCTTTGCTCTTTTCTCTTTCATAACATTCTACTTCTCCCATTCATTTCATTTCTTTCATTTTGGTTTTTTTAGACAGGGTTTCTCTGTGTAATGGCTCTGACTGTCCTGGAACTTGCTCTGTAGACCAGGCTGGCCTTGAACTCGTAGAGATCCAACTGCCTCTGCCTTCTCCCAAGTGCTGGGACTAAAGGTATTCATCACCACCTACCGACTCCCATATCTCATTTGTCTATAATCTCTACATTTACCCTCACTGATTGTTAACTCTGGTTCACTGCACATTGATTTTGCCATTTTCTGTGGATTTGATTGACCTTTTATTGCACATTTTTATTTATAGAAAGCAAAACATTTCAAATTCTTTTTGGCACCAGAATAAATAGCTCCTGAAAGACAGATCCCAAGATAATCAACTCCCAGGATTTATCAGACACTGCTGGGAGCAGCAAAAACCTGCTCACCTCACCCTCAGGCAAGGGTGGAGAGGAGGTGAAGTCTGTGCTTCAAGGGAGGGAGTTGGGCGTCAGGGGTAGAGGCAGGAATGGGAGATAATAGACCCCTTTCCTATATTACAGAGAGGTAGTCTTGATTTTAATACTCTTAACCCTGAAGAAGGAAGACAATACAAAAACTATAATTCCCTGACCACTCATCCATTCACAAAGCTGGAGAGGCTTGTGTGAACTGCTGCTTCTCGTGTACACGTGTGAATGTGTGAGTGGGTTTCTGTAAACAGCATTGTCCACGTAGAGGCCCAACACCGTGTGTCTAAACGAGGTAGAGCCATATGCCACTTCATGGACCTCAGTGTTTCCTCACTGAGAGGGCAAATTTCAGAGACAAGCATGGGGAAGAGGAGAATGGGGTGGCCAGGGAGCAGGGAAGACAGCGGGAGAGGGAGGGGCCAAAGCTACAGTCACTAATGGCTCATATTATCAATGCTTTTCACTTGCCTGCCACTCCCACCACACACCTGGCTCATAACTGGCAGAAGTTGGGCTCTTCCACCTAGCTGGTGGCAGAATTCCTTAATGAGGCAATGTCGTAGTTACTTTTCTGTGGCTGTGATAAAACACCATGACCAGGTAACTTTAAGAAGGAGGCATTTATTTGGGCATGCAGTTCCAGAGGGTTAGAGTATGCCATGCCAGGGAACTGTGGTAGGAACAGAAGCTGAGAGCTTGCATGTGGTACCACAAGCAGGAAGCTGAGTATAAACCAAAGTATGAGTGTCTTTGACCGTTCCCTAGTAACACACCTCCTACCCAAACAGCGCCACCTACTGGGACCAAGTATTCAAACATCAGAGCCTATGGGGAGCATTCTCATTCATGCCATGCTGTAGCTGGGCAGGGCCCTCACCTGCTGACAGGTCTTTGGGACTAAGACTATGGTGCCATAGGAGATGGAAACCCCACTTCTCAGTCAACTGTGGTTGCTAAGTTGCATGCGGTGTGCTTGCCCAAGGTTTGGCTAAGACAGACTGGGGACCTATCTGGACACTCAACAAACACATCTAAAGCACTGTTAAATCACAATTGAAATCTAAAAACATCACTACTGGTATTAAGTTTTCATTGATGTTTATAAGCTCTCCTTAGGTTTGTTTTCCTATAAATGAGCACCAGCATTGGAAATGAGGTAATTTGACTGTCTAATGAATAGTTTTAGTACTCCTGTGCAGCCTGAAATGGCTTGAACAAAAGGACTGTAAGTCACCTGACTCCCCTTATGCCAGCACTGACCATCTGGAATAGTCCTTGGACACAACTATGCAAAAGATTACAATGTACCAAATTGTCTTGGCTATTGAAGGCACAGCATTTGCCAAGACGGTTAGCTCTTGGCATGCTCCAGACTTTCTGCCATCACCAGCCTAGATAACTACTTTGCCTTGTCCAGAGAGGGAGCCCTTCCCCTGGGGGAGGGACTACGGCAATGGGGTCAAGGCTGTGACTAGTCTAGGCACCCCTTCTTGGCCTATGTCAGTAGGCAGCTTAGGCTCTATCAGAGTTGTCTGAGGACTCTCCTGTACCATCTCCCTTCATGTTGCAACATCAGGTCTAATAAAGACTTCTCTGGAGTAGCCTTTCTTTGCTTACTTTTGGGAGTGCAGGTAGAGCTGGTAACAAAAAAGAAATAGTTGGGCCAGCAGAGGATGGCTGCCATGGAGACGGTGGCAGCAGGCATGATTTGACAGTAGGATTAAGTGCCAGCCTTGGCACTGCTTTCAGGTAGCTAGCTGCTTGATGGTTGGAAAAGCTCCTGCCTTGGGACATGGCTCGACAGCTGAGGGTCCTGCAGGTGCCACTGTGACCCTAACAGCATAGATATCACACGCACCAGCTCACAGCTTGACAGCTGAACATTGTGCAGAGTTAACCATAACTACCCAGCACTGGGACTTGATGCTGCCCAGCTCAGGAGCCTCAGATCTGGCTCTCCAGCACAAAGGACTGACGACTGCTGTTTAAGTGCTGAAGGTGCAGTGGGACGTGATCCTTGGAGGTCTGTGGACATGTGCCGTGGGACAGCTGAGGAAGCATCTGCCACCAGAAGCCTTAGCACTAGAAATATCCCTGGGCTCAAATCCATCCATGGCACCGGTGTGCTGTTGCTGCCTCATACTGCTCTCTCTGATTCTGCCCCAGAACCCCACCTGCCCCTTAGGTTCCTGCTCATTGCGGCAGAGGATACCTGGCTGATCCTAGCCAGACCTAGCATCCAGTTCCTGAATGGCCCTCTAGATGCCTCAGATCCTGAGTAGAGGGAGATGCCCCAGCTCCACCCTGCTTTTCCTATGCTGTCTCCACAGAGGCAAGTACTGGTAAGTCTTGGCAGTGGCCATTGACAACTGGACAGTATTTGAAGACTGTAAGAGAGGCCAGGGATGGAGAAGAGAGCATGGAAGGATGAAGAGAAGATGGAAGACTACAAGAGAGAAAGTAGACTGAGGAGCCAGAGAACCTACAACCCTTCTTGCCAGAAGAATCCAAAGAACTGCACATCTTTGAGACTGAGGTCTATTTCAGGTTTCCAGTACCCAAGAGTTCCGGCACTGAGTCCTGCATAGGGACTTTAATACAATACATGTAGGTCCACGGGTCCTGATGCTGAAGGCCTTCATGGGGGCTGCTATATCAGAGGTCACTGCTTGTTACTACATCTGCTTGCCCACTGCTGTCCCTCACTGTTGTCAAACAGCAGTGGACTCAATAGGTGCTAGAAATGAATATTTGAAGAGTTTCTTGTCTGCCTACAGTATCTCTCCAAGTAGAGCAAAAAGAGCTTCAAGCCACTGGTTGGTGGGAAGACCTCAGACCTCAGTCCTTAATGTTCTGGATCCACATGTCTCTTCAAGGCAATACCTAGGTTACAAGGGCTGGCAAGATGCCTCTGTGGGTAAAGGTACTTGCTAAGCCTGATGACCTGAGTTCAGTGCCCAGAACAGGATAACCTCCACATGTATGCTACACACACACACACACACACACAAACACACACACACACACACACACACACACACACACACACACACACAAAATAAGAAACATAAAATAAAAAAAAAATAGGAAATCATAGATCTTCTTGGTCTTACTGGCCAGGTCCTCATAATGATCTTTGAAGATTGCATGGTCTTCTTAGTTTTCAATTTGAAGCTTGGCATTATCTGGGAGATGGGCTGGCCTCTTAGCATGCCCAAGGGGGATTATCTTGATTAAATTATTTGAAGTGGGAAGCCTCAGGCACTGTTGGTTACACCTCCCTGGACTGCAGGCATGGAGAAAGAGAACTCAAGGAGCAGATGTAGTCTGACCTTGAACTGTGAGGCGAAGAACTTTCTTTTCTAAGTTGTTTC